AGATAATTCTAGTGTGCAATCGTGCCAATATGCTATGTGAAGCTATGCCTTAAATATTATTTCAGCCCCCTCACACAGAGACTGTTTTTTTCTCCTCAGCGAACCTACAGGTGATGTTTGGTAGGAGACAATCAGTTAGGTTCGCCGTTCACACACATGTCACCTTGACCAGTGTACTGTGAGCCCAGAGCCCACTCCCCACAGGTCTCCTTGAGCAGACTGGAAACCAGTGAACCCCGAAGGGTCTTGCCTTGACTTAAAAATAAGACATTTACCTGGCTGGTGTAGCTCAGTGGATTGAGCGCGGGCTGCAAACCAAAGCATCGCAGGTGCAATTCCCAGTCAGGGCACATGCCTGGGTTGCAGGCCACGGCCCCCAGCAACCGCACATTGATGTTTCTCCCTCTCCCTCTCTTTCTCCCTCCCTTCCCTCTCTAAAAGTAAATAAATAAAATCTTTTAAAAAATAAGACATTTAATGAAAAGTTTAGCTAAATCTAAAGCTAAATCTAATTATCTCCCTAAGTGTTAAGTTGTCAAACATAAAGTTAAATGTCCTTAACATTCACGTAATAAAGCAACTTGTAAATGTGGCACATACTAGACACTCACTGACGGACTTGCTTATTCACGCCCTCACTCTGGCTATGTGCTCCTTTCCATTAAGGAAAACATTCAATGTTACCTTCTCCAGAAGAGATGCTGGGTCATTCAGTTCCTTCTCTTCCATCCCTTAAAACAAACGAACGAACAAACGAAACCGTTACACGACGGTGAGGTCTGGATGGCATTGGGACAGGGTAGTGTGGAAAAAGTAAAAAAAAAACAAAACAAAATATAGGGCACACTGTTTACTAATGTAACCTGCTCTGCTCTTTGAACAAATTCTAGGCCATAAGCCAACCACTTTGTCAGATGGCCGCCCAGAAAACCACACTGTAACGTTGTAACTTGCACTGTTTTCATGTTTTATAAAATATATTCTCAGAGCTTTTTTTTTCTTTTGGCAAGGTGCTTTTGTTGGGAAACAGGAGTAACAGAGGAAACCCTCTGGGGCTTCCCTGTAAACTGCTCTCGAAAACACGGTCAGAGGAAAGCTGGTTACGCAGCGAACATGATTTTAGGGATCCACTCAGGAATCTAGGTTTCTCCCTCCTATTGTTTGATATCTTCAGCGTTTTCAAAGCAAGTGAAAAGTTATCGAGTGCCCTTCCACCTGGTGTCAGTAAAATGTTGGAATTATGGGTTAAAGGCAAGTGGGGGCGGTCGCCCCTGGAGCCAGAGAGCTTTCCCCCCAGGGCCCACGGTCTCCGGAGACGGTGTCAGCGCACCGTGCCGTGCGGGGCTCCCACTCCTGGCAACAGCGGCCTGCGCTGTCTTCACGGCAAACGGTCTGCGGCGCCCTTTCCAGAAACCGAAGTCTGATCCCCGTTGTATTTTGCCTGGCCTTAGTCGGTTGCATTGTCTCAGCCTATTGCATATACTTCTTCAGGGCTGTTTGTGTGGCTTCGATAAATGGTATTTGAATACATGAACAGGTATGTGTGTATATATATGTATGTATATATATGTTTTATATATATATATATAAAGTACACACCCCAAAACTTACCAAATACCCATATTGGGGAGTTTTAGATAGGTGGCATTATAATAGCTCAGATGAAAGTTGTCTGTATCTTACAGCACAATATGCTTCTATTTAGGATTCAATAAGCTGATAATCTATTATTAAACAGGAACGTGGTGACATCAAGGGCACAGCTCAGCTGGCTGTCCAAGTAAACAAGAATAATTGTGCCTGTGTTTCCATTAACTCCCAATATTCAATGCAAATCTATGTACAAAGAGCACCTTCCTTTTCCTTTTTTTTTTTGAAGAAATGCATTCACATAGTTTTCCTTCTGCGTGACGGGCCAGCTGTACACAGTTGGGAGGTGTTGGTATTACCTGGGCGTAGCTGGCTGCTCGCCAAGGTGGAGCAGGAACTGTGGACACAAAACGTGCATGCACTGAAGTGGGGCTCTGAGGAGACCCGGTGGCGGCGGTGGGTCCCGGACGCAGCCGCGGTGGCCATCTGCCCTGCTTGTCCCCACAGCTGGGGGTGGGGAGCGGCACCATCTCACAGCCGTGCTGGAGAGACCAACAGAAAGAGACACAAACCGGTGAACGCACGAGACAGGCAGTGTTAGAGCCACTGCAGTCAGTGACACGCTCTGGTGGCACTCCGCCGACACACCCAAGCAGCTCCTGGTGGTGTGCCGATAAACTGCAGAGACCGCCAGCTCTCTGGAGAAAACACAGGGTGCGGATACATATTTTGCTGATATAAATTTTGCTGCATGCAATTTACATACAATACTACAATATGCATTATTTTTTTTAGTTTACATTCGAGGTAGCTAATTGACTGTTAAATTATTTCATTAATTTTGGCCAAATGCTCATATCTGTAGCCAACCTATGGTTGCAACTGACGAAGGAATAGAGTTCTGACTTTACTGTTGATGGATCATTTCATGTACGTTAATGGGTAAGCCAAGAGGGAAACAATGAAGGCTTGTTCGTCATTAACCTGAGCAAGTTTTTTGTTGCAGTGGGGAATAGGTTTTGAATATTGGAAGAATAGCTCCTCAATTTTTGTGCTATTCCCAGTGTAATAGCTCTAGACACACCCACTTTGCTGTTGGATTGCGTTATTAATGTTTTCTCCATCACTTTCTTAAGTTTGTACCAAGGATTGGCTTACATCCTCCATGTTACCGTATTCCTCTTCAATAATAATATATCTTCAGCTTCGATATTTTATTTAATATGTTTTTGACCTGGAAGTCAAATCTAGCTTGCCTCTTGTTTTTGTAAACAGCAGTCTGGGGGCACACAGCCACCCACTCATTTCCGCACTGTCTGCCTGCTTCCCAGCAACAGCAGCAGGACTCAGCAGCCAAGCGGGAGACTGCGAGGCTTTTAAAACCGAAAATACGCCCTAACTCTTCGCAGACACAGTCCTCTGGCTCCCGAAGCGAACCAGTCCTTCCGGCAGAACTCCGGCATCGATGTGAATGTTCCTCATCTGTCCTGTTTGATGCAGGGTCACGTCACCACACGTGACTACGGCAGCGTAGCCGCGTTTGACTAGTCGCTACTTTACTGGACGATGCGTCTGGACTGCTAACAAAACCGTGGATCTTGCCCCAGTTTGTAGCATCTTCTGATTTCCAGGCTGTCAATACACCCAACCGCGGACACTTGCAAGCCGCCAACGTGATTTCGCTTACTGACAAGTTGGGGAGAAACATACAACCTCACACAGCATTTCCACTACACAGGCACAGGCACACACGGACGTGCTAACCTCAGGACCACAGGCAAAGTGAAAACACTAAGAAACAATTACGAAGTGAAGCGTTTTGAGCATTTGCTATCTTGTTTTTCATTAGATTTCTCTTATTATAAGCTTCTGTCATCTCGTAATAGCTGTATAGCGATGGGTTGCAAGATTCCTGAAAAGCCTGTCCTCTCTGACACCCCAGGACCATCCGGCTTCGGCAGCCTGCTGCGCGATGGCACTCTGCTGTCCCTGTGTGTGAAAGACACAGAACTGAGGACAGACACTGAGGGACGAGGGGAGCAGAAGAGAAGACAGAAAGGACGCACTGGTCCGAAGCTCGGTCTGCGGTCAGCGCGAGTGGATGCCCGCCAGGGGCCGGCGTCCCCCCGCCCCCACGTCTGCAGAGAGAAATGTGCCTCGGAGATGTGGAACCGGACAGGCGTCCGTCACCTACGGGCAGAGGGCCCTGAGATCACCGGAGAGGGTGAACCCTCTGAATTCTTACGCCAATGTTATGGGAATGTACAAAAAAGATTTTCCCCCAAATAAGTCCACATTTTGGGGCTTATCTGGGGCAACGATGAGGCTCCACATTGTTCGGTAACCACGATTTGGGGATTTGAATATTAGCGTGGTTAGTTAGCCTCGCTCGAATTTTTGATCAGCACGTTTGAGGGTGAAATATGACGAGTTGCAGCTGAAGCCATAGGCTGCTGGGTTCCAGGTGAGAGTCGGCACCCACTGGAACAGGGACCCTCAGGGTGCCCCGTGAGTCAGCGTGGGGCCAGACTCACCACCCGGGAACTACTCGAGGAAGGGAATTCATCAACCGAAGTAGAGTGCTCGGAGGTTCCTACAGCACTCAGTACGGAGGGGCAGAGACGGAAATCTGGAAATGAAAGCGGTGAAGGCAGGAGTGGCGGGCTGCGTACCTCTCGTGTAATGCTTCTCTTAAAGTTTTGGAAGAGAAACACGGGATACATATTCAAATGAATACTGATGAAGAACGTTTGAAAACTGAAGACTGGGAGAGAGATTTGCAAAAGGTACACCTAACAGATTAACTCGCTGAGTGTTTAAAGAACTAAATCGACAAGGAAAAGGGAAACAGAAATGAAGGAAATGAAGTCAATTTAAAAACACAAATTCAGGAAATACATATTTAAATGATAAGAAGAGGCCGTTTTAATCTTTGATTGGAAAACTACGGAAACATGACATCGCTGAGGGTATGGTCAACGTTTCCATGCTGCTGGCGGGAGCGGGGCGTGTGTGGTGCTTGAAGATGCACACGCACACACACGATCGCGACCCAGCCATGCCACTGTGGGGTCCGAGACACTCACTCACAGGCGAGTGCACAGCCAAGAAGGCTCACTGCACTTCACACCAGGAAAAAGTTCACACAAACACAGTACTCATCAATAGGTAAACAGATAACTGTGGTAATAAATGTTTGTGCAGTGAGATATACATCAATCGAAGTAAATATACCAAACATACTAATATATATAAAATGTTGAAAATAATGACAGAAAATAAAGCAAATTTAGAATACAGGTTTGTCTATTAGATTAGTTATATCTGAGTGAACTGAGAGGTTGTGACAGGAGGAAAAAAACATTTTTCTCTGTATTTTTTAAAGACACAAATATGGCTGAATGTTAAAATGTGTTAAACACAACTGTTTATTGTAGCATTCTCTGTATTTTCCTGTACAAATGTTTTACAATGTAAAGTGTTTGAAAGAATTCAATTAATACCATTCTAGCAATAAAAAGTTCAAGTTTTATACATTTACTGGGTTAATTTTTAAGCCCCTTTGTACCTGATGAAGTCCAAAGAGTAACGCTAGAAAAGTAACATATTTCATAATAACCAAATGTTAACATTAGTTTTTCAATGTGTTTTATATATATACTTTATTGGCCAGTATTGTGCAAATAGATTATATTTTTAAAAACTAGTTAACGTTTTAAAAGTATTTTTGCATACAGTGAGTTTTTAAGTATTCTGTTCTCTAAGTATTTACTGCACATCAGGATTTGTTGTTGTTGTTGTTGTTGTTGTTGTTTTTGGCATGCTTGCTCTCTTTCCACCTTTACATGAAAAATAATGTGTGAAGGCTTTCCATTCCGGTGAATCAAAGCCCTTTCAGCTAACTTCTCCTAAAATTTAAGTTCAAGAAATTCTTCCTGTTTGGGTTTTTTTTTTTTTAAATTTAGAATGTCCACTGAAAAGGCACGCACCACATTTAATAGCATCGAGCACCTTTGCAAAGGCCCTGCTCCCAAAGTGCACGCCTGGCCTTGGACATGAACCACTAGAGTCATTTCTTGCTGCTAATCTCTCTGCTTCTGAACTTAATCATGAAGAACTCTGTGTGCTCTGCGTCAGGGTCTGGCCATTGCCCTGAAACTCTTGGCCTGAGTGACGGCAATTTTTTTTTTCATTGTAGATGAGAGCACATTAAATCCTCACTGAATACAAGAATGAAAATCAGAGATCTTGTCCTCGGAAATTAGGTTCTATTGTTTCTCTGGGTTCTAAATCTAACCATAACTGTGATCCTTTAAACCTCCCTTTCAAAACTAACGAGCCACCTCACAGTAAAGGGCGAAGAGCACTGGACGGGGAGTCTGGGATCGTGGTATCAGTTCTGCTGCTAATGTAACTGCACGACTTGACACATTTATAGCTTTCTGGGCCTCGAGGTCTTCATCTTTACACTGTGAATGTGTACCCAGATAATTTCTCATGTTCCATGTGGTAGTGTGATTCTTACCCAGAACCAATTACAAACCGATTAGACAAACAGGACTTTTCAGTCCAATTGATGGACCAAGCTAGACATTTATTTGGTCTTTGACACTTTTCCTCTTCGTGTATTTTATGTTATATTTTATATTTTATTCTTTATATTTATACTTTATTTTATATTTAGCACTGTACCTAACAAATGTCAGTCATTAAAGGAAATTATAGTCTATTTTCCCAGAAACATTTCTTGGGATCTTCCCTCTTCCTCATCCGTATTTTCGCTGTCCGATTTCAGGCCTTTGGCACTTCCCCAGAAACGGCTGCACTTTCCTTATAATGGATGGTGGTTTTTTACTTCTTTGCAGCCTCAGGCACCTCCGGCACGCCCATGCTCTCTCTCCTCACGAGAAAGCCCTGGGGTTGGAGGCTGGGGTGAAGCCTGAAGACGAAGTCCGACACGTTCCTCTGTCTGGTTGTCTTCTCTGACCACACCAATCCAACCCGATTTCTGCTTCTCCTCGCCTCTGCAGACAGCCAGTGAGCCAGAATTAGTTAAGTCAGTCATGCCTCCCCCCACCCCTGCCACTTTGTGCTTCTAGCCCTGCTGCTCCCTCGGCGTACGATGCCCAGTCCCCTCTTCCAGGAGGTGAAGTCTGCTCACTGAATAAGATCCTGCCCAAACATCACTGCTATTGAAAGCTTCTCTGAATACACTGGAAGAAAAAACCTCTCCCTTCTTCATATGGAGTCATCTCATAGAACTCTTAGACAGCCCACTGGAGAACTTAACACATGGAATTATATGCAGTTTTTGCCTTTTATACTTCCTCTAGTATATTATGGGCTAGTTTATTCCTTTTTCCACCCACCCATCCACCCACCCACCCATCCATCCACCCACCCATCCATCCATCCATCCATCTATCCAGTATTTACTGAAGGTCTGCTATGGATTGAGCACTTTGTTAGATGGAGGGAGCAGTTTTGGGAGCTGATGCTAGCTTTTAACAAGTTTATTGTCTATGGGGAAAGGGAATTATTAAGTAAATATTAATTTGCAAAATAAAATAAGTCCCATGGTTGGAAGCAGCCTGCAGAGAAAGCTCTAGAAGAAAACTCTGTGACTTAGGAGGGCAGGGATTGGGTCCAGGAATTTCCCTGGTTGGGGCAGACCATTCACTAACTACTCGGAGCCTGGCATGTAATTAAAGCTCATTAAATATAAGTGAATACAATGCATGCCAAGTGTATGAAGGCCTATCTTCTCCTGTGTGTTTGAGAAAGGCCACAGGCAGTGAAGGGGTTTCAGAGACACGAAGAGGAAAATATAAGACAGCGCTAAGCATTTCCATTCGACCGGATTCCGCAAGAAAAACGTCAGTGAGCACACTCTGAAGGCGTGTATTGAGTGCGCACAGCCCCGTAACGGAGACAAACAGCGGCTACCTGAGGCCAGTGCGATCACGGTGCAGCGCAGGGGACGGTTCCCGGCCGGGGCGGCCTGGCCCCCGAAGGAGGCTCGCCTGTACCCTCCAGGCCCCTCGAGGAGGAGGAGGAGGCTGTGACTCGTGACGCAGTGCATACCTGACTCACGCACATCAGCCCGAAAGTGCAGGCTCGCTGAGAGGGCAGGACGGCGTCAGTTGGTGGTGGTTCACGCTTTGCCCCACTTCCAGCCTCGCTGCAAACTCTGCCGAGGGTCCGCGCAGAGCCTGGGAACCGAGTCTTCCCAGAGGACTACCCGTTGCCAGGTAACCACCTCTCGCGCTGTATCCAGGGGTCACGAGATGCTTCTGCCTGTGCACCTGGCTCCCCAATCCGAGGCCAGGATGGCCTTCACGTGGACCTCGGGGTGGGACCGGAGGCTCCGGGTGCCGCGGTTGGCGGGTGGAGCCCGCCTCCCTGCCCCTCCGAACCCGCGGCCGGCCTCCTCGCCCCGGGAGCCCGCAGCGCGCGGGAGGAGAGGGCGGGGCGGGTCTGCGCTCGGGCACAACTCGCGCAGCCGCCGCTCGCACCTCGGCATCTTCCGCCGTTCGCCGCAGCATCGCGTCCTCCAACAGGTAAGGAGGCGGCGGGCCGGGGCGCAGCAACCTCTGGGCTGCGTGGGGTCGTGCCGGCACGCCGCCCCCGGCCGCCCCCGGCCGCCCTGCGAGGAGCGCAGACCCGGGCTCCGCGCGTCCTCCGGGGCTTTGCACCCGACGATGCCCGGGGTCCATCCCCGAGTTCCAGACACACACACCTGCTTATTGGCCGGCGCATTTCCAAAATCAGCTACCCCTTGGAGACAGTGGCTCCTTTCGACGTTTTGAGGTTACTGATGGTGTGTGAGCGTGGAGTCCAGGTTGCCAGTCTTTCCCTGTGCCCGCCGGGCTGTTCTGTATCGATGACCTGCCCTTTGAGATTCCGTCGTAGCCAGAGAGCTGCCAGGAACGGGAAACGTTCTGGGGAAAAGGTGGTGTTGAATGCGAGGGGCATCGTGGGAATACAGTCTTTCTTGCCCCACCCCCAAACCCAGACTTTATGCGTGCAAAACATTAACAGCTATCGATTCGAATGAAATTTAGTGATCCCTTGGATGCTGTTTCAAAACGAAGTCACACTCGTTTTTGTAGCTTTTGTGTATTTGTGTGTTTATTTATGGGGGCCTTTAATGAAGAGTTTGAAGAGAAATGCTACATTTCTGATTCTCTCACTGTCTGAGGATTTCTGAAATACTATTCACAGGATCTCGTTTCTGTGCCAACTTCTGTAATCAGTTACAAGACCTCCTTGAACATTTTAAGGAACTTCAAGTGAGAGGAAGGTTTCCCTTCCGTCTTGTTTCTCTACAGGAGTCAATTCTTAGGGGAGTTTCTACAGCTCTCTGCAGGCATCCCTGTCTAATTTCTTGCTCACAGATCCCTGGGGAAGAGTCTCGTCAACAGGGAAAATAATGCCCCTGTGACCGGCCCAGACCTCAGCGTGGCCTTGGAGGTGGGCTGGAGGGGCGCAGGTGCAGGCGAGGGGCACTGGGCGCTTACAGCCCCGAGGGAGAAGCTCTCTCGTGCTGCTGAGATTCGGCCTCACTGGCCTCACAGGTAGGTACCTCCTACCTGCCCGAGCCCAGTGGTCGGACCAACTTTCCTGTTTTGTGAGCTAAAATTAAATATAGTAATTGTGACTTCAATAAGATTTTGGGAAACATGTTTGCATGGGTTGCTTGGGGATGGATGTTACAATGCCCCTTGTCACATGACGAGTTCCTGGGGCGTTTCCCGAATTGGAATAAACCTCTGGCCTGTTGCAAAGGGCCCGTGTAGAAGGAAACATCGTTAATTCCTAAGTGTGCTCCACAAACTTGTTCTATGTAAAACAGGTGGTTGAATGTTATCATTTATATGGATCTGAGTTTCCCCTGGGCTGATATGAATAGAAATATTTAAAGAACTGTGTGTGGGTGCCTCTGAAAAGATGTGCTTAAAAGTTTTAAAATTCTACATTCTTTATGTTTTTAACAATTAAATATGGTGTACTAAAAGTTTTTGTGACCCATTAGTCACATAATACCTCCATAGATTAGAAAGCCGCAAATGAATTTAGCTTAGAAAAAAATGTTTTTGATCCCTCTGCTCCCAGTAGAGGGACTACTTTGGGTGGGTCATTTTTGCGGTTTTCTACGCTCTGTTTTGTAGCCCTTGGCCTGGGCAAGACAAGCCAGGGCCAGTTCTTGCATTACTTAGAGAAGGTAGGAATAGTTTCATTTTTAGTTTTGTTTTGATAGGTACTAGAAGTCCAACATGAATGATTAGGTTGTTGCTATCAATGGCCTATGTACAGATTCTCCCGACTACTTAATTTTATTTGCCTAAACGCCGTAATGAAGGCTAAAATGAAACTCAAACAGCTTCGAAGGATTCACGTTTTCTTCCTGTATTCCGGTATGTATTGGACTCTGATGTACGCAAGAAAGATAACAGCTTGTCAGATGACTGAATAGCCAGCTAGCCTGGCCGTTCGTGGTGATGATATGTGAATGTATAGAAGTATCGCTACTACTCCCTGGAATAGCCAAATGGTCTCCCTTTATGTACTGTATGTCCATTTAGCAGACGGAAATACTAAAGTGAAGTTATGTAGCTGCCAGTGTGTCCTCAGAACAGATTCGAGAGCATTTTAATCCACAGAAATCATATTACAAGTTTGGGAGGGATTTCTCTTTTCCTCTGACTCCTTCTTTCCTTTCATATCAGAAACACATCTTAAACCAAGAGCTGGTGGGCACTGTTCCATGTCCAAGGCCACGCTGACGTCTGGGACAGTCACAGGGACATTATTCTCTCCCTGTTGATGATACCCTTCCTTGGGGATCTGTGGGCGACAAATTAGACAGGGAAGCCGGCAGAGAGCTGCAGAAATTCCCCTAAGAATTTCCTCTGCAGAGAAACAAAGCCTGAAGGGAAATGTTTTTCCTACTTGAAGTTACTTTACATGTTCAAGAAGGACTTGTAACTTTGGTTTTAAAATTTAGTAGAGAAGTACTCTAAAATGACTAGCTTTGTCCTATGCCTTTCTACGCTGAAAGGGAAAAATTCCATCATGATTGACTGGAAAGATTTCAGAAGTCCTGCTGATAAAACACAGGCTGTCTCCTTAGACGATGGTGTTTGAGTTGTATTCCCTGGATTTCAAGGACTAAACTAATGTAGCTGAAGACAAATGCAAACATTTGTAATAGGCGGGACTTCCTTTAAAAAGACCCTAAAATTGGAGTCACAGATTTGTTTCTTACATAGATGTTACCTTATCAGCTACTGGCCTGATGCTTTTTTAAAAGGTAGTGATAAAAGTCTTAACTTTTTATTACTTTACATGTACTTACAAAGTACAATTTAGTAGCCTAATTACCTCCTGAAATTCTGGAATTTTAGCTTCGAATTTAGGAAATATGTATAATGGAAACAGGCAATAATATGAATCTTATACAGTAAGATCATATAGGAGATACTTTATCAGTGTTATTTGCTGTTGTTGGGATAATAGATACTTGTCATGTTTAAGACAATTATCAAAAGATGTAAGGAATAATTTGCCATGCCTTACTGAGGATGTCACAACATTCATAACTTGGCTCATAGACTCGAGAAAGGTCAGTCACGGTGAGCTCACCATGGAGGTCATTCTATAATTTTTTCGTAGGCTTAAGTTTGTTGTTTTCTTCCAAATTGTTGGCACTTTTGAGTTCTGAGCATGTACCAGTATCCATGTAGGCTCACTGTCAGTCATGCATAATAAATTCAATTTCTTATTAAACACACAAAAACTTCCTTTCAGATTGGAAAGTAGAAAATAATTCTCCTTACAGAAAGCACTCCTGTTGATACACTGTAGAAAAACATTCATTTTCCAATAAAAAACAGCTCTCCATGAAGTGTTAAAAACTAAAGAGTTGGTCAGTAGGAAATAGGTAATATTTGACTCAGTTTGGTTCTTTAAGATACAACATTATCAGTGAACAGCCATGAAAAGTGGTATACCACGTTTTCTTTCTAAGGTAAACGTGGTAACAGGGTTGAAGGGGTCTCTTCAGAATTCAAGCTGGACGGACCCTTGGAGACAGCATAATCTAATGTCACTAGTCTGTAGATGCGGCCACTAAGCACAGAAAGACTGTGTTGCTCAGAACCAGTGTGAAAGCTGGTCCAGCGCTCCAGCCGCGGACACTCGGCATCGCGCTGCCGCCGCCGAGAGAGGTCCACGTGTCTCACCAACACCGTGTGCTCTTTCGCTGTGTATTTCCTCAAGCGACCAGTTCCAAAGTCTGAGTAATGAAGATTTAGATTGCCTTTGTGATAGTACGTAATGAACAACGTGCATGTGTCTGGTTTTTGTCCTATGGAAAGTTCACTTGAAATATTAGTTAAAAAACGGTTTTCCTACAACTTGTTCAATTTTTTTTTGATTTGCTGATGAATACAATTAAGTTTTGGTGCAAAGTCTCTTGTGATTCGGGGGGTCTCATTGCCTTAGAAATTCCTTGTCCTAAGGCACCCCAGTGGGTACGGAAGTGGGCACGGCCGTCCCATCTACAACTGACTGCTAGGGGCACAGGAAACAAGAAGCTTTCAGAAGGTACACGTGAAGCCAAGATTGTGGTTCCCATTAGGTGACATTCTGGAGACGGATGAGTTTATTTTGCCACTTGGGTACCAGCTGCCACGTGAGCCGTGTTAGTCCAGGTGAACCCTAGACAAACAACGTGGGCATCTCCTGGGAGTTTGTCGGAGTCACAGATGTTCAGGCCACACCCACAGCAAATCGGAATCCCAGGGGGAGGGCCCCAGACTCCGTGGTTTTGTGTGCCTCTGCTGACGCTTAGGACGGCAGGGTTCGAGAAGTACTGAAACCAGCTTCAGCACGCCACGCCGTGGGGAACTTTCCGTGGGAGTGCCAGGAACTACTATACAGATGGACTCATTCCTGGAACTGTAATAGGAGACCCATTTCAGAAGCACCCATATTTCAACAGGAGCCTTCATTATTGATCATATCAGTTCATGGTTAGGGTGGTTTTCTGTTGGCTGAGGACATGCTTTCTGATGGAGGGGCTGTCAGAGGGGAGCAGCGACCTGTCCGGTCTATGCCTTGGCCCTGCTTAGCTGACACAGCCTTTTGCTTACCGAACTTGAGGGTTCACTTCAGACCATCTATCAGTGTGTGGATGCACATATTAAAAAGAAACGTTTGGATAGAGTGCGTTTATGTGGGCTGTTTCTTTTCCTTTTAGAGCCGTGGAGCTTTATATTCCTTTGACTTCCTTCGCTGGTTTTTCTCAACTGACTCGCCGACATCATTTTTAACTCCCTTTGCCCAGAACATGAAAATGCCAGTCTTGGTGACTGCCAGATGGACATCCAGATTTCCGCAGACAGAAAAGTATAAAGGCCCAGACTCCTTAAAAATCCCAAAATAAAATCCAGCTGACAAAGCAGATCAGCTGGGAGGAGGCAGGGATGCGCAGGGGTGCAGGTTCATGGGAGGGGGAGCTGCTCATGCCTTCTGCAAAGAGGAATGATCCTTTTTTTTTAAGATTTTATTTATTTATTTTTAGAGAGGGAAGGGAGGGAGACAGAGAGAGAGAGAGAGAGAGAGAGAGAGAGAGAGAGAGAGAGAGAAACATCAGTGTGCGGTTACTGGGGGCCATGGCCTGCAACCCAGGCATGTACCCTGACTGGGAATCGAACCTGCGACACTTTGGTTCGCAGCCTGCACTCAATCCACTGAGCTACGCCAGCCAGGGCAAAGAGGAATGATCTTATTGACAAAAATAAGCCTACACATCTTTGCCATACTCAATTATAAAAGTAATGACAATCTTTTTATATCTATATATAATTACAAATATTTAAGCATTTACCTCATTATGTCTCTTAGTGGAATATTTACTTCTACCTTCTCAGTTTACGAGTGGACATGTGTGATTTCACCCCTCTCTGTGTTGGGGGCTTCTTGCTGACTTTCAGAACAGTCACACTGAAGGTATATGGCCCCGTTGTTCAAGAAAAGTGCACTAGTTCTTTCATCAAACTAAAAATAATTTCTGCATGACAACTCAAGGATTCTGTGATCCTCCAAGCACCTAGAGAAATCTAATTCCATAAATCAAATCCATAGAATTTTCATTTTGGTTGTTTAAATGTAGGGAGGCACAGTCTGAAATCCAATGTGTAGATGAATAATGGACTGCGTTAACTTCGCCACATTTTTAAATCGATATCTTGTTCTTATATGTACTGCCTACATTTTGCTGATCAAATTGGAATTCATACCGGTGTATGTGGTGGTTTTGTGAGTCCGCATGTGAACTACCGTAGTGACCTTACTCTTTTCTATTCGCACCCTAATCCGGGATTTTAGCGTAGCTTAATACTGTGCTTGTTGTGACCTATTTTATAATCCAGGCTCTTAAGAGCGTCGTGGTTTGACAAATGTTGGGAATGCTTAGATAAAGCACACTGCCAAGTGCATGGAAGGTACAACTTAAGAATGATAGAAGTTGAAGAGATTGATCTCGGTCAGTAGGAGATACCAGAGGCTGAGCTGAAAGTCTTTCTGCTAATTCATCTTCACCGTTACTGGATTAAGTAAGTAGTTCTCAAGCTTTCCTGTACATATTAAGCATCTGATTACTGATATTAGAAAGCAGGTTTCCAGACCCCAAGATTCTGACCCACTGGCTTTGGGGTATGATCCAGGAATCTGTATTTTTAGCCAGTTTCTAAGTTAATTCTCATGCAAGAGACCCGAGAGCCAGCCTTTGAGATGCACTGACTTCAGGTTTCCATCATCCTTGACAACTATGGTTCTGTGTATCTCAGTGACAACAGTATGGTAGAGATCTTTTTAAGAACATATTTATGCATAGAAACATTTTAAAATACAGGAACATGACTGCTTACATGCCTTCTCATGTAACCACAGAAACATTTTCAAATCACTGATTTATAATCACTCTCTGTGTTAAGTAAGGTGTTCTATGAATATGTTTACATAGTTCTATCTAGTTTATAAAATTTAAACCTTGTTTATGGTATCTTTTAACTTAATCTTTTAATGTATGATACATTTTAAGTTATAAAAATAATTTAAGTCAACTTCCCCCCACCCAGATAGCAAGAAACAAATCGTGTCTGTTGATCGCCTTTGTAAAAGGAGAGATTTATCAGGCATTTCTTCTCTTCTTCTTTTTCTTAATCTCAGCACTTGGGAAAGAACCTGAGTACTTATAACTGACTTTTATATTTTTGGTCTCCCGTTTCAATAATTACTTTTGACACTTGTGTTTTTATGACCATGTAACTTAGACAGGCAGGTTTCTTTGTTTAATATATTTTTAAATTCATAAACTTTTATCTGAAAGTTGCTTGTTCTGATTAATTTTTCAAAAGCCTGAACTGTTACGCAAGTAAGTTTTAAGGAAGCTAACGCGGGCACATTGCCTTCTGCACCTGTGTTTATGACAGTGTCTCCCTGTTCGCCGTCCCTTCACACGCGAACGCTGTGCTGGCCGCTTGCAGACCAGCGAGATCACAGCAGTTCAGTTTAACATGGTTAGTGTGCAGCCCACGGAGCTCTGCAGTTCAGTGCCGTGGGGAGACAGGGTGCCAATCTGAATTTTCCCTATTCGCACGTAGCATGTAAAACACTCTTTTAGTTGCTCTAGAGTTGTAAAAAGATAATGAAACCCATGAATTTGCCTTACTATATCTAGGTATAGGTCTTTTTAAAAATTCACTTTGCTTGAAACAAGAGTACTACTACCAGGCTTTTAATCAGGGTCTGCCTGGTCACGTGTGTGGTTAATATTTTTGCCCATTCTGTGGCTTGCCTTTCATGCTTCATGACGTCTTAATGCACATCAGTCTGTAGCTCTAACGTAGTCCAAAATGGGGGGATTTTGGGGGTCCTGTTTAGTAATTATTTTCCTATTCTGAAAACAAAATATTCTTACTAGTTTTCTTTTAAAGCTTTAATATCTTACCTTAGATGTTTAGAGTTCCAGTTTCTCTGGTATTGGTGCTTTTTTGCGTTATGTAAAATTAGGATTGAGATAGTTGTATATTTTTTCCATAAGGATACTCAGTTGACTGACAAGCAATAATTGAAAGGTCCCTTTTATCCCCAGTTTACAGCATCGTCGCCATCAAAAGTCAGCGTAGGGCATACGAAGGGTCCACACTAGCATCGTGTTCCGTACCATCAGTCGGAGTTTGACTCTTTGCATCTCTCCGCACTGCCCCGATTATTCCAGCGTTATAGTCAGTGTTGTTAGCGAGCAGTATAGACCTTCAGCTTCACCCTCTTTCTCCGAGAGGGCCCCGACTGTTCTTGGCCTTTTACCTTTCCCTGTGCATCGTAGAATAGCCCGTCAGGTGACACCCAGCACGCCGCACGTGCTGGGATTTGGGGGGCGGCAGCATCCAGTCTGTAGACTTCGGAACTCAGCGGACCGACCAGGGATGCGGCTCCGGCCGGCGTCCACTGCGGCTGGTCACGGCCGTCATTCATTCTGCGACGGCGTGTTGTGGACCCCCCAGTGTGTAACCCCGATCGGGCCCCTCTCAGCCCCTTCAGCTTGTTTTGGAAGACTTCAGGCTTTGCTCTTTTTGTGTTAAGAGACGATTTATTCTCTGTGTCCGTCTTTCCCACCTGCTTGTCCCTGACAGTGTCTCTGAAGACACTTGTGGATTGAAAGTATGAGTCCTGGATCTCAAGGAAAAACACAGGTTCATGTATTCTAGAATATGGTGGCTGGGGGTGGTGAGACGGGCCGGAAACTCAAAGGGGAACGTCCAAAGATGAATGCAAGTGTCCAAATGAAGTTAGAAAACACAATCCACTTACACAGTATTGACATGTGGCCAAGTTTATTTGGAGTTTTTCCCCTTTCATTTTGTTGTATTAGAAAGCACTGCTGTGGATCCTTAATGTATAATTCCTTTTTACTAGATGATATGCCAGACAGCAGAAGTGTACAATTGAATGTTTTGTAGCAGCAAAATTTGCTGGTTAGCATAATTAGCACGAAAGAAACATCGTCAGCTTCCTAGAAATTCCCTCCCAGCTTCTGCCTGTGACTGCTCCCTCCTTCCCAGAGACAGCCCTCACAGCCTCCGCCAGGGTGGATGAACGTCGCTTGTTTCTAAATGTCTATACGTGGAATCACGGGATGTGGATCGTTTCATGTTTGACTTCCCGTCATCAGCACATTTTAGGCTTCCTCCATGTTGTGTGAAACTCATTTTAGCTATTGCCTTGTACCCTGGATGTGTGATGGTACCACCGTTTTCACCTCCCAGGTTGGGGGAGTGTGTCCTCGGGGCAGATGGGAGTGTCCACGCCCCACTCCGTCTCCCTGTGTGGCAGCCCAAGTCCTCCGTGGATCTGTGTGGGGGTTAGTGGGGAGAGCCGGCACCTCCTCAAACCCTGGCAGGTCTGTGCTATGTTTCGGTCCGGGACTGGAGCCCCAGATGCCTCCCTGCGCCCACCCGCCCAGCTTTTGCTTCTTCTCTTCTGCCTGTGGTTCCGGGGGTCAGGAAGGGGAGTCTTCTGTTCCTCCACGGAGGCAGATGGGGGTCTCTCTTACCGCTTCCCTTGTTCCCCTCCCCCCGCAGGGTTTCCCCTCCCCCGGCAGGGATGTTGCTTCAAACCGGAGGAGGGCTCAGAGACACCTACAGAGCCTCTCACCTGTCAGCTTCCCACATGTCTGAGCCACCAGGGCAGACCCTCTCTGACGCCCCCAGTCTCCCTCCTGCGCCCCCCAAGCTGAGGCCTGCGGAGGGGATCTTCCGCGGGAGTGCCCACTCAGCTGGCCTCTGGTGGTTCTAAACGGACGCTCTAGTTCACGCGGGCCTTTAGGCATCAGGGGCAGTCATGGCTGATTGTTTTCTTCCTCCCTTTTATGGAGTCTCCGCTTCCTCCCATTCCCCCCTCTGTCTCTGCATAGAGGGGCTTTTTTACTCTTTAGAATTCCCTTGACTGCTCGAAGCCTGACAATTCAATGCTGTCTCCCTCCGGGGAGAATTTACTTGTGCTTTTGAAAAGCATTAGTAAAGGAAAAGGGACTCAGGGATGTGGAGAACAGGGTGGCAGTTGTTGGTGTGGGGGGTAGGGGGGGAGAAGGGCACTAATTGGTAATGGAAAAAATACAAGAAAGATTAAATTTTTTAAAAAAAGAAGGAAAAGCATTAGCACAGGGAAGGTCACCTTAATGCACTGATTTGAGGCTGGCCCTCGGTCTTTGTAAGGGGTGGCCTATTTCTGCTTCGTCCTTGGCCTTGAGACGTAGACCCAGGTGGAACGTGCCGAAAGGCCACCATTATTGGATCATCATTTCCCTTGGCAGCGTCTGAACCCCACGTCTCCTCCGGCCCCGTGAGACTTCCAGACGCTGCCCACAGCTTCTCAGGACGTCGGCCTCTGGTTTCACGCAGGCCAGTCCTGTGGGGGAGACACCGCAGCCCCCGCCGCCACCGTCATCAAAGAAGAAGAGTTTGGCTAGACCCTTTGGGCTTCTCTTGGGACACCCCTTCTTCGTCTAAGGTTCCACCTATTTCCGTCCACCTTTCCTAGCTGTCCTCGGTGGGGAACTAGAGTATGTATGCTGTGCTTGGCTGCCGTTGCTGGAAGCCAGGGTCTTACACATAACAATCTTCTGAAAATAAAGGATCATTCTGACTATGCGGAGCACCCTTATTAAACTGTATTATGTGCTCTGGGGCTCAGACTCCCTTCTGACCCTTCGATGTAGGATTTTCATCTTAATAGGGTGGATGAGTCCCCCAGATTGCAGTGATACAATGCTTTTGACAGCTGGCTTCCACTAATCTCGGTGTCTTCAGAGGAGTGTCTGTTCATAGTGAGAACAGGCAGACAGGTGGTCCCAGGTGTGTGTCAACCTCTGCAACCCCTCCAACAGGAGGATCGCTCCCACCCCCTGAGTCTCCCTTTCGCAGCCCCACCCTCCCCTCTAACCCATCCAGCCCTGGTCCTAGGCAGGTCAGGTGCAGGCACCTGGAAGAGAATGCTTAGGGGTGGTGCCATGTATCTTGTAGATTCTGCATCCTGCCCTGTGCGGTTGACCAAGCAACGGCCTGTGCTTACTTGGCCCATTCATTCCAGTTTGCTGGGAAGTTTGTGTAAGTGTCGTTGCTGTGTCCCATGGCAACGGGGGCGGGGCCCACCGAGAGGGTAACAGTGGGAAGCACAATAGGTAAGAAGACCTCCCGGAAGGGGATGAACTTAGGAGGGGAAGGATAGGCTGCAGATGCCACATTTCAGAGGATTGAGCCAATATCAAAATCAGGCAAAGCGGGCCAGAAGAAACCTAAATGCAGAATCGGAGAAGACACGACTGAGACCAGACAAGACAAGATGCGGACAGCAGGCAGGGCGTCTTTTCCCTGTGTTTGGGGTTTGAACCGGCACGAGTACATGAAAACACCCAGTCTGGGCGGAGAGAGCAGCAATGAACATCGCGGGCTCTGGTACAAACAGGCCCCCATGAAATTACAACCGGGGAACTCTCAGTACGTTCCGTTCTGGGCCAGGGACTGTGTTTTGATTTTATTAATAGTTCCTCTATTTCTGGTCGGATGCTGGTGACTGGCAGATACCACCAGCTTCTCGGAACCAGAGCGGGGCCTACTTCATCTGCTTAAAATTGCCGCATTGTAACCCTCCTAACGAAGCATGGAAAGCGTTTCTGGGAAGGGTGAAGGAAAACAAAACGGAAACATTGCACCTGTGTGAATGGGTCGCGTGAGATGTGCCGATACAGTTTCCTTTTGTGAAAAGACTCATCTTATGTATTTTTCAGTGATTAATTGTTAAGAAACTTGAAAAAAATACAAGATAACTCAGGTTCTTTCTATGAATAAATATCTCTTGCTGTATTTATTTAATTTAAAAAATATCTGGTCCTCTGTAACTCTGCTGCTATAGAACCTAGATTGCTGCAACACTATAAACCCTGTAAATCTTGCTTCATTCCTACAGTCGTTACACCCCAATGTCCTAATGTAGGGGAGTAAGATTACCGGTTGTATTGACTAGCCTGCATGGAGTGTGCCTGTCTTCCTGACTCAGGAGTTCTGGTTCTCAGCGTTATGACTGGCCATGCATTAGTTAGCTATCATCGCAAAAAACCTGTTACAAACCACTCCAAATCTCAGCAAAATATAACAATAAGCTCACAGGTGTGAGGCTAGGGGTTTCCTAGCGGGTTTGGCTTAGCCTCGGGGTTCTGCTCCTCACTGGAGGTCTGGGTCATGTCCGGGCCGCTCTGAGGCTGTGTCTGGCGTCCTTCCCCCACCAGACAGGCGGCCGTGGTGCGTTCCTCTCACGCTGGTGGCAGAGACATGAGGGCGGGGACGGAAGCCAGCCGTGTGCTGGGCTTGCACACTCTGACTCCTGCCCCCGTGCCACAAGGCAAAACAAGTCGTGTGGCGAGTCCAGGGGCAACAGGCTGTCCCGATGAGATCACGACACACATTCAGATGCAGAGATGGAGAAAAGGTCAGGACCAGCGAGTGGACCACGCCTGGGTATTATTGCCTACAGCAAGTTTTCTGACAACGTGAAACATCTTACTTTATTCTCTCCATTTCTGTATCATGCTGGCATTTAGCCATTGATGATTGTCATTTCCATCTGTCGCTGACCTTAACAAGGGTAGATGTGGAGTAGGTGCCACTGTGACTCTGTCCTTCCTGTCTCGGTTATGGCCACGTGATGGGGACATGCTCCCTCCTGAGGGCAGCTCAGGGTGTGCGCTCTGCCCTGCAGTCAGGTCTAACCAATGGAGCAGGTGCGGGAATTAGACACCACCGGCCGTTCTCACGCTAAGTGAACCAGATCCTGTTCACTCTGAGTTCATCAAAGTACCTGCAGTGCAATAAGGAATGGGCCTTTCTATGCAAGATAGAGATGGCATGATGTGCAACATCTTGCTTTTCTTAATTCTGGCAAATGTGGTAATGTGCTCATGGAAAATCATCAGGAGATAAGACATAAGACCTAATGCGTGCCCTATAAACCAGGTGTCAATGTTAACTACCTTGGAGTTACACTGGTACACCAAGTACATGCTTGATGCCTGGGGTGATTGTAAAATAATTTTACCAGTTCAAGTTCACATTTTTGTTTCCCCTTTTAATAAAACAGTTTCTTAAATGATTTGGCAGCCATTTCCCTCCAAGAGAGTGAACAAGGACCCCGGACCCCTGGTTGGGGAGCTCGTCACCTGTCGCTTGGGTCTGCCCCCCTTTCCAGGGCCCCGTGCTGTGCGCCTCCAGTTCCTGTGAACCGCCCAGGTGACAGCCCCTTCTCACACCCAGGTGTTCGTCCGCTCACTCGGCACACACTTTGCATCTCCTATACAAATCTGGTCCTTTGCCTTGGGGAGCTCACCACTTACGTTCACACAAACACTCACTATCCAGTGCAAACAAACACAAATATAAAGGCAAACCAGTGAGGGATTGGGGGCATTTGAGAAAGACTTCAAGGAAGAGGGGTATTTAAGTTGGGTCTTTTTTTTTTTAAATCAACAAAATATTTTTTTATTAATCATTGCTCATATACAGTTTTCTCCTTTTTACTCCCAATCCAGTCCCCACTTCCCTCCCATTACCACCCTCCCCTTAGTCTATGCCCATGTGTCCTTTAAGTTTGTTCCTGTGAACCCTTCCCACTGTCCCCTGAAATTCCCTCTTCTCTCCCCTCCGGTCACCATCAGCCTGCCCTCTATTTCAGTGTCTTTGGTTACATTTTGCTTGTTTCTTTGTTTTGTTATTTAGGTTCCTGTTAAAGGTGAGATCATATGGTATTTGTCTTTCACTGCCTGGCTTGTTTCGCTTAGCATAATGCTCTCCAGCTCCATCCACGCTGTTGCATAGGGTAGGAGCTCCTTCTTTCTCTCTGCTGCATAGAATTCCATTGTGTAAATGTACCATAGTTTTTTGATCCACTCATTTACTGATGGGCATCTTGGTTGCTTCCAGCATCTAGCTATTGTAAATTGTGCTGCTATGAACATTGGGGTGCATAGGTTCTTTTGAATTGGTGTTTTAGTATTCTTAGGATAGAGTAGGATATAGTCCCAGCAGTGGAATCGCAGGGTCAAAAGGCAGATCCATTTTTAGTTTTTTGAGGAAGTTCCATATTGCTTTCCATAGTGGTTGTACCAGTCTGCAGTCCCACCAAAAGTGCACTAGGGTCCCCTTTTCTCCACAACCTCCCCAACACTTGTTGTTTGTTGCTTTGTTTATGATGGCCATTCTGTCTGGTGTGAAGTGGTATCTCATTGTGGTTTTAATTTGCATCTCTCTGATAGCTAGCGATATTGAACATAGTTTCATGTGTCTTTGGGGTCTTGAAAGAGCTTGTTAGTCACAGGAAAAGGGGGAGGGGAAGGACGGTTCAGGCAAAATCATTTGGAATCTTCAGGGTGTAAAGTCGCAACAGTCTAGAGCATGCTTAGGAACTGTAGTGCCAGTAGGGAGACTAGTAAGGAAACTCTTTCATTAGCTTACACAGGACACAAGGGGTTTCACCAAAATAGTGGCGTTGGGGGTGGAGAGAAGGACCTCTTGAAGACACGTGTTGAAAAGTAGTTTGATAATATGTGGTGATCGGGTGGAGGAGGAGAGGGAGGGGAAGGGAGGAAAGACTCGAAGATGACTTGGTGCTTGTACCTGGAGCTCCCGCCGGGAGTGTAAGGCTGGTCTGCGGAGTGGGGGCTGCAGGCGGAAGTGCAGAATGTTCGGGAGGGGTGGGGTGGGGGACCTTTCTGAAAGGGCTTCACACGCAGTCACACTGAGATTCCCTGGCGAGTGGCTGAGGGCTCAGAGGTGGGTCGGTGGTTGGGAATGGGAGGTGGAAGCTTGGTGAGGGTGACGTCGGCCAGGCATATCAGAAGCCAGACTGGAACCCCGGAGGTGGTGGCACGGCAGAGAGTGTGGGGCAGCTGCTCCATGTGGGGCCAGGTGGGGTAAGAAAGCTTGGTGCAGGACACACACAGAGTTGTAGGTCAACGTAAGATAAGCAGCGGATAAGGGAGACAGCAATGGGTGGGGGGCAAATACAGAGGGTGGGGCAAAGCAGCGCAGTCCCGTAGTCAGGGACAGAGGGCTGTGGGGGAGCTCCGAGGGCAGGACAGAAAGGGTGCTCCAGATTCAGTGAAGTCACCAGGATGGAAACAAGTTAAGCGAGAGGTTCCTCCATCCAGGAACTGTCCCTGGCAGGCTGTGAGCAGATGTTACTGACAACACTCCCAGAAGAAAAGGAGGAAGTCTGAAGAACGGTGACATGTTCCATCTGAGACATTTTTCTAGAACAACCATAAGGCTCTTCTCAGTGAGCTCCGGTGACACTTTTATGTCATACAAGTGTATCTGTGTCGGAACAAAAGCCATCTTGCTTTGGGGGCATGAAAAGTGAAATATTCAAAGTACTCAAATTGTTTGTTTTGTTTTTTTGCTTTCCACCCCACTCTGTCCTTCTTCCTTTCCTTCCATCATTTTTTTCTTCACTGAGGTGTAAGGCTTTGATGAGTTTGAAAAGATCTCTCAGAACTTGTTACATGTTGGGTGACGCCCCTAAACTTTAGAGAGGATATTCTGAAGCTCAGATAGTCTCCCAGTATACCAAGAAATCTCCTGTTTTGCATGGCTACAATATCCTCCTAGAAGTGAGTAAAACTACAGTGAAACCAAATGATGTGACTCTGATTCTCTGTTGAGTGTACGGGCACTCCGTTCAGTCACGTAGTGCCCATACATTCCTGGGGGCACGAAGGTCAATAACTGGCTGAGCCGGAAGCACATAGAACTATGGGCTTCACCAGCTTTTCCCCTGGACGCTCTCTTCCAGTCGTCCGTCCGGTTGTAAGGTTGTACATGAACCCGATTTTCTGCTTCTTGTGTTGGTTTTGTTTTCCCGGATTCCTTATTGCTAATGTGGTGATTTCTAGAAACTTGCCTGCGTCTGGCAAAACTTAAATCAAAGATGTCTTTTGGAATAAAAACTGAAAACCAAATATACCATTTGATATAAGCATTCTCTGGTATCGCACAGTAACATCATGATTGCTTTATTTATTGTTTCTTAGTTGAACACAGGCCTCCGTTTCTGGGTTGAGCATGGTTTTTACAGGTACGGTTACGTGTAAATGACGAAACTGTTTCAGCTGAAGTGTGTGTGCACGTCCAGCTGCTTGTCCTGACGGGCCTTGCTCAGGGCAGGTGGGGGAGGCTGCCTGGCTGAAACACGCTGTTGTCACTTCAGGTGCCGAGCAGTAGAAACACCCTATGGCTTGGATGACTCGCGTGTCACATTGGTTTGAGCAAGATGATTGGTATGAAGGACTACAAAGAGTAAGCTACATTTATGTCGTAATTACAATTGTGTGTGTGTGTGTCTTTTTTCTATTTTACTTTTCATGCGGTTTTATTACTCTGTCACTTATACTGGGGACATTTTTGCATTGCAGAATTCTGAGTGTAAATAAGATACTTATTTGGTAGATTTAAGTGCAGAGGTAAGAAGGTAGTACATACAAATAATTGTAACTATACATTAAAGAAAAGGCATCTTTTTCTATCCTAGTTTTAGATGAATTCGTAGTGTTTCCAGATTGTTTTAGGCTTTAAATACAGGGTGGGCACAAGTAGGTTTACACAAAACAGAGTTTATTATTATATTATTATTTCTTAATTATTGTATTATTTTCCACATGAACAACTGTAAACCTGTGTTTGCCCCAGTGTTTATAAGCTGGAATTCCTTCTAATGAGATTAATGTATAAAATAGCAATAATTTCAATGAGGTCATTTGACATAAAGAAAAACATTTAATGAAATAAATGTGTATAATAATACATATAAAACTTTTCTAAAGAAGAATGCCATGTTATAGTTGATAAATTGCTAGGCAATTAATTATGTTTCGAAAGGATTTGCATTGTTACTATGGCAACTTCTGCATGGTATTTTGAAAAGCTCTTCTGACCTATTATTGCCACAGTACAAAACTACTATTTGAAAATGCACCTTATCAGAATGTACTTAGTTTAGAATAACATATGATTTCTCTTTGACTATTTTTACCTTTTTAACGGACAGTTTTCTAAATTATTTAAATGAAGGTTAAATAATGGATTTTTTCATTAACGAGTGGGCCAAAATAGCCAGGAACTCTGCGAAGTTTCACCCACTTTTCCCGGTGTTGGAGGGTGCGTGCTACTAAAGATACGCAGTGCTGGGTTTGTTTTTTTTCCTTACTTCTTCAGGTTTCCATTCTAATCACGTTCACCAAAGATATGTTCTCAGTATTCTAGTTCTTTTTAACTATTTCTTTTCTTAAAGCTACTTTTTAAAAAAGATATTTATTTACTTTTAGAGAAAGGGGAAGAGAGGGAGGGAGAGAAACATCGATGTGCAAGAGAAACGTCCGTCGGTGTGTCCCTCACACACCCCCGCCTGGGGCCCGGCCCGCAACCCAGGCATGTAACTGTTCAGCTGTAAATGCTCAGCTGTGTAAGGCCTCTTGCCTCTGCTTCAGAGTCTTTTTCCCCTCAGCTGTGAATCACGCTGGTCAGCAGCTCTGAAACCAATTAATTTCTAACTCTGGAGAAAACCCCTGTCGTACTGTGAATCCTAAATCACTCTGCAGGGACAGGTGGAGACTTAGTGGGTAGCTCTCTGTCCTGAATTCCATTCTTACCCATGAATGATGACATGTGTCCGCTTCTGGGTTGACCAGCAGCACTCCAGCCCCACTGGACACACAGGCACCCACACTGCGGTGTTAGCCTCCTGCGTGTTGCGTATGTGTGCATTGTAAATGGACTAATTTCTGATGTCGAAACAGGGAGCTTTGTTTCCAGTGCAGCCCATGTACTCCTCGGTGGGAGGGGCAGGGGTGACCGTGTAATTTGGGGGGGAGGGGTGACTGATTGTAGAAAACTGCTTTTTGTACTAAAGGTACGTGTTTCTTTATACTGACTTTGGGGAAGCTCGTAGAAATTATGAGATTCACAGTCCTTCGCTCCACCGTAACTCCAGTCTGCCCTTCATTAATACCGTTGGCCTTGATAAATTAATTCCTGGTTGTGAGGCATTTTATCCCAAGCTGTTCTAGACGTAGTTTGACCCTCAGATCACCATACTGTCTTTGTGAGTTTGAGCTCCTTCTGGCTCAAGTTTTGATCAGTTCTTATACAGGCTTAGATGAGAAAGAAAGATGCTATTCTAGACAATGGAATTTGACACATGAATATTGACTTTAATTTTCTCTAAAAAATCCAGCTTATTATTTTTCAGATCATGTGTATGTGCATATGTACCCTATATATCAGATTTCAGCATTGTGAGCTTTTCAGTAGATTATTTGTTAAATATTTGCAGAGAGAGACAGAGATAAGATGGATTTTTGAGTTGAAAATTGTAGTTTGGACATGTAGTGTTTGAAAAGTCACATGCAGTCATGAGTTTGGTCTTTCTAGCACTCAGTTGGCCTTTATACATTGATATAATTAGTGTTTGTGGCATATATATTTCTACAGACACAGAGACCCATACTATCAACTTGATTTTAGCTTAGTTTTATAATTTTATTTTTGACAGTGTCACAACACGTTTTAAATTTTATTATAATCATTTCATATAATACTCTTGCATTTTCACAAGTTAGCACTTGTACTATACACATCTCATGAAAATACACTCATCACTTTTTAAAATATTTTATACACTTACTGTGCAAAGCAACCTCACTCTAATTATGAGAGTGTGTGTGTGTGTGTGATGGAAACTAAAAATTGTATGTAGGCTAGAAAAACAAAGACAGTCTTGCAAGGGCAGCAGTGGCAGGCTGCTGACACTCGGTGGCATGTGGGGTGACAGATGCCAGGCCTTCTCCCTGAGCCCCGTGTCCGCCTGCATTGCTCAGTGCCCTGCACCGTCCGGTGCTTCCTCTCCAAGGTGCGTGTGTTGCTTCTGGGCCAGAAAGAGGTTGTGTTCTGGAGCGACAAGTGTTTGGAATGGACACAGAATTTCTTAAACTGTTCACAGGAAAAATAAGGAAACATATTATAAAGATAAAAAAGGATATATAACATTTATGTGAACTCTGTAATCACCCAAGTTAAAAAGCTACTTAAATATATATATATATATATATATATATATATATATATATATATATATATGACATTTTATAGGATTAATATTTAAATTGCAAAAATATATTTTGAAGCGGACCTCATCTGAACATCTTCCACTTTCAGTAATGCAGAAGCATCAACTGTGTAACAATTCATGCTGACCACACAGATAACGAAAGCTCCTGGACATTTCTCTTTATTTCCTCAGCAACTCTAGGTACCACTTAATAAAGGCTACATAGTATTATGTACATACATTTATCTTATGATACTCTTTAAGTTTCAAATACTACCACATTAAATAATTCAGATTTATAAATGCAGTAGTATACATATATTTAATAACACATGATTTTTAAATATTGCTTCAAAATGTTAGATTTTTAAAAAATAAAATGCCATGTTGTTTTGTCCTATTTATTATTTTAATGACTGGTGTGGACAAATGATTCAGCTCTGAATTTAAGTTGTGGGATGTAATATTTATGAAAGCTGGACTTCCAGCCAAGATGGAGGCTCAGGTAGGCACACCATGCCTTCTCGCACAACCAAAAGAAGGCCAACAACAAATTTAAAAACAAAAGACAACCAGAACTAATAGAAAATCAAACTGTATGGAAGTCCAACAACCAAGGAGTTAAAGAAGAAACATTCATCCAGACTGGTGGGAGGGGCGGAGATGGGCAGCCGAATGGAGAGGACTCACTGAAAGGCAGCAACTGGAGGACTAGGTGGTCCCACATTCACGTGCAGATAAACTGGGAGGAACAACTGGAGAGCGAGACAGACCATGCAACCAGGGTTCCAGTGCAGGGAAGTAAAGCCTCAAAACTTCTGACTAAAACCACCTGTGGGGGTTGCAGCAGCGGGAGAAACTTCCAGCCACACAGGAGAGCTCCTTGGAGAGACCTGCAGGGTCCTAGAATGTACACAAACCCACCCACCCAGAAATCAGCACCAGAAGGACCCAATTTGCTTATGGGTAGTGGGGGAACTGACTGAAAGATGGTGGAAAGCTGAGCAAATGGCATTGTTCCCTCTCAGACCCCTCCCTCACAGACAGCATCACAACGCAGCCATGTGGGTTGCCCTGCCCTGGCAAATACCTAAGGCTCCACCCCCATACCATATAATAGGTGCGCTGAGACAAAAAAAAATATGGCCCAATGAAAGAACAGATCAAAGCTACAGAAAAAATACAACTAAGTGATGAAGAGATAGGCAACCTATCAGATGCAGAGTTCAAAACACTGGTCATCAGGGTACTCACAGAATTGGTTGAATATGGTTGCAAACTAGAGGAAACAGTGAAGGCTATGAAAAGTGAAATAAAGGAAATTGTACAGGGAACCAACAGTGTGGGGAAGGAAACTGGGACTCAAATCAACGGTTTGGACCAGCAGGAAGAAATAAACATTCAACCAGAACATAATGAAGAAACAAGAATTCAAGAAAATGGGGAGAGTCATAGGAACCTCTAGGACATCTTTAAATGTTCCAGCATCTGAATCATAGGAGTCCAGGAGGAGAAAAGAAAGAGCAAGAAATTGAAAACTTCTCTGAACAAATAATGAAGGAGAACTTCCCCAATCTGGCAAAGGAAATAGACTTCCAGGAAGTCCAGGAAGCTCAGAGAGTCCCAAAGAAGTTGGACCCAAGGAGGAACACACCAAGGCACATCATAATTACATTTGCCAAGATGAAAGATAAGGAGAGAATCTTAAAGGCAGCAAGAGAAAAGGAGACAGTTACCTACAAAGGAATTTCTATTAGACTATCAGCTGATTTCTCCAAAAAAATCTTACAGGCAAGAAGGGGCTGGAAAGAAGTATTCCAAGTCATGAAAGGCAAGAATCTACATCCAAGATTACTCTATCCATCAAAGCTATCATTTAGAATGGAAGGGCAGATAAAGTGCTTTCCAGGCAAGGTCAAGTTAAAGAAGTTTATCATTACCCAGACCTTATTATATGAAATGTTAAAGGAACTTATCTAAGAAAAAGAAGATCAAAACTATGACCAGTAAAACAAACTCACAGCTATTAACAACTGAACCTAAAAAACAAACAAACAAACACATACACACAAACTAAGCAACCAACTAGAACAGGAACAGAATCACAGAAATGGGGATCACATGGAGGCTTATCAGCAGTGGAGTGGGAGGGGGAGAAAGGGGAAAAGGTACAGAGAATAAGTAGCATAAATGGTGGGTATAAAATAGATGGGGGGTGGTTAAGAATGGCATTGGAAATGTAGAAGCCAAAGAACTTATATGTAAGATCCATGGACATGAAGTAAAGGGGGGAATGCGGGTGGGAGGGGGTGTGCAGGGCAGAGGGGAATAAAAGGGGGGAAATGGGACAACGGTAATAATATAATCAATAAAATATATTTTTTAAAAAGACTTATGAGAACTGGTCAAGAACAAGGGTATAGCAAATGATATGATAAAATTGAAATGTTTATGTTATCTGAGTAAGAAAAATAAAAAGTAGGAAATCAAAATACACCGATAGTTAACGTGAAAATGTTGACATGGGTTTCAAAATAGTGTACTGGTTTTTAATAAATAAAAGTCAGTAGCAGGGCGTCCGGGTTCCGGTCTGGCATGTGTGGAGTGCGGGAGTCCTCCCTCTGGCCTGAAACAACGAACAGCTTCATGAACTGATCTTAGGTCCGTGACAGACACCATGAGGTCACAGGGCAAACTGCTGCCCCCGAAGCAAAGAGGCAGGTACAGAGAATTGGGGCGTGCTGGAGCGGAAACCCACCTACAGGGGCCGTGGTGGGCGCTGGGGCAGCGGGCAGTGGGTGGAGAGGTGGAGACTCCGGGGAGGCTGCCCTGCTTCTGTGAGTCTGACCTCCAGGCCCCCGAGGGTCCTCACTTGAATATCAGAGAAAGTCCCTTAATGCTTCTGGCCGGGGGGAGGAAAAGGAACCAATCCGAAACGTCCTGGAGCATTCGCTTCTCCTTAACAAGGCTGCCCTGGGGAGACCTTAACCTGGTGGACTTATAGCAGAGCCTGATTTCTCTGGGTGAAGGGACATACGGAGCTCCAGCCCCTTTGGGCCACTGTCTCACCTACGGGAGGAACCTTCTAGAATCATTGGTGAGGTGCACCTTCCACAGGCACGGGCTCACCGAAGGTCAGAGACCTAATCCGAGGACGAAGACCCTGTGCCCTCCTCCCGTACCTCACCACCAGCCGGTACATGTTCCCCTTGCAACACAAAGGTGCAGGGTGTACTAGAAGGCACACGACACAGTTTGCCAAAGAGATGAGCAAGCTTCAGAACCCCAGTGACATATGGCAGGAATGTTGGAATTATAAATTAAGAACTATGATTAACGGACAACATGCAAGAACAGATGGGTGATATAAGCAGAGAGATGGAGATTCTAAGAAAGAATAAAAGAAAAAAATGAACGACCAGAAACACTGTAACAGAAGTGAAGAATGCCTTAGTGCGGTGGTTCGTCGTAGACTGGGCCTGGCTGAGGAAAGGCGCTCGCAGCCTGAGAAAGTGACGATGGAAACTTCCAAGACAAAGCAATGGAAAAAAGGAGGAAAAACAAAGTAACAAAACATCCAAGAACTGTGGTGCCTCTACAAAAAGTATAGCATACACACAATAAAAATAACAGAAGAAGAAAGACAAAAAACAGAAGCAATCATTGAAACAACGGTTATTAGAATTTCCCCCAAACAATATCAGACGCCAAACAACAGATCCAAAAAGCTTTGAGAACACCAAGCAAGATAAATACCAAAGAAATTCATATTTAAACTGCAGATCATAAATCATATTTAAACTGCAAATCATATTTAAACTGCAGAAAATAAAAGACGAGGAGAAAATCTTGAAAGAAGCCGAAGGAAATAAACACTCTATCTATAGAAGAAAAAGGACAAGAATTACATTCGACTTCTCAGAAACCGTGTAAACAAGAAGAGAGTGGAATGACACATTTGCAGTGTCGAGCGAAATGAAACAACCACCGAGGACTATTTGTACCCTGCTAAATTATCCTTAGAAAGTGAAGGGGAAACGCAGGCTTTCTCACACAAACAAAAGATTTAATGGTTTGTTGCCAGTAGACCTGTCTTCCAAGAAATGTAAGTTCTCCAGAATGAAGGAAAATGATACAACAGGTCAGAAACTCAGATCTACATAAACAAAGGAAGAGTATCAGAAAATTAATAAGTGATGGTAAAACAAAAATTTTTATTCTTAATCTTAATTGATGTAATAAAAACAGGCTTTTTTCAAAATGAAAATAACAGTATATTGATTTTGTATGCTCATGTGTACACACACACGCATGTACATGTGCTCTGTATGCTTCTGTATAACGGCAGTGAATGGCAGCAATGATGCAGGGGGTGGGACGGAGGAATTGGGGATACTTTGTCATTATAAGTTACTGACAATACTTGAGCAGGGGGAGAGTGTCATTTGAAAATAGACTTGGATTAGTTGCAAATGTGTATAGCAAATTCTAGGGCAACCACTAAAACATTTTCTACATGGGGTGCAGTTGAAATGCTAAGGAAAAAATGAAACCTATGACGTGCTCCATTGAAACCCCAAAAGGGAGAAAAAGGGAGGAAGGCGGAAACAGGGATGAAGGCCAGGGCAGCACACGGAAGCAGTAAAACCATGGCAGGCACGGCATCTAACTGCGTCGGTAGTGACCTCAAGGCCAACGGTCTAAACACACCTGATGAAGACAGAAATTGTCAGAGTGAGTCAAGAAACAAGACTCAACTCTATGTTGTTTACAAGAAACACATGACGTATAGAGACATGCAGGGAAAAGTGAAGGGAGTAAACTAAAATAAAACCAAGCAAAACAAACAAAAACCCCTCAGATCACAGTGTGGTGATGACCAGAGGGAACGGGGTCGGAGGGAGGAAGAAGAGGGCGCAGGGTGGTAAATGGTGGTGGAGGAGACTTGGGGTGGCGAACACACCATACAGCGTACAGATGCTGTGTTACAGAATTGTGTATCTAAAACCTACATCATTTTGTTAACCAAAGTCACTCCAATACATGCAACAAAAAATAAAAAATGTTTGCCCCCCTTAAAAAAAAGAGTAAAGAGACGGAGAAAGATGCACCGTGCAAACACTGATCAAAGAACAGGGCTGTGGTCCTGCTCGTCTCAGACAGGACGGACCTCAGAGCAAGGGGAGCTCTCCGCGTGAACTGCGTCTCCTGGGCTTGCAGCCTCTTGCTCCCCAGCTCAAGCTGCCTGCCCGTCTGTCCATAGACACTGCCAGACTTAACCTCCCATTCTTGGGCAGTGTGAGTAAACACACATGGAGACCAGTGAGAGCAACAGGACACTTTTTCGGGGCATAAAGAGGAGGAGTGAAAGTGACAGATGTAAAACGACGAAGGGGAAGCTCACCGCATGACGTAAACCACTGATGTTCCTCCGCACTTGTGTCCCAAGACAGGCATGTCGCGGGTGCGGCAGGTGGGGCTGCTGGCCGCCGGCTGTCAGCCATGGAACAAGGACGTGTGCGCGGCCAGCGAGGGCAGGTTCGCCTACTGCGCCACCCTGGCCGTCTACATTTACCAGGTAACCTCGCTGCCTCGGGGGCGGGCATGTCTAGTTGGTAATTGTTTTTCAATCCCCGTCACATGGAAAGCTTAATGCTCTAATTTTATTGGTACATATTTTATATTTTGTTGATATTTATAGTATCAACAAAATATATTAGTTTTACAAGTCAAGCTTTTAGAAAATGCTTGTGTCATAGTATTAAGTTATCAGCAAAATCTTCATGGCTTCCCTAATACTTTATGTGCTGTTCATCAAGAAGGTTTCCTTCAAGAAGTGACAGATCCCATTTATGAGTGATGAGCAAGTAGTATTTGATTCTTCTGAACTGTATTCCCATATCCATAAATGGAATGCATTTGTTCGTTTATTTCGCACATTGTTCAGTAACTACATTTGATAGGAGAGAGTCGTCTCACTTGAGGAATGTGGGTGGTCCATTAGAGATCATTATATGTTAAAAATAGTGCAGATGTAGTAGATGCTGAGGAATTCTTGAGATGAAGGCGGTTATAGCTGCTTTGTTCCCCTGTCCTCGCTCTGTCCCATCTCTTACGTGCTCCCGGTCTACGGAGTCCATGGCCTTCTGAAGGTCCCCACCTGGAGGTGCCATTCACGTTTTAAACCCAAGTCTAGTCTGCCCCTTGTGCCTGGGGACAGTGATTCTGTGTCACCAGGGGACTGACCATCTAAACCACAGATCTGAGGGTCGCCTTCGATTCCTCTCTGCTCGCATCCTGCACCCAGGGAACCAAAAGGGATTCTAGTATTTCTTATCTCCCTTATATCCTTCTCCCCTCCACTATTGTAATGTCTCCTAATGTTCCCTTTGCCTGTACTTTGACTCCCTCTAAAGTGTACCTGAGCCTGATCAAACATCTGCGTGCAAATCTAAAATGGTAAAGCCTCATTTGCCCCTGCTGCCCTAGTATTAACACCCCAGTTCAACAGAATGACATCCTTTTGCAGCCTCCCTGTCTCTGGCTCCCTCTCACCTGGAGCTCCGGACGCACCGAGATAACCGCATCTCCCCGAACACCTCAGGCTCCTCAGTAGTTTGCCTCTGCTTGCGCTGGTTTTCCTGTTTGCCCACGCTGCCCGCTGCCCGTCGGGAGAGAGTTTGCAACTCTCAGCTCAAGCCTCGGAGCCCCTTCCCGCTGAACTGGGGCGTTTCATCTCCGTTCCGTTCCGTTTTTTCAGAAAGTGTTTTTTTTCCAGTTGATCTAGTTGATACTTGAAAGTAGACCAAGGCTTGAAATGTGTTCCCATGTTGTTACTAGGTGTGCTAATCTTCACGTAGGTAGCTTCTAAACAGCTGATTAATGGTAAATGTGGGACCTAAGAAGCAGCACTGAAATGATTTATTTATGCTTCTTTTTTAGTTGGACCATCGTTACAATGAATTTAAACTTCACTCCATCATGTCTGAACATAAAAAAACCATCACGGCCATCTCGTGGTGCCCACATCACCCCGACCTGTTCGCCAGCGCCAGCGCCGATAACTTAGTGATCGTCTGGAACGTCGCAGAGCAAAAAGTCATTGCTAAACTCAACAACACAAAAGGTACACTTGTCACTGGGGTAAACTTGTGTTTTCATTTCAATAAACAAAATGTTTTATTTCAAGGAGCTCAGGTACTCAAGTAGTCAGACTTCCTAGTGGTAATCTGTGTAAGAAATACAGTTCCCATCATAACTCACTGTGTGTGTGTGTGTGTGTGTGTGTGTGTGTGCAAAACTCAAACAAAATGTCCCAACATAATTATACTTAGTACACTGAAATATAGTAAATACCCAATGATTCTGTTAGTGTTTAAATATAACACAAAAAGTTTAAGAATACAGGGTGTGGCAAAAGTGGGCTTACAGTTAGTTGTTCAGATTGAAAAATAATGCAATAATTAATAAATAATAATGCAAAAATAAGCTGTTTCTAGTACTACAACTGTAAATCTACTTCTGCCCCACCCTTTAAATATTAAAATAATAATTAGAGAATATTTTCTTTTTTAAAATTTTTATTTATTGACTTGAGAGACAGAGACAGACAGGACATTGCTTTGTTGTTCAAATTATTTATGAATTCATTGGTTGTTTCTTGTATGTGCCCTGACCGGGGTTCAAACCGATAACCTTTATATAAGATTTGCTTAATGGAACTATTGTCCTTGCCTATTTTTTACTCTACTCCAAACCGAAACATACAAGGTCAGTATTCTCTGCATCTTTAGTGTCCTGTCGGACTGGTTTCTCCCTTTATCTTTAATTAGGTCAAGTTGGAAAGCCCCAGTTCACATAGTGTGTCTCAGTGGAGTGTATAATTATCTCTACATGCTTTCTACCTAGAATCATGCCCCGTAACAATGATGAAGTCCAGTAATCATTATTCTGCATTAAACAGCACAACAATTCAATCCCCTTTTGAGTACCAGGTGTAGCTCAACTCTTGGTTATAGTTTTGAAAGCTACTGCTGGGTACCTTTTCCATATTTAGCTTCTTCCCTCAAAACTACTGATGATAGCTTTGAGGTAGAAAATTAAGAAGTGACAATCTCACTATTTTGTTCAAATTTTTTATAGTGTTCTTTTCAGTATGTAGCAACAATGTTGACAATCCATAGGCAATGGTATTGAAATCTTGCTTCCAAAATAATAACAATACATTTTGGAACCTTTGGCTATGTTCAGTGTATTTAGTTTATTGCTCTTTTCTTGTCTTTTCAAATTTAGGTCACTAGGAATTTTGAAAATACTGGAAAAATATACCAATTTTGTTATGTAAGTTTTATCTTAAAAATATTTCTCAAACAAGGTTAATTTTAACAAGAAAAATGTAAACCTTATTCCCAGTTTCATACATACTACTTATTTTTACTTGCAACAACCAGTGAACTCAATGTTAGCAATTGGCTGCAATTGGTGAGCAAACTATTTTTCAAAGTCAACTATTTATTCAGTGAGCTTCCATTAATGTAAGTAACAGTTTTCCTTAAGGTTTTCAACACATCAATAAGAAAAAGCCCAATTACTTTTGGTCCAAGCTTTGTGATGTATAGAAGCAATTGGTAAGCCTCAGTCAAGATTTTTCATGTTTCTCTGGTCATGTGTTTCTCCACCAACCACAAATCCTATAAGATTTTCCAGTGTTCTTTATATTAATAAACAGTGCATTTTCCCAAGCCTTTAAATCTAGCTTTCTGTGAAATTAACCTTAAATAACACGATGAATACTCCGTAACATTCTTTCCATGTTTTATGTGACACAAACTAAGAAAGTTGTGCGATGTCATCATTCTGCTAAAGCTGTCCCGCAAAATCTGCACTGGACCGTAAGTGCATAACAACATGTGGTCTATGTGTTATGCTGGAGTGCAGATTAGGCCACATACTATTGTATCATCACCTGGTTTATCCACTGCTCCGTCATCAGATGCCACAGGCATCGCCTCCATTTGTGGTGGAAGAGTTCTTCATCCACCTGTGTGTGTGCCACACAGAGCTTCCTGTGCCACTGACTATACGAATAAATAAGACTCCTCATTAACATGTGTAGGGTGATTAAATAATTTGGGTAATGATTTTAACCAGGATTACATATCTTTTCTTTCTCTGAAATTTTCAGACTTATCAATAAGTCCCTCATGCTATTTCTAAATATCTCCTTAATTTGAAGATTGAAAAATTTGATATTTTATTTGCAAAAAGATCATTGTGAACATTTCTGGTCACTCCCATTTTAAATAATCCCCTTGAAATATCTTAAACTTTGTTTTTTCCTTTCTGGAATTCAGTAAGCAAAGTATGAGTTTGCATATCAATCAATGTTGTATCAATATCAGAACTTCCACATCCAGCAGTTGAACATGAAACTGTTGTTTTTTACTTTGTCACTATTTTTTCCTAATCACCAAAAAATCAATTTGAAGGAAATGAGTATTAATTTGCTTAAATGTAAAAAATATTAAAATTGTCACCAACTTGAAAAACGTCCCAATATCCTTATGAAAAAAAAACTGAATAATAGTGGATAGTTATATGTCCTACTTATATCAGAATCTTGCTCAGGGAATTAGGTGAGTTCATATTTACAGAGCCCTTAGAAGTGCTTACAGACACACCAACTCGATAGTCGTGTGTTCTGCTGTAGCAACGTGGTCCCTACTTCCCCTCGCTGCCTTTCTTGAAGTACGCATTCAGAGAGCCAGCGTCCTGGTGGTTTCTCCCAGTGTACCATGGTGGTGTGATGCATACAGAGTATCTGATCCCTTATTGGGCCAATTCTGCTTCTGTCGATGTGTCCTAAAACGACATCAGCTCTCCTATTGACCTTATTTACACATTCATTCATTCATTCATTCAATAAAATGTAGGGAGTTCCTATTACATGTCAGGCCCTGACCTGGGCATTCAGTTTCCAGTGTCTGCTTCTCGGCCCACCATAGACACAAAGCGATGTTACTGTCAATAAACAGTTTTGAGTCTGTGTCTTCGTTTATAGCGTTCTCTGTCCCTGGGAAGTAGTGCTCATCTCGCGTGTTTAAACCCCACTGCTCCTTCAGGGCATGGCTCAGGTCCCATCTCCCTCCCCGGCCAGTGGCCCAGGGGTGCACCAACCCTTCCCCACATGGGATCTTTTGGAGAACCTCGTTCGAACCAGCTTCCTGGGCGCTAATTGCACGTTACCCAACATGCACCTCCCGGCCGATGATCTGATGCAGCTGGCAGTGAGTCTGTGCTGGAAGAGCCACTGTCTCTGTCCTGGGGTGTCGGTTTACCAGAACACTGACTTTCTTTAGGGTCTAGTCGATTAAAATAACGGTGGGGAGATTCACACTTAACTTTGGTATTTTGTCTCATGGTTTAAAAGGGACTTTTACATAAAATAGTGTATTTCCTTTTCTTAATTTTAGTCGTGTCTGTTTTATGGATGAGGAAACAGGTTTAGCGAGGTAAAGGGACTTGCTCAGTTCATCCAAGGGAGAGCTAAGATTTGAATCTAAACTCCCAATAAGACATGGATTATAGCATTAATTTTATTTTTATTAAATTCTTATAGTAGCATTTTACTTTTTATACATTTCATCCTTATCTCCACATTTTCTTTATGCAAGACCCTTTAAAGCAGGACTCGAACCCCATGCTAACTTCTCTACCTAGAATGCTCAGAGCAGGTTGTATACACAAAAACCCAGCAAGAGTCAATTGCTTTAGTGAGCATACAGTTTTCAAGGGGAGAAATCTCTGTAAATCCCTTTGAATACATGAAGCCCTATATGGTCACATTAGTACTGTTCCCTTCATCATGGAAGTGTCCTACATATGTTCCCAGTGGTCCTAGAGATAACGTGTAAAATCCAGTTTTGAAGGTAGACACACTGTGCCTCCTCGCACAACCAAAAGAAGGACAACAACAACTTGAAAAACAAAAAACAACCAGGACTGACAGAAAATCAAACTGTATGGAAGTCTGACAACCAGGGAGTTAAAGAAGAAACACTCACCCAGACTGGTAGGAGGGGCAGGGATGGGCAGCCAGGCAGAGAGGACTCATGGCAAGGGTGGTGGTTGGTAGACCAGGCAAGGTGGTGGCTAGTGGAGTAGGCAGCCCCACATTCGTGTTCAGATAAACCAGGAGGAACAACTTGGGGGGGGGGGGTGAGATAGACCATGCAACCCAGGGTTCTAGCGCAGGGAAGTAAAGCGTCAAACCTCTGACTGAAAACACCTGTGGGGTTTGAGGTGGCGGGAGAAACTCCCAGCCTCACAGGAGAGTTCGTTGGAGAGACCCACAATGTCCTAGAACACACACAAGCCCACCCACCCAGGAGTCAGCACCAGAAGGGCCCCATTTGCTTGTGGGTAGTGGGGGAAGTGACTGAAAGCCAGCAGAGAGCTGAGCAAGTGGCACTGTTCCCTCTCAGACCCTTCCCTCACAGACAGCATCACAGCGCAGCCACATGGGTTGCCCCACCCTGGCAGATACCTAAGGCTCTGCCCCTTACTATGTAATAGGTACACTGAGACAAAAAAATATGGCCCAAATGAAAGAACAGATCAAACCTCCAGAAAAAATACAACTAAGTGATGAAGAGATAGCCAACCTAAAAGATGCAGAGTTCAAAACACTGGTCATCAGGATACTCACAGAATTGGTTGAATATGGTCTCAAACTAGAGGAAACAGTGAAGGCTATGAAAAGTGCAATAAAGGAAAATGTACAGGGAGCCAACCATGATGGGAAGGAAACCAGAACTCAAATCAATGGTTTGGACCAGAAGGAAGAAACAAGAATTCAAAAAAATGAGGAGAGGCTTAGGAACCTACAGGACACCTTTAAATGTTCCACCGTCTGAGTCATAGGGCTGTCAGAAGGAGAAGAGGAAGAGCAAGAAACTGAACACTTATTTGAATACATAATGAAGGAGAACTTCCCCAATCTGGCAAAGGAAATAGACTATCAGGAAGTCCAGGAAGCTCAGAGAGTCCCAAAGAGGTTGGACCCAAGGAGGAACACACCTAGGCACATCATAATTACATTACCCAAGATTAAACATAAGGAGAGAATCTTAAAAGCAGCAAGAGAAAAGGAGACAGTTACCTACAAAGGAGTTCCCATAAGACTGTCATCTGATTTCTCAAAAGTAATATTGTAGGCAAGAAGGGGCTGGAAAGAAGTATTCCAAGTCATGAAAGGCAAGGACCTACATCCAACATGACTCTATCCAGCAAAGCTCTCATTTAGAATGGAAGGGCAGATAAAGTGCCTCCAAGATAAGGTCAAGTTAAAGGAGTTCATCATCACCAAGCCCTTATTATATGAAATGTTAAAGGGAATTATCTAAGAAAAAGAAGATCAAAACTATGACCAGTAAAACAAACTCACAGCTATTAACAACGAAACCTAAAAAACAAACAAACAAAAACAAACTAAGCAAACAACTAGAACAGGAACAGAACCACAGAAATGGAGATCACATGGAGGCTTATCAGTGGTGGAGTGGGAAGGCAAGACAGGGGAAAAGGTACAGAGATAAGTAGTATAAGTAGTAGGTAGAAAACAGGCAAGGGGAGGTCAAGAACAGCATAGGCAATGTAGAAGCCAAAGAACTTATATATAAGACCCATGACATGAACTAAAGGGGGGGGGTGGATGGGAGAGGATGGGCAGGGTAGAGGGGAATAAAGGGAGGAAAATGGGACAGCTGTAATAGTATGATCAATAAAATATATTTAAAAAAATAAAATGCAATTCCTAAGTAAGAAGGTCATATTTTGTAATAACAAACATACTCTTTTTTAGACATTTGCAGTGCGAATGTCATGTAGTGGTACAGCCTGCTGCCGGGTCTCTGTGTCACGTCTCGTGTTGAATCGGTTCCAGGGATACCCGCCTGTCTGAGCTGGTGCTGGAACGCGGGCGACGCCGTGGCCTTCAGCTCCCGCAGGGGCCCGCTGTTCGTCTGGGCCCTGTCGGGGCCCGAGAGCGGAGTGGCCGTGCACAGGGACGCGCACGGCTTCCTGTCTGACATCTCTGTGTTCCGGTGGCACACCCAGAAGAAGGGCAAGGTTGCCTTCGGCCATATGGACGGGAGTCTGTCGATTTTACAGCCAGGTAAGAATGGAATTAGCCGGAGGTGGTCAACTCTTATCTTTCTTAGCGTGTGCAATTTCTTATTTACACAGCGTAAAGCCAATGGTAACTGGATTTTAGTTTTAAAATAATAGCTCTGCAGACAGTACCCAGCATTGCACTGATTCCAAATACTCACTTGAAGTAAATCTGTTTATAAGACAATGTAATACGTTTAACTCAGCTATGCAGAGTTGACTTTGATTTAACCCCAATCAGTCATCTGTCCTATATTTTTACTTTTTTAAATCCATTCTTTACTTCTGCACACTCACCAAGAAAATGGCCTGACGGAGGAAGGACGCAGAGCTGGACTACGTGATGTCCTGCCACCCAAAATATTCTCCCACCCGCGTGCCAAACACCCCTCGGATGCCACCGACCCGAACAACGCCTTTGACCCGGGCCCGGAAAGGAAAAACAGCTCTTTCGTCCTGTCGGTTCATTCGTCTGGCTGAACGAGGGGGTCTGAGAAATTAGTTTGCTTTTAGATTTTAGACAGTAATAAAATGTATAATGAAAAAAATTGAAAAATTCCCCAAACAGCTCTCCACTCCTAAGCACGTCCTGCTGATGTTGGAGAAACGTGCTGTTAGCCGCCCGGCCACCTGGCGTCTGTGCCCTCGGGCGTGACTCCTGGCTGCCCCGCTGCACAGACGGATCCTGCCAGCCGCGGCATCACTGACCTTCGCAAAGCACGTGGCGTTCGAGTCCCCTGAAATTGGTAGGAGAACACAAATCAAAACGGAACACGAGAAATTCTGAAAATTCAAATAAATCTTTCTTCAAGGAATGATTTTCTAAAGTTAAAAAGAAAAGGACAAACCACCGATACAGTAGGGCCATTTTTTATCTTAAATACACATAAACAGGATCTATCTATTATTTGCCTTTTTTATAACCAGACGTATCCGTCCTCGCCACCTCCTCTCTCTGCTCTTTGCCCACCTCCTGCCTCCTGGTTCCCGACCTCACGTGGGAGCAGACGCTTCCACCCCCGAGTTTCAGGCTGCGTGAGAGGGGGCGGGGCGGGGCTGTGCTTTGCTGTGCTGGGATTGGCCGTCTCGGACCCCCCCCCCCCCACTCTGCCTGCCCATCCTCGGCCCTGGGAGCCGTGTCCCTCGCTGAGCTGGTCACTCAGCGTCACAGCTCAGCGGCAGAATCCACAGACTTCCTCTGTTTGGGTCTGGGGACACCAGGTCTCCACTCCCTGCACCTCGTCTCTGCTGCCCCCCCGCCGCCTCACCCAGTCCCAGGGAGGGAATTTCGGGACAGGGAAGGCGGCGTGTGCTCTTGAGGTCCCCACTCTTACCTCTCGCCCTCGGGGGGTGTATGCGGGGACGCCCTGACTTCTGCCCCTTGGCTGGCTGCTCCCAGAGACCCCATAAGGACTGGGGGACACTTTTCTCATGAGGAACCTGCACTGCAGGGCTCTGAGGGGGACAGGGAGAACTTGGCTGCTACTGGGGTCCGCACTTCATTCTAGGGGTCTTTCCTGTTGTGTAATTCGCCATTGAGGCCATCTTTTTTTTTTCATGGACTAGGGCTTTCTTTTCTTGCTTTTTTATTGTTATTAGGCGTTTTTGAAAGTTTAAACCGTCAGACACCGAGACACTGAAGATACAAAACGCTGAGGTGTTTGCGCCCATGTGGGCACCCAGAGGGCGGGTCGGAGGGTAGGCCGTCTCTGCTTTTCTCTTTCCTGGTTCATGCGAAGCTGGAAAGTGCAGGGTTTCGGCAGGCCGACCCGGGTGACTTCCAGAAAGGCCACTGTTTCCCAAAAACCATACTTCCAGAGGCCAGGGATATAAGGTCAAGTTGTCGGCCATGGCCGAGAGGGAGTCAAGTTGTCGGTCAGGGCTGCGAGGGCACTGGGGAAGGGCCTGCCCAGGGATCTCCCCGTGCTGCAGTGGCATGGCACCTGTCTCCCCAAGGTCTGATTCTCTCCATGGGCGTCTCTCCGAGTCCCCTTGTCCCCTTTGCATCAGGGCACAGTCTCATGGATGGATGTCCACCCCCCCATGACCTCGTCTTAACTTGACCACTTGCAGGTTCCTTATTTCCAAGCAAAGTCACAGTCACAGATACTACGTGTTAGGACCCCAGCATTTCTGGGGGCACATGATTCAACCCCCAAGGACCCAGCACGGACTTCTCAGTCTCCTTTACCGCATAGGGCTTTTAAGACTCCAGGCACGCACCGCTAGGAAAGGCGGCGTCTAGCTGTGCGTTTTCCTTCTGCGTATGCACGAGCTCATGGGCCACAGAGACAGGGCCAGTCGTAGGTTCTGACGAGACGTACTGTGTGCGCTGGGAGCTTTGGGACGTCAGCGCGATTACTGGCAGTGTTGGGTTTTTTACCTCCCCCAAGGAGTACTCACCCCCACTTCGTCCATGACTGGCTGGGCCCACCCCGGTTCAGTCTCTCTGTAACAGGGCAGAGTTTCTGTCCTCTGGGTCCTTGGCCGTGACAATGGCCTCAGGCTCTCTGCTGTCCACTTTTATCTCCTTTGGAAGAAGAAAGTCTCTTCACGGAGGGCTGCTACCATAAGGCACTTCACCGGTTATGTTAAAGCAGCGACTTTTAAACCGTGAGCTTGTTAGTACGCGTGTGTGTTGCTGTGTGTGTTGGGTGCGGGGTGGGGAGCCCTGGTGGGTGACCCGGCTGGCTTCACGCCTGCTGCTCCCGGTCAGTCTGAAAAGCAGCACTTTCTTCTGTATTATGTGCTGGATCTTCCTGCAAAAGTCTCATGTGAAGAGAGGGTTCCAGGGCCACAAATGTTGCAAACTATTGCTTTAACTATTTCAAGTTAAATTCTTAGATAAAGCGAGGTCATCAGGGAATTTTTTTATCTTTGTAATAGAAGTATTTTCACTGAATGGACTTTGGTATTACCCCTGGGGTGTGCACGTACCAAATTTGCACTGTTTTGTCTTACAAGTGTTGTCGGTGACATCGGCTCTGTCTAACACGGCGTCCCCTTGACCACACCCTGGAGGCACGGGCTTCCGGTCTCGGCTCTAGGAGGAGGTGTGCTGCTCCTGAGCGCTTGCTTCCCTGTGTCGTTCTGTTTCCTTTTCCCTGCTGTGCAGCCTTTGCTGTCTCTGCCCTCTTTGCCCCTGCATCTCGGGATCAGGATTCCAGCAGCTCTTTGGATGACGCGGCACCCTCATTATTTGGTGTCTCAGCCCCGTGCTTCCTCGCCCCGTTATTGTTTTTCACACAGAAATCGTCAACCTCATCTTCTTGAGACTTACGTGTTTTTGTCCTTCCCTGACCACACCAGGTGCCTGGTATCTGAGAATGAAACAGAATATAAATAAGAGCAAAATAAATGGCACATATAAGTAAAAATATTATAGTTGTTATTCTAATGACTGGCTTTACATTTTATAGATTTGTTTTCTATCTTTTATCATAAAAGTGTGGAGGCCCCATAGACCAGAAAACAGTGGCCATAACTCATTACCATTTTGGCTGTAAGCATGGGGCTTTGAAGCAATGTGATTTCCATATCATAACGTTTGCGCTGCAAATCTTACCGTGCTTCCTGTTGCTGCTGTTATTTTTTGATGGGCTGGAATATTTTCAATAAATCATAGGTATGAACTGGCACATGCAAATGCCTGAACATGACTTAAGAAGCAGCCTGTGCAACTGAGGTTAAATCATGTTTCTGCCTCTTTTGCCTTGTAATGATCCGCTGTATTAATATTCATTACTGTTTGCTACATCAAACAGCAACGTAGAAGACACTTGTTTTGGGAAAGAAGCAAATGCACTTTCCATGCTGGTGATTGTGAAAATGTGACAAATGCAAAGGAAAGAAACCTCTGATGCCCTTTCTGTGATTACATAGGCACCCGTTCTAAATGAAATACTACTGATTTAAAGTCAAGGTTACAGTTAAGTATTACATTCTGATGAATTCGATGTCAAGGCAGAAGCTACAAGGTTTTCCATTCACTCCCCAATATTTCATAGACTGAAGGCCATCCGTTCTGTCCAGCGCTGCACTCTGACAGGTTGGGAACAGCGGGTACTGATGAGGTTGCAGACAGAGCGACGGCGTCCTTTGGTGGTGTTGCTTTGTTAAGGAAGCACCACTTTTACAGTTTCCACCACTCCGCAATAATCGATACTGCCTGTTAAGTGGCCGTTCCGCTGCCCTTTCGTTGGAGAACGAGAGGACCTGCTCAGTGGCGCCCCCTGTGGCGCATCGGCAGAAGCACTTTCCCCCTGTTGCCAGCTGCGTGCTCCATTGGGAAGGAGCAGAGAGGACTGTTTGAGGACCCTGTGCTTGGTTTAACTCCCCTTGTTTTATCTCCCCGTTTTTGGTGGCCGCCTCCTTCATACTGGTGGTCCTCAGTGAAGTATGATCATGACAACTGGTGTGATGAGCCAGAAAGGAGTGGGAGCAAGTCTCCACAGGCAGTTTGTGACAGGCCCCACTCTTGTAGGCTCTTTAAGCAACAAGCATTTACTCCTTTAAAAATTCCACGTGGTAAGTCTTGTTATGTCCTCCACGATGCAAGTAAAAGCCGAGCACACAGGGATTAAGTCCCTTGTCCAAGGACACAAAGCTGGGGCGTGGTGGACCTCACCCCGGCTCTCCTCACACGCACTACACTCTCCTTACACGCACTACACTCTCCTCACATGCACTACACTCTCCTCACACGCACTACACTTTCTTCACACGCACTGCACTCTCCTCACACGCACTACACTCTCCTTACATGCACTGCACTCTCCTTACACGCACTGCACTCTCCTCACACGCACTAGACTCTCCTTACACGTACTACACTTTGATGACAAAATCCCGTGTGCTATTTACGTGTCTTTTCCTTGCAGCCTTTCGGGAACAAACAGGACAGACATGCAGACACTGGGGACGGCCAGAGCAGCGCAGCGCAGCGCAGTCTGACCCCCGTAGGGCAGACACGCTCTGACTGGCGGTGGCCACAGGTCAAGGGTCGGTGCTGCGGGCACTGCCACCTTTCTATTGGCAGGACCCCCAGGGCTCAGCGATGCGCCAGGAGAAAATCGTCGTGTCTCAGTGATTGATCTTTTTTTGAGAATGTTGTTTGTTTACGACCCTTTTTCTTCGTGTGTCAATAAAAGGCAATAAAAGCCAGAAGCACGTGCTGAGGCCCGAGTGCCTCGAAGGGCCGGACGAAGAGGACCCGGTCACAGCCCTGGAGTGGGACCCGCTGTCCGCCGACTACCTGCTGGTGGCGAATTCGAACTACGGAATCCGGCTGGTGGATTCGGAATCGCTGTGTTGCATCACCACGTTCAACTGCCCCGGCGCGGCGGCCTCGGTGCACTGCTTGGCCTGGGTCCCCAGTGCCCCCGGCATGTTTGTCACCGGAGGTGCGTGACCCCTGGCGCCCAGCATGTTCAATGTGTGTGTTCTTTAATTCAGCCGGGAACATTACACTCTTTCATGTGTTAATTCTGTGTAAGACTTGTTAACAGCGCAAATGGTGCCGTCTGTTACAGTAAAGGCCCACTTACTTGACTTTTATTTATACTGTGTATTTTCAGATGAAAATCCCTCCCTATACTGTGTATTTTCTGGGTGTGTGAGCAACTCATCGCTATTTATGGGTGACTCATGTTTCATTGTGTGGATACGCCGGAATTTATTCATTTATCAGTTGACGGACGCATAGCTTTTTGCTGCTTTTTTGCTCTTAGGGACAACGCAGGCAGGAACATTTGCGTGCAGGCTTTTGTGTGGACATTTTTCTAGTTTTGTTGGGGATACTCGCAGGGGTGCCGTTGCGGGGTCATTCTGTGACCCGTGGTTAATTATTTGGGGGGCTGCCCGATTGTTTTCTAACAGCTGATTAAGGTAGAATTTTTGGAAGGGAGGGGCTCTCCAACCAGCTTCAGGTTTACTGGGCATCCTCGTCAGCCGCAGGTTAGCACGGGAGCAGCTTTTGGCCATTCTGGCGAGGAAGGACCCGCAAGGTTGGGGTGGGAAGTTCTCTCAGTGGGGGGCTCTTCTAGGGTGCGGGGTCGGTGGGGTGCTTTCCTGGGACTGAGTTGTGATGACGACTTTTGTGGGTGAGGTGCCATGGAAGGCAGTTTTGCACCCCAGAAGAGGATTGGGAATAGAACAAAGAGTAAAAAAGCATGTTAAGGTTGAACAACATTTAGCTTTTTCTTTGATTGTATTTTTGTGCAATCTTACCGTTTGAAGAATGCCAATTAGTAGTGCTAAAAGTCTTGCAAGTAGAAGGTTTTCATTACTTTTATGTCTGAACATATTCCTTTTATATTTCAGATAAAATTTCATTTTACATTTCATTTCTTTTACATTTCAAATAAAAGTTTTTAACTGGATGCTTCTTCTTCTGACTAGATTCTCAAGTAGGCGTTTTACGCGTTTGGAGTGTTTCCAGAACAACCCCTATCGATAATTTCAAATTGAAGAAAACAGGATTTCACTGCTTACATATACTCAATTCTCCTCCAAGAAAAAAATGTAAGTGAAAGTGTCCACAAAATTTACTATTTTAAAGTATTGCATTTTAAAGTAAAATACTATATCGTTCAAGTAAAATGACTGATGTAATGATATGAACATAGCAAATGCCATATGCTACTGAAAAGCAAATTTTAAAAAATAGCCTTGGACAGCATGTGTGCTGAAGCCGCACCATTTCAGTCTCTCTGTGGCGCCCTAATCCTTCTAAATCCCAGAGACCGGATCAGGACTGGGGATTAATATTCCGGAGGCTGACGTATGGTTTACGTATCCCGCAATTTTTTGTGGTCATTTGTTTCTCTGTTTAGTTGCTATGAAGATTCCCACCAGGGGATGGCTGAATCAGCACAGATTCTCTCGTGTTTTTTATATTAGAAAAGTAGCCCACGTTCATTAGGGAGAAACACAGAATGTAAAGAAGTAGGTGCCAACCTTGTCATTTTTGAGTAATTCCTTTCAAGTAGTCTATTGCTAGATGGCTAGTTTTTTACCCCACTTTTTTAACATAACAGAAAGTATGGATAAGAAAAATCATGTGAAAATGAAGATTTTAAATACAGGCATTCCAAGTTCTAAAAAAAAGAGTTGAATTACAGATAGAGAGGTATATAGAGTTCAAAACCACTCATAATGTCAGTAAATTAAAATATTAGAAAAACAAGTCATGGATCATATTAATTTTAACCAAATTGTTGGCAAACTTTCATTGAATCAAATGCCTCTTCTGTTATTAGTAGGTAGTTGATTTTACTATGGACTTGCTGTCACTCTCAGATTCTGAGGGGTGTTGTCCAAATGCATGCAAGAAAGACTACTGTATTATATTTGAATAAAAAGGGAACATGCTAAAAAAAGAGAATATCTGGGAAATATCCATCTTCCAGCATGTAATTAACATAGACTGGTCTGATAATTTACAGTGGCATCATTATTTTGAATTGTGTTTGCAAGAGAATATTCATGTTCTAAGGAAAAACTTCTTGCAAAAAGACAGGATATGAGGTAGAGAATTTACGGAAAGTAAGTAAACACAGGACACTTGTGTAACTGGAAGCTGGAGAAACAGACATATATAAGCAGTTGAAGTGAACCTGAGGAAGAAGGAAGAAAAATTGGGTTGCAGATGTGTGTCAGACGATCATGATTCTTAGTTTGGGTGCTAAATTGGAGTGAATTATATAATGTCAAAAGAACTTATTTTCATCAGATGGGTGTTTAGTGGAGAGAGTTACAAGCTTTCAAAGAAAAAATTCCCATGCTTGTGTATTTGTCTGTGCAGAGGGGGACGTCAGCTAATATGTCGAGATTTTGAAAGAAGATTCTAATTAAAAATAATCATCCTGTGCTTTAATTTACAGGTAGCTAAAAAAGCAAATATTCACAATATATTGTGATTCCTCACATACTAATTTTCATCCATTCTTCCTCCACACTTTTATACACTTCTGTGCAAAATAATATCCAGTTCTATGTACATGTATATATACAGGGTGAGGCAAAAGTAGGTTTACAATAAGCAGGGCAGTGAGGGACAAATACCATATGACCTCACCTTTAACTGAAACATCATCAACAAAAGAAAAGAGCAAGCAAAATATAACCAGAGACATTGGAATTAAGAACACTCTAACAACAGCCAGAGGGGAGGGGGAGGGACAGTGGGGAGAAGGGTTTGCAGGAACTACTGTGAAGGACACACGGACAAAACCAAGGGGGAGGGTGGAAGCAAGGGAGGGGGGTGGGGATGGCTGGGGTGGTGTGGGGGGGAGTGGGGGGGAGAAAATGCAGACAGCTGTAATTGAACAATAAAGTAATTTTTTAAAAGTATGTTTATAGTTGTGAGTACACAAAAGTTTATTTTTGTATTAATATTTATTAATTACTGTATTATTTTCCCACACAAATAACTGTAGACCTACTTTTGCCCCACCCTCTATTTCAGCAAAGCTGCCAAAGTGTTTCTGTGGCAGGAAATGTGATTGTTTCTGGGTAGAAGAAAGCAAAGGGCTTTTCTTTCTTAATTTATAAATTCATTTGTGTATTAGTTTCTAAGTTAATTCAAGAATTATATATAGTTTATACAGATGTGCGTAGATGCATATGTATACACATGTAAGAAGTACATCTATGCATAGATTATATGCACAGTTTACAAATTAGTTCAGGAATCCAGCCGAGCGGTTTCACCGCAGCCTGTGGGGAGCTGCTGGCGCGCACGTTCACCTGCCGACTCCTCCTCTGTTCCAGTTTCCCTGCGGCCCCCCACCAAGAACCACCACACGTCCTCCACCAGCGAGGCGGCGCCCCCCGCGCTGGCGCGGGGCCGGGCCTTCTGCCTGCCGCCCGGCCACGCCCTGTGCTGCTTCCTGGACGGGGGCGTCGGCCTGTACGACCTGGGGGCCAGGCAGTGGGACTTCCTGCGCGACATGGTAGGTCGGGGTCCCCCCTCCCGTACCCGTACCCAGCACTCGCTTTCTGAAGCTCCCGGCGCTCACTCTTGCTTGCTCAGTAATGTCGTTCGCGTACACTTTTGGAGACAATCACACATTAGGACCGTATCCTGGTTGGCGAAAACGTTCTAGAATAATGCGCAGGATGATGACAAAACCAATTTTCAGCATGGAACTCCCGGAAATGGGAATGTCTAGTTTATCATGATCACTCTGTGGGGTCGGTAGTGTCCCCACAAAAGAGGGCACCCCGCTTCTGTGGGGGCCCTGTCGGGCCCTGGTCAGGTACTTGGGGAGCAGAATGAGAAGCAGGGCCGGTCCCCTCTTAGCAGGAAGAAAAGTCCCTCGCTGTCAGGGACGCCAGGCTCCTTGTTCCCATTGGCAAGGGAGCAAGCTTGGATGAAGTCCTGGTAAGATTCGTTTCTATTAGTGAAGCGTTATAATAACTCTGTGATTCCGTCAACTTCTGTTCTTACGATCATTAAGCCGCTAGTACAGTAGAATACAACTTTGCTGAAGACTCATATTTTTGTTTGGTTTTGCTCTCTGCTTTGTCTCCAGTATCTAAAACAGTGCCTGGTGCATAGAGCAAGTCCTCATTTTTAATGCATGCATGCATGCATGAAATCATATTGTGTGGTAATCAATATTTGCTAGTGATCATCCTCAATTTTCCCTCATTTAGAGTTTATGAAATTGCCTGTTGTTTTTCTTCAGGTTTGAATCATACTAATCTTGACATTTAAGAAACTTTTAAATGTTAAATGTTTGTTCATTAGAAAAACTCAGGAGTCTAGAGCTATAATTGCCCTTGTTAAAAAAAAAAGAGGGAAATAGCTAATAATACTATCATTTCAGGACTAAATGAATTTTGTCCTCAAATAAAAATATTGAACATTAGCAAAAATGTTTTTAGCAATGTGTAGCTTATTTAAAAATATTCCTTTTGTAAATGTTTTCCCAGTGTGGGAAACTTTTTCTGTATTTCAAATTACCACTTACTTTAAATAGGATTATAAAAGGAAAGGGAGAAAAACAAGTACGTTAAAATTTACATTAGTGAAGAGCTACGCAATCTAGGTTCAGTGGAGTTTCTGTTGAGTGTATGTCCTCATATTAAACTGTTTTATTTTAACTCTGTTGAATTTATAATTCAATAAAAACTCAAACGTTCCTTTATTATACACTGTTTCAGCGGCTCTTCTCCCTTTAAAAGTGTCTGCCTGTCAGAAGAGACAATGAGCTTTTTCCTTGTAATTCCTCTCATCCCTAACACAGACCCAAACCCCAGATGACTAGAAATAACATCTCATCTGACTCTGATGTTGTATGCATAAGGCATCTCCACAGATTCCAAATTACATGGGATAAGAAAAATCCTATTCATACACTTTCTAAAAGGTGTACTTCCACATGAATATCTGCTTGATTAAGATGAAGAAAAATGCTTCAAAATTGCCCCTTCATTCCTCCTGATGAGAAGACGAAGAAGAGATATTCACAATTTAGTTCTTGCTGTGTGATTTTTCAAACTTCGAAAATAAAGTTTGAAAGCGTAGCCATGAAGTAACACTGAGAAATGCACATCCAGGCAGTCCCTGCCCCAAGTGTGTTCTTAACTTTGGATGTGAGGACCAGACCAGCTCCAGCCCCCTGAACCCCCCGGGGGGGGACCAGCCTCTCCCCGCATCCCTAACTCTGGGATTCCCCTCTCCTCTCCCGAGGGGCCCCTGCAGCCCTATGCAGCTTCCTGTGGGCGGTGCTTCTGGTGTCACAGAGGGTCCAAGACTTGGAAGGCACCCCCATGCCTCTATGGCTGGAGTCGGAATAGAGAGCCCCATCCCTGAGCTAATTAATGCTCTCCCGGGTCCCAGCACCTTGTAGTTTCTGCTTCGGGGGGTGGGAGTTTCAGTTCCCATGTTCCAGCCTGGGGAGACGACAGATGCTACCTCAGGCTACTGGCGTCAGATTCTTACCAGCTCCTCCCACAGCGCCCAGTGAGCCCTTTCCACTTTGCAGGTGTAACTGTTCGCATGTATCGGTACATCCCAGGTCTCCGTTTGGGGGATGTTTGGGACCCAGATCACCGGGCAGTGGGAACCGGTGGTGTGAGTTCCAAAGAGTAAACTTGCTTAGGAGATTTTGGAACACGACTCATTAAAATCAAGACCGTGCCAATTATTATTCTTTCTGTTAAAAATTTTGACATTCTTTCAGAGTGTGTCATTGGTATCAAACAAGGAATATTTGCACGAAAGGACTTTTAGTTTCAGTTTTATCTTGGTCTTTTATTATGCTACCAGAATGACGCAATAACTATTAATAGTTGATTACATTATAAATGTCTAACATAGTATTCTGTGTATGATAAATAACCAGAAAATGTGTGTTGAGTTGAAGCTGAGTGTTGGATTTTGAACATCTTCATACTTAGTTGCTGATTTGAGGAACCAAGGTGGAACAAAATCGATGCCAATTCGCACACGGAGAACAGCACAGAGACCTTGCAGCCCCCGCAGAGGCCCAGGTTCTGTGGGCGTGCTGGCCTCATGTGTTCGTGCTCCTACTTGGAAGCCATAGTCCATGGTTCAGCTTGATCACCCATCGCGGTTTGCTTGTGAATAACGTGGATTCCCCTCGGTCGTCGTGACTTTTCCTGCTGTGTCCCTAGGGCCACATCGAGACCATCTTTGACTGCAAATTCAAGCCTGGCGACCCCAGCCTCCTGGCCACCGCGTCCTTCGACGGCACCATCAAAGTGTGGGACGTGAACACGCTGACGGCAGTGCACACGTCCCCGGGGAACGAGGGCGTCATCTACTCCCTTTCGTGGGCTCCAGGTGAGGGGGGTGTCACCGCCATCAGGGCTGCAGCGACACGGCCGTCCTAACTAACTTCTGTTTCCAGTGGCACAGTCTCCTGCCCATCCACGCCGTCTTGTTCCAAAGGCTTGTAGAGGCAGATTAGTAACGACATATTTGGGGGGCTCGGCTTTGGGGGTTTTCGGAACAGACTTCCTGCATAGGCACTCGGACGTCTGGGCCCTTTTGTATGACGTAAGACACGGAAAAGCCGCCAGGAATCAGGAGGGTTGTGACTCATCTGATTTTCCCTGTGATTTTAACGATAATTGTGCACACGTTTTACATGAAAGTTTTCCTTAAGATTTTCACATGCATCAAATATGTAAAACTGAAATATTTACTTTCTAAAAGTTAGAATACATGTCTTTCCCTAGTACAGCTGTTTTGTGAGTGTGAACAATTACACACCATCACAGTCCACTTGTGACCATGTCAGTCACAGGTGATATTGTCACATGTCAGTTCCACCTTTGTGATATTGAAGGACTTTTAGCCATAATCGGGCCTTTCCTTTGATCTCAGAAAGAAGCTGCCACCTTTCTGCTTTCCTTTACAGAAAGGGGGTGCCCCGTGCCATTTCTGGCATTTTCTCCCAAAATCTTATTTATTTCCCTATAATACATAATTTTTGCATACCTAAATGGGTCTCACTTTATAATATATGTAGAATGCTTGACTTACTTGTCCCACGAGTAAAATATTCATATAAAAACTACACATAACCCACACAACCAGGGTGCAGCTTTTCCCCCCTTATCTCATGGACGGGGATGTTTAATCTTGAATTTGGGGGCTCTCCAGGATTTTAGATCTCTTCAGAGAATCTGGGGGCCTCTTGGGATTTCATGAGTCATGTCCAGCATGGCTGTGCCTGTGTCTGTGGGCATCGCAGTTATCAGATTCTCAGGGGCGGGGTGGGGGCATACAGAAAGGCTACGAACACACCGCTTCTTTTATGTATCCTCCTCCAAGCTCTAGAACAAGGCTTCACTTCCACTCTTCACAGACAGTGGCTGTTCCTTTAGGCAGAACAAGCTCAGTGCTGCTCTGGAAACGCAGCCCGCTGAGAAAACTGGTCCCTCACTGAATAAGAAGGGAGGCACCCGAGGAGCCCAGCTGTACCCCCTCTCTCCCTGCTCCACCTCCGCCTGGGACTCGTTGAGCGTGTGGGCCACCATGTATGCAAGAGGGTCCGGGGGCAGAAGGGTTGAGAACCCCTCGCGGGATTTTGTGCAAAGCAAGCAGTGGTGGAATCCACACGGGAACAGGGTCAGTTTGACCGTGAAGCCCGCACAGTCAGTCCTCACTCTGCAGGTCCTCACTGCAGGGGTCCCCTGCTGGGCATGGAGGGACTGAACCAGCTGGTGCAGACTCAGCACCACCCCATCCGCCAGCTGACGGTTCCTCCTCCTCCAAAATGCGTGCGAGTCTCAAACCCCAAACCCGAGTAGGAACTGTGTCTGTACAGACCACTGTTTGGGTGCATTCTCAAAAGGCCTCCTCTTACGGGAAGCCTTATCCCGCACTGCGCTGAGCATTTGCCCCAAGGAAGCAAAACGGTCAGGGAGAGGAAAATCTGTGATTTTTCTGAAATGTGATTACAAATGAATCGCTCTTTTTAGGTGAGTATGGGTGAAATTGGAAAGATTCATAACAAAGGCATGAATGGAAATAGGACAGGACAGAAGTGGTTGCATAAGTTCCTCTCTATTTAGAGTAGGTGCCATAGGAAAAGGAAAACGGTGCAAATGAAATGGACACCTACCCCCAGTAATTCTAGGACCCAGCAGGGGAGCCGGATGAAAGTCCTGGAAATACGGTGAGGGCCTTGTTAGTGTCTGTAATCAGTGACCCCAGAGTAATTCCCCGCTGGGCGTGCCCCCAGGGAGCAGATGACCCCTCTCCCGGTCAACAGAGGAGAAGACCCTGTTCCGATAGCCCTGCCGGGGCGGCTGGGGCCCTGGACCCCAAATCACCAGCTTCGTGGCAGTCTCACGGCTACAGATCGTCTTAGTTCCTAGAAGCAAAGCCTGTTTGATGTTTTTATTGGAGAAAATGATTTTGTTCGTGGGCATTGCTCACATAAATGCTTTCCCAACCATGAAAAAAATTACTAGAGGGTCACAAAAAAAGTAAATGCTAACTGGATATGTGATAACATCGAGGAATTTTGGATGGTTTTTTTATTTGTCATTGTGGTGGTTTGGTTATGTTAATAAAAGCGTCCCTGTCTTTTAGACACCCATGCTGAAGTGTGTTTTGATGAAATGATGTAATGGCAGAGGTTTACAGCGAAGAAACGCAGCAGGGGCCATAGGCCAAGCAAGGCTTACTGTATTTTGACCGTTGTTAGAGGTGTGATGGAAACATTCATACCGTTCTCTGGGCTTGCATGCATTTCATGATTTCCATATTAAAAAATGTAAAGAACTAGTTTGCAAACCACAAGTCTTTTTCAAAAGTGTATCTGTGGAAGACATGTCATATAATGCCTAACAAATTGTTTCCTAAGGTGATTTGGATTGCATCGCTGGAGCAACTTCCCAAAATGGTGCTTTTATTTGGGATGTCAAAAAGGGCAAAATGGTACAGCGCTTCAATGAGGTAAGATGTTGCCTGCTGGTAGCCGAGTAACCTAATGTCTTGTACTGCTCCCTGTTTTTTAGATGCTTCAGTCTCTTAATTTAATAGTTGTCACCAGGTGGCATGATGTTCTCGGAATGAGAAGAAACCCGAGGGACATTTGCATGCCGGAATGAACTCTGGAGTACGTAGGTGAATCTAAGATGCAGGAATCCACCCAGAGTTGCATTACAGAGGCAGCGACTTTGAGTAGGGGCCGTAGGCAGATGCTCAGTAGTTGGAAGAAGATCAAACTCAGAACAAGTCCAGAATTATAGTCCCAATTCACTGACTAATTAGCTGTTGACTTAGGGAGAATCGTTTTATTGCCTGAACCTCTTTGTAAGACGGTGAAGTCAGATTCTACTGGGTTGGCCAAAAAGGTTGTGTGGTTTTTTCTGTATGACGGCTCTAGTAGCACTTAGTTGTGTTTAACTCCATTCGAAACAATTTTGTTAGGTTGTGTTGTGACAGCTTTCATATCAGCATGCATTTAAAGAAAACTTATCAAAAATTGGTGAATTTTTGTGCAGCCATTTTAATATTGAAGATGGAAGAAAATATCCAACATTCTCAGCCTATTATGCTTTATTATTTCAAGGAATGTAAAACTGTGTAAAAAAGATGTGTACAGTGAGTGGAGAAGGTGCTGTGACTGATGGAACATGTCAGAAGTGGTTTGTGAAGTTTCATGCTGGAGATTCCTCTCTGGACAATGCCCCACGGTCGGGGAGGCCAGCCGAAGTTGACAGCGGTCAAACCAGGACATGCATTGAGAACAATCCACATTCCACCATGCGGGAAATAGCTGACGTACTCAAAATATCCTCATCAATGAAGTTATTGGTGAAAATGAAAAATGTGTCTTTTATTCTACAGAAAAAACCCATACAGACTTTTTGGCCAACCCAGGACAATTTCCTACATTTCAGTTCTTAGATTCTTTCATCCTGGGACGAGCCCCGGACCCTCTGCCCTCCCTGTGGGGGGGGTCACAGACGGTGCTTCTCCCTCTGCCTGGAGCCGAACTGCCAGCCGCAGTTCACGCAGCTCCATGAACGCTGGGAAATCACTGAGCGTGGGAGAGATGAGTCAGCGGGCAGCGGCAGAATCTAGGCTGGTCTCTATTTGGAAATTTCATCCTTCTCAAATGATTGCTGTCAAAGTTTATTAAATATGTGACTGATATGAAAATTGTTTATGCATTGAATGCCTTAAAACCATTCATACAAAAGACGGTTGGGTACCCCTCGGAGGATCTAGTAGCCGTGCCCTTCTGGGGGACGGGGAAATGAGACAAACTCGGACTGCGGGGGTCACCAAGCCCAGTAAGCAGTGTCGCTCTCGGAAAAGGAAACTCCCGACAGCGACTGCCTGCTGACACCCCTCCCCTTCCTCTGCGGGACGGTACTCTAGGTCCGGCCCACCCTCTCTGCCCTCCCAACCAGAACAATAAGTCGTGATGGGAGAAGACGTGAACCTGAAAAAGAAACCTGCGGCCTCAATCTAAACAAGTTTATTCTTCAGTGTCAGATCTGCCGGTCTGTTCCCATGGCGTCTGTGGCCTTAAATATCTGCCCGTTGGCACCAGAGCCGCCCCAGCCTTGCTCCCATGGCCCAGCGTCTCAGGTGCCCATCCGTGTCCTTCACGGTTAAGACCAGTATCCAAATTGCTTACGTCTAGGAGAATAGACACAGGGAAGGTTAGGAATTCGAGCTTTAGTTAACAGAGTTACATATTCCTCCCCGAAGGAAGTGCAGGATGATAAGGAGCCCGAAGTGCACTCCACGTGGGGTCACAAAGCTGGCGGGTGGCCTCCGCCCCAGCTGAATGAGTGCAGGGACCACCTCCAGGTCTGTGTCCATCCTCGTAAGCCTCCCCACCTTGACCTCCAGAGTCAGAAGCACAGCCAACTGGAGACCGCCTCAGCCAAACAGCCTCATAGCGCAGGATGAGAAGGCGTGGCCGCCGCCATTGAAGTCCTGCATAGGACTGAAGTGTTTTCAATTAAATTTGGAAAGGGATCAACCTGCATCTACCCATGACCTAGTGGATGAGTGGAATCCCCACGTGTATTTCTCGTGTTTGAAAACGTTCTCACACAGCAGCTGTATCTAGATCCTTTTGCCCTTCCACAGTCCAAGAATGCAGACAAACAGATAAATAGGGTTATTTGCTGTGGGAATGGTCTTAAAACTGTCCTCTGAAAAGGAGAAGAACAATCAATAGTAACAATTGCCTGCAGCGGCTCTTCCATGGCCACCGCGGCTGAGCTCTCAGTGGGTTAGGAGGCAGAGAGAGAACGCTCTCCCGTCTCCAGGCAGTGTCGGCAGGGAGAGGCCGTACGCAGGGTGTAACTCCACAGAAGCTAGTGTTCACAAAAAAAAAGATCTAGAAGCCACCCAATTCATGCTTTATTTTTTTCTTTTACAAGTAATTGATTTAGCTTTTAAATTTTTTAAAAAATTTATTGTTGTTTAAGTGTGACAGCTTTAACGTTCTTCAAGTGTATTCTATTCAGCGTTCTGCTGTTGGCAATAACGCCTCTTTCAGCATCATCCCAAGCAAGTTCCTAGTAGGAAAATAATGCTTAGAAGAAGTAAATAAATAAGAGAAAAAAGGGGTGAATTATTTCTTATTGATAGGTATTTTGCCTTTTTTGAAGCATGGAAAAAATGGAATATTCTGCATTGCCTGGAGTCATAAAGATTCCAAACGAATAGCAACCTGCAGTGAGGACGGCTTCTGGTAAGTGCGGAGGGTGCGTCGCACCGTTTGCGAAGGACACGGGGGCCACAGCAGTCGTGTCCTGGGGGCACAGACTTTAAACTGTTGATGACATTCCATCTGTGCAGCTGGCTGGCTACCACAGATAGTATTTACAAGCCCACCTAGGCATGTCCCGTGTTGCTATGATGCATTGGTAATAAATAATAATGAAGTGATATTCAAAAATAAACACGCAAACAAACCAGTAACTGGTTGAATTATGCCTGGTAGACTGTGAATTGCCTCCAAGAAACTGGAAGGACGTTTCTCAAAGAGTCTGAATGATCCTCGTCAGATTTGTGAGGGTTGGCATTTTAGTTTCAAAGTGGCTCAAGAGATGCCGGCTCCTCTGGAAACTTCTTCGCAGTTTTGTAGGTGCTATTGTCCAGAAAGGGATAAAAAGCCTTTGCAAAGAAGAATGAGGTAGTTCATACAGGAAGTGCCCTTTGTTTAGAAGCTAAGTTCTCTGCCCCTGTGTTTCAGAAACATGTGCTTTCTCAGTGCTGTCCAGTTCTGGGGGAAGATAGGTTTCTCAAACACAACACAGAAGGGGAGAATTGCCTTTGGGTTAAAAATGTCTGAAATCAGGCGACGCTACCCTGTCACTGTAGGTGCTGTCACCTGGGACAGGTGATGCCCACACTCGAGACCGTCCTTCCAGGGCTGTGCTGACTTGGTGAAGAGCCACAGTCAGCGACTGAAGGCCTGGAAGCAGGGGTCATCACCCTGCCCGGTCACCTCAGAGGTTTGGGTGGGCTTAGGGATGTGCTAGAGGGTCTTCCCCCGGAGCCTTGAAAACCCTGTAATACATCAATGTATACACACTTACATTTTTTCTTTCTAAAGGAATCAATAGCCCTTGCATTATGGTATCACATAGTAGGCTTTCAGATCTTCTGTTTTTGCAGTTAAAGTATATGGGGTCCTTTTAGGGAGAAGGAATCCTTCAAATTTCTAGTTACGTTACTTAGAGTATGCCAAGGAAATATTGCAACTTGCACATCTTGGGCTTGGTATGTTAGTGGCTGTAATCAGCATTATAAATGAGTTTCAAACGCAAATTTTGAAGCTGAGCATCTAATACATGTTAATTATATAATTGTTTTAAAATAGGTGTATTAGCTATGTTTGTCCTAGATCAAAAAGTTTCTCTATGAAATAGTTTCTGAATCAAAGTCTATCATCTCTAAATTGATATAAATGGATTACCATAATTACCAATAGATGATGTAAGTATATATACTCATAATTGGTAATAACGTTGGCACAGGAGTTTTGAATGTTCCTGTGCTTTGCAGACAAGACTTCTATCCTAAAATACGTATGTTCCACTTACACGCTTCTGGCTTTGTTCTCTTGAACGAAATCTTTATAACGTTTTCCCCTATTAATGTTTCGCACCTAATTTCAGCATCATTCGAACCATCGATGGCAAAGTGCTCCACAAGTACAAGCACCCGGCCGCGGTATTTGGCTGTGATTGGAGCCAAAACAACAAGTAAGTATTTTTTTTCTGAAATACACAGTAATTACATTTCTGAGATATTAAATAACCGTGAAGTTTGATGGTATTCCCATAAATGATACATATCATTCTTTTTAGGCCATGTTCTCCTCACCTAGTCTTATAATTGCTTGTTTATTCTACATGTCAATTTTATTTCATCAGCTTGTCATATGATTTAGAAATATCAATTTCCTTCTTCCAGAACAACTTTCTGATGCTTTATGGCTAATGAATGAAAAGTGTAAATCAGTCCAGTCTCTGTGTGGTGTGGATTCTGCCAGAGAAGCGGGGGCCTTTCCGCCCCCCTTTTTAGGAATCTGTGTGACAGTCTTGTTCTGCCCCGACTGCCCGTCGCCCCACCTGACGCTCGGCCTCAGGCTGGTGGGGTTCCCAGCGCGTGGGACTGAGGTGGTCGGTCTTGAGAGGCCAACCGTGCCTAACAGCCTGATAATTTACTGTGGAGAAACCAGCCTAGATTTTACAATGAGTCCCAGTCGAACCTCCACTACAATGGATCCTAAATTCATCGCATGTCCAAGAACCCTGTGTTCCCGCCTCTCTTGGATGGGCTATAAATTGTACTTAACAATTCAGACTTTCTTGAGGTGTTGTTAAAACAGTGTGAAGTATCTTATGCTTTTCCACATCACAGGTGGAAAATATACATGTTAAAACATTAAAACTTGACGTGTGTTCTGAGTCCGATCACATACATACTACACAACATGATGGATCTATGGACTTCTTGCAGCCAGTAGGGGAGAAGTCATGACACACGGTTGGAGTTTACACACGTAACGAGCCCATGCCAGCGTCTCCCTGGCAGCGCACCCCCCGTCCTCATTCTCAGTTTCCGCTTCCGCTCAGCCAGGAGTCACTCTCCCTGCCCCATCCAAACGCTCTTCTCTCCCGGCCGCCCCTTTGCCACTAAACTGGCAATGTTTGCTTGCTCTTGGTTTGGGGTTTTTGCATTTTAGAAGTATTTTATTTTTATTTTTTAAAATTCATGTATTTATTAATTTGAGCTTTTTATTTTGTACCTTTTTTAAGATTTTATTTATTTATTTTTAGAGAGGGAAGGGAGGGAGAAAGAGAGAGAGAAACATCAATGTGCAGGTTGCTGGGGGCCGTGGCCTGCAACCCAGGCATGTACCCTGACTGGGAATCGAACCTGCGATGCTTTGGTTCACAGCCCGCGCTCAATCCACTGAGCTACGCCAGCCAGGGCTTACCTTATTTTTTTATTGTATTTTTTCCCATCACTATTTCCCACCCTTCCCCAGACCCTCCTCTGCCTCCAGCAGTCAGGGTGTGTAGTGATTAGCAACTTGCTTACCAGCAAGTAAACATGTCTCAATCCCTCCCCACTGGGGGCCCTTCTTGAGAACCAATAGTGGCAAAATAGAAAGCTCTGAGAATCACTCAAGAAGTCATAAATCTGCACATTCTGAAAGAAGAACATATAGAAGAAATGTAAATGCCATTATCTCTGAACCTAAGATGCATACAATAAAAAAAATTCAACCGATGAAAAGGGAACATGGAGAGAGAAACTTCTTTTGGTATGGGGGCAGTTCCTGCCAACTGTGTTTTCCCTTGGGCCAGTTTTTCGTCTAACTTCATTAAGGAGGCGAAACCAAATCCAGGGCTAGAAGGGAGCACCGTGCACGTTTTCAAATCCCCAGTGACGAGCGCCCTCCAGTGTCTCACACTCTCCCGCCCGCCGCTGCTGCTGTTTCAGGGACATGATCGCCACGGGCTGCGAGGACAAGGACGTGCGTGTGTACTACGTGGCCACCAGCTCGGAGCAGCCGCTGAAGGTGTTCAGCGGGCACACCGCCAAGGTGTTCCACGTGCGCTGGTCTCCTCTCCGGGAGGGCGTCCTCTGCAGCGGCTCCGACGACAGGTGTGTGTGTGTGTGGGGGGGTGGAGTTCGTGTTTCCCAGTCCTGAAAACCGTGCGCTTACCCTTTTTCAGAGATGCCCTTACTTATGTGATGCAAGTGATGTGGGGAACATTTGAAATACGTACTTAACATGTTGGCGGGTAACCGGTAGTTAATTGCATTCAACTGAAAGTAAATTGAATTTTGTCGTGCTTGTATTATCATTGTTGTCATGATATTCTATTTTCTTTCTTATTTTACTTATTATGGATGCTTATCTCTATCTAACAAAGTTAATAGAAACAAAAATTTTAAAAGGATCTTTTGGGAAAGGGAAAAAGATTGGAAACAGATCTCTGTAAAATATAGAGAAGAGTTTATTAATATGAAAAAAACTGGACTTTGTTTTCATTAAAAAAGGAATAAAAGAAGATAATTATACATTTTAGCATGAAGAGCAGATATTTTAGTAATGAGCGTGATTTTACATTTTGGTAACTACTGAACATGAGATAAATTTAGGCAAGAGAACTCTCACTTTATGCAAGAAGAAGTCCCAGTATACAGTAACCTCAGGCCTAATATTAAAAGTTAAGTATTTTCATCTTGAAATTTTGAAATAAATCCAAATTTAATAAGAAACATACTGTATTTTTCATACTATAAGATGCACCCCCTCCCCAATTTGGGAGGAATAATGGTTGTTAATGCCTCTGCCTCTGTCTACATTTACATTGGTGAAATATTATGTTATTTATGTTATTAAATATTTATCACATTTTTTGCTTCAAAAATTTTTTTCCTACTTTCCTCCTCTAAAACTTAGGTGCGTCTTGTGGTTCAAAAAATATGGTAATTGTGGGATTTCTGTGGGGTCCCACAATTATGTTTATTATTAAATCACTTCAGTCTCTTCACATGGCCTCTAGAGTCTGCATTCTCTTCTACACGAAGAAAGTATGATCTTCAATTACTGTCTCAGAAACATTTGTCAGGCGAGTAGCAGTGAGCACTTCCATAACTCACAGTAAAGAAAGCTGTAAAGAAGGCCTTGACCGAATCCTGGTAGCCGGTCCTTAGGCAGTAAACAGATGATGGTTGTACTCGCATGCTCTCGGCGCGTTGAAGTAAGAGTCAGGATTGTAGGGAGGTCATTGCCGGCCAGTGTGTTTATCACAGAACGTGCCGCCCCCCGGCGGCCTCCGGCGCTCCTTGAGTGCAGGGGGGCCAGCACCAGCTGTTCTGGGGCTTGATTATAAAATGCACTTTCGGCCTTCCAAGCCCGATGTTTGTCCCGTTACAAACTTGGGTCGTAAAAGCAAGAACACCTGTTCTGGCGCCCCCTGGGCAACAGAGTATTTTGAAATAAGTCACTTCAGTACTATATATGAAGGTATGATACCAAACAAAAGAATTTAAACATATATAAGAAATCAGCACCCCAAAACTGGTTTTGGTATACCTGGATCCATTGTTCTGTACTAGGGAAGGGGGACAAATATATAAATTGGAAAGAGATATGCCTTAAAGGAATAAAAGTATATATAATATAATGTTTAATATAATCTCTGGTGTCATCAAGCTGATATAAATCCGTGACTAAAAATTTAGTATGGATTGTCCAAGCAAAATTGGCATTTGGAGGTCTTCAGTTGATTTGGAGTTCAGATTTTATTCTAGTAGCATTCATACTTTGTCCAGTCAGTAGATTGAAGCAGTAGCATGAATCCAGTTACATTTGAATTTTGTACTCGGTTGGAGAGTGTTTCCACACTGGTTAAGCAGCTTACTCTGCTGACCAAAACATGAAGGAATGGCTCACTGTGCTGATAGGATCATGAACATGAATTGATCTCTCAGCTAATATCCATTGTCATACATACTCTATTTCATGATTTATGGATAATTTGAATGTTCCTAAATTGCCACATCCATGTTATTAATCATAGTTTTCTTTGGCTTTATCTGTTCTAGATATTTTATCTTAAGAAAGCAATTTTTAAACATATGAACGGTGAAATAGTACATTCAGTTTCATTAGCAAATACACCAGTAAATGTCAGGAAAAAAATATCTGTACATAGGAATAGGTAGGCTAGCCCTAGCGTAATTACTCATTTCTGTCTGCTCTAAAGAGGAGAATTGTAACATCACTGGAAACATAGAATGCATTTTTAATATACTGAGAAATAATTGTTGTGCTCCAGCAAGAATGTGTTAAGATTTTGTATCAGTTACAACTCGAATGGCACTACTTCGATAACATTCTGTTTCAGTTCGGTTCGGATCTGGGATTACACTCAGGACGCCTGCATAAATGTCCTCAGTGGGCACACCGGTCCTGTGAGGGCGTTAATGTGGAACCCCGAGATCCCCTACCTGCTCGTGTCCGGCAGCTGGGACTACACCGTGAAAGTATGGGACACGCGAGACGGGACTTGCTTGGACACCGTGTGCGACCACGGCGCGGATGTATACGGTAAAGCGGCTTCCGTGTACTTGGAAGCGTTGTTCTGTTCATGACGATTGTAACTTCTGAGCAATGTGGCATTTTTTGGAGAAGTCTTGAAGCATTTCATTTTTTAAAGATTTTATTTATTTATTTTTAGAGAGGGAAGGGAGGGAGATAGAGAGAGAGAAACATCAATGTGCGGTTCCTGGGGGTTATAGCCTGCAACCCAGGCATGTACCCTGGCTGGGAATCGAACCTGGGACACTTTGGTTCCCAGCCCACGCTCAATCCACTGAGCTACGCCAGCCAGGGTGAAGCGTTTCGTTGTTAAAAACATTTTTCTCAGTTGAAACTATACCTGTCGTTACTGAACTATCAGAACATCCAGATGGCGATAAAAAACGTCATCGGAAATCTTCAGAAGATAACTTTTATGAGCATTGTGGTGTCTTTCTTTACCTGCAGGTGCACTTGTGTTCCTACACACATGTACACACATGCACCCATGCATGCATTTGCATGTACATCTTAGATGTCTCTCCCCCCAGAGGTGAGCTGTGGAAAGGAAACCAGTCATAAAGCAGATACAGCTGAGTCATGCTCTGCCCCTGTGCATCGGTGTTGAGAGAGGGGTGTTCGGGCTTCAACGCTGTTGAGCTGGGCGTGGGAGATCAGACTGTCTGTCGGCTGCACAGCACCTCACTGTCCTTTGTGGCCCCCAGTCTTGGAAGCCATAAGGAGGTCAACAGAGACGCCAAAACGATTCCTTACAGGGACCTTCATCATGCCGTCTGTACCTGTGTGCTTCCCCCCAGCGGCCTTCTAGTTGAGGGAGTGCAGGTCTGTGTGGGAGAGAACCCCGTTTGTGGGTGTTTTCAGTGGAAAGGGCCCCGACTCCGGCAGCCGGCATGCCCATCAGTTCACAGATCACTGTGCACGCCACTGGTGTTAACAGACGGAAACATAATTTCAACATCTTCTTCCAGGGCCTTTTGCTTTCTAACAGTTGTTCGATGTGCGTTGCTATTTTATGCTCACTAAAGGATTGCATTCTTACATTATTTTCAGCCAAGATAGAGGTATTTCTCCAAAACGTCCATTCTGTGTAAGTTTCACGAGGTGCCTGCGAGACAGAAAGCATTTTCGACGTCCCCTTCAGTCAGCACAGGTTTGTGTCGCCCGCAGGCCTGGCGTGCCACCCCGGCCGGCCCTTCACCGTGGCCTCCTGCTCCCGGGACTCCACAGTGCGGCTCTGGTCCCTGGCCCCCCTGGTCACTCCCCTGCAGATGAAGATCCTGGCCGACCGGCCTTGGAAAGAAATCATCGGGAACACTGGTACTGCAAAGCTGCCTGGTTAAGCGTTTTATTTTTAAATGATATTTCATAGCCGTCTTTCGTCACCGAATTACGTCCGTTCTCCAGATTACGCCCTGCTGCAAGGCACTCCGCCTGTCCTGTGTGGCAAAGTGTCCAGAGATATCAAACAAGAGATAGAGAAGCTCCCCGGCAATCCTCGGGTGGAAAAACTGAGGAGGTTTTCAGAATGCTTTTCAGTAAGTAGTTACAGGAGTTCGGCGTGGGCATCCTCCTCTTCCGCAGAATGGAGCTTCCCAGCTGTTGTCAGAGGGTATCACACGTACTTAAGTGCATCCTCCCAGTTCGCTGGGAGCCTCAGAACGTACTCTGCACAGGGTAAGAGAGCACATGGGAACCAGAACCAACACACGGGATAAGGTGTAGATGTATTGCATTACTCTTCTGTTGCATTGTGCCTGCAGTATCTTTTTGAAGATGCACAGTGCCGTGTGGTTTCTCATTCATCATTACAGCGTGGCTTGTTCTGTATCCACTCGTTAGCCTCCAGGTGGCAGTGACAATCTGTGGAACCTGGTCGCTGTGATAAAAGGACAAGATGACAGCTTGCTCCCTCAGAACTACTGTAAAGGCATCATGCACCTGAAGCACCTGGTCAAATTCAGAACGGTAAGTGAAGCATGCAAATGCGACGTGCTCAGGCAAAAAAAATGGCTCTGCCTTTTCACTATGAAAACATAACGGTTACTTCAAAGTGTGTATGGTAGGGCTGGTACACTAAAGTAAGTGAATAGGGAGAGTTAGATCTTCGGGAAAAAGCAAGCGCGAGGCTGTGCGTTATGCGAGGACAGGTGAAGGCAGGTGCAGGGTTCAGAGGCTGAGGCTCCCGCAGTTCCTCAAAGGTCTCATGGCACGACTCGGAACGCTAGTCACTCACCTGCAGCCAGGTGACGGTGGCACACGGACCCCTGCGGCTGTAGTCTCAGAGGCCCGGCCGGGCAGGCTGCATCCAGGGAGACGTTTCATTAAAACTGATCGAGTGGTGCAGCTCTTAGTGGGGTGGAGTGCAAAACGGCTCGTTGCCTCCTGCCTGGGGCAACGGGCAGTGCCAACAACAGACCAGTCCCTACCGGAAAGAAGGAAAGAAGAGATACCTTTCCCGTTTGCAACGCAGTCTCAGTGGTGAGCGCAACGGTTAGCGCACAGAGGGAGGTGGGCTGGGTTGGGAGTGACGGCCACCAGAGCAGTGGTTTTCGTAAAGCGGCAGCACCTTTTCAAGTCACTAACTCAACACGTAATGACTGTAGGAGTTACCTGTTGACACTATTGGAGCCAGGTAGAGCCAGCCAGTAATTTTCATTTTCAGTAGAGGCCTTTCTGTCCCTTTGTCACCAGCAGTCTGTAGTTTTCACTCGCCTCTGGTCCCCTGGTCCTCTGCATGGCCACCACCCTCGCTGAGTTTGAAGGACCAGGCTGGTCAGCACATGCACACGCATGCCAGGCTCACCCACTCCCTGCACCCCACCCACACCGAAAATCTGTGTGTACAGAGGGGTCACATTTTACAGAGAGAAAGTATTGATTTTTTAAAATATTTCATTCCCAGTGCTGCATGCTTTTAAAATATGGGCCCATTGTTAGCCGTATAATGCTCTCATGGTCGAGTGTTATTACCAGCTGTTGTCTAAGAAGAGTTAGAAAAATTCCATTTGCTTTATCGCCAGTCGGAAGCCCAAGAACTGACCACAGTCAAGATGTCCAAATTCGGGGGCGGTATCGGTGCTCCGACAAAAGAGGAGAGACTGAGGGAAGCCGCCGAGATACACTTGAGACTAGGACAGATCCAGAGATACTGCGAACTGATGGTCGAACTTGGAGAGGTGAGGTGCTGCTCAAGTAAGATGAATGAGCTTCACAAAGTGTCCTGTGTGTGAGTGAGATACTACATAGTGAGTGTGTCTTCTTTCAGAGCTGGTCCTGCCAGACGCATGTCAGGTGTGTGCCTGAGGGCAGGAGTTACCCCCGTCCGCACTGCTCGGGGGCTGTTCAACACGCCTTCCCCACCCCAGACTCACAGAGCCGGAAACCTTGGGGACGCAGCCCAGAGATCCAGGCTTCTGTGGTCCTCCAGGTTGTTCTCACGCATGTCCAAGTCTGAGAACCACTGCCCTGGGCTGGCAGCTTCGGTCCCTAAAATGACATCTCTGTTGGCTAACTTGCTCCTGGTGCACCCCCCCCCCCGTGCTAATGCTATTTGTCATATTAAACCCCACCCTGGCCAGAAGAAGGGTTTCCACAGAGGATTCTCTGAGGACGCGTCCTGATTTTTAGGGAGGACTGAACAAGACAGAGTTTTCGAAAAAACATTGGGATCAATCTGTCCTATTGAAATTCAGCATGGTGCTCACATTTGGAAGGTGGGTGGTGGCTCCCATAGAGCAAAGGGGGGAGGGCTTCTGCTAGCTAATCTGAGGGCTGGCTACATGAGTGTAGTTGGTTTGTGAAAACTTATTGAGCTTTTCATTTTTCTGCATGTGCATCTAGTTCAACAAAATTCTCCCACCCATCAGAAAAAGAAACCTAACACGATTAGAATAGCATGGACATGTTTCATGCTTGATCATTTCTGAGAAGCTCAAAATAGTTAATTTCACAATGACGAAGCATGATATTACGGATATTTATAAATAATGGTAAAACTAAGCAATAAAGCTACAAAAAATATATAAAAAATAAATTTAATGCACCTTTTGATTTCTCCATATGCTAGAGGTAATTACTGCTTCGACTAAAATAATAAATGAGCCATTTAAAAATGTTATTGAAAGGCATTGCAAACTAAAAAGTATTTGATCTAGGAGTAGTGTAAGAGTTTTACTTATGAAGAAGTAAAACTATGGCTTAAAAGTTACTTTTTTAAACTAGGCACTACTAGAAAGAATAATATCTATGAAAACTCAAGGAGAAAATAAATAAATTTTGGTAGAATGGTAGAATGTATCTTTTTGAGTTCTATATTTTGGTATATATAATTTTAAACTTGGGACTTCCAACCAAGATGGAGGCATAGGCCAACACACTGTGCCTCCTCGTACAACCAAAAGAAGGACAACAAATTTAAAAAACAAAAAAACAGAACTGCCAGAAAATCAGACTGTGTGGAAGTCCAACAACCAAGGAGGTACAGAAGAAACACTCATCCAGACCAGTAGGAGGGGTGGAGATGGACAGCCAGACAGAGAAGACTGAGGGCAAGGCAGCAGCTGGGGGACCAGGTGGTCCCACATTCACGTGCAGATAAACCAGGAGGAACAACTGGGGAGCGAGACAGACCATGCACCGAGGGTTCCAGTGCAGGGAAATAGAGCCTCAAACCTCTGACTGAAAACACCTGTGAGGGTTGCAGCAGTAGGAGAAACTCCCAGCCTCACAGGAGAGTCTATTAGAGAGACCCACAGGGTTCTAGAACATATACAAACCCATCCACCCAGGAGTCAGCACCAGAAGGGCCCAGTTTGATTGTGGGTAGTGGGGGAAGTGACTAAAAACTGGCAGAGAGCTGAGAAAGCGGCACTGCTCCCTCTCTGACCCCTCCCCCACGTACAGCATCACAACGCAGCAATGGGGGTTGCCCTGCCCTGGTGAACACCTAAAGCTCCATGCCTCACTACATAACAGGCACTCCAAGACAAAAAAAAAATGGCCCAAATGAAAGAACAGATCAAAGCTACAGAAAAAATACAACTAAGTGATGAAAAGATAGCCAACCTATCAGATGCAGAGTTCAAAACACTGGTGATCAGGATGCTCACAGAAATGGTTGAGTATGGTTGCAAAATACAGAAAACAGTGAAGACTATGAAAAGTGAAATAAAGGAAAATGTACAGGGAACCAACAGTGACAGGAAGGACACCAGTACTCAAATCAACAGTTTGAACCAGAAGGAAGAAATAAACATTCAACCAGAGCAGAATGAAAAAACAAGAATTAAAAAATGGGGAGAGGCTTAGGAACCTCCAGGACATCTTTAAATGTTCCAACATCCGAGCCATAGGGGTACCAGAAGGAGCAGAGGAAGAGCAAGAAATTGAACACTTATTTGAACAAATAATGGAGAACTTCCCCAATCTGGTAGAGGAAATAGACTTCCCGGAAGTCCAGGAAGCTCAGAGAGCCCCAAAGTAGTTGGACCCAAGGAGGAACACACCAAGGCACATCATAATTACATTAGCCAAGGTTAAAGAGAAGGAGAGAATCTTAAAAGCAGCAAGGGAAAAGGAGACAGCCATGTACAAAGGAGTTCCCATCAGACTGTCAGCTGATTTCTCAAAAGTAACATTGTAGGCAAGCAGGGGCTGGAAAGAAGTATTCCAGGTCATGAAAGGCAAGGACCTACATCCCAGATTGCTCTATCCAGCAAAGCTTTCATTTAGAATGGAAGGGCAGATAAAGTGCTTCCCAGATAAGGTCAAGTTAAAGGAGGTCATCATCACCATGTCCTTATTATATGCAATGTTAAAGGGACTTATCTAAGAAAAAGAAGATAAAAAATATGAACAGTAAAATGACAACAAACTCACAGTTATTAACAAGCACACCTAAAAGAAAAACAAAAGCAAACTAAGCAAATGACTAGAACAGGAACAGAATCACAGAAATGGAGATCACATGGAGGGTTATCAGCAGGGGAGTGGAAAAGGGAGAGAGGAAAAAAGGTACAGAAAATAAGTAGCATAAATGGTAGGTAGAAAATAGGGGGGAGGTTAAGAAGGCACAGGAAATGTAGAAGCCAAAGAACTTACATGTATGACCCATGGACATGAACTAAAGGGAGGGAATTCAGGTGGGAGGGAGTGTGCAGAGTGGAGGGGAATAAGTAGGGGAAAATGGAAAAACTGTAATAGCATAGTCAATAAAATATATTTAAAAATTTTTTAAACCCTATTTAATGCAAATTTAATTAAAGATCCTTTAATCGGGTATCTGCTTATGGAACTTGATAAATCTGTTGTGTGGTTTTATCGATGGACTCAATGACCCAAAACCTGTGCTTAAAATCATTTAGAAACCTGGGTGTTCTTATAATCAGCCATTGTCACCTCCCTCCAAACTGTTTCTATTTCTGTAAGATTAATACTATGAAATGAGAAAAACATTTAATCTTTAATTTTTGAGACATGCTTTTTTTGAGAGTGTGGTATAGTTCATTTAATCTACATTTTAACTTCTTTTTCTCCATTTCTCTCTATATAAATAAATGTCTCATAAAACATGCTTTAAGTTCCCTTTCTCAGGTAACATCATTATGAATAACATAATATTTAAAATTACCTTTTTAAACTTGAACCTATTATTTTCAGGGTAACTAATAACTTCATAGCCTTAATCACAGTAGAACCCTGTTTTGGAAGGACTTAATTAAAACGAAGTTTTGGTTTATGTAGTGATATTTCATAATATGTTTTCCTCACTTCCCTTCTAGCCATGAATTCAGTGAAATCCACATTTTCAAATAATAATCACCATCATCCTTGACCAAGCAATGAGGTTCTTTATTAGCAGTCTAATTTTTAAAGTACAAAGACAGGTATTATGATTAGAAAGGAAGAATTTACAATAAATATAACTTACAAAATGAGTAGGGAAAGAGTAAAAATAGAAATAGGTATTTGTTAAAAATAACAGCAAAATAAAAGCTTACTACACATTAATTTGAACATAGAACCTAGAATACCACACAGAACAGATCACTCTGGTGTTGCGCTGGAAGATGAGTTAATACAGTTTTCAAAATATATAGTTTACTTACTATCCCTCCCCACCCTCACCTTCCTTCTCTCTCCTCTCCGTAGCTCTCTTCTCTGTGTCCAGGTTTGGGATTTTCCCTGCTAAATAATAGAATTTACATATCTGTTTTATTTTAAAATACGGTGGTATTTCTACTCTGTGGAACGAATGAGAAAGAATACAAAAATGGTCCTGGAAATGGACATACTCTATAAGCAGTGTGGAACCTTGCATTCTAGAAAGTTCGGGGTTAGGCTGTGCAAGCCGATCACTGTGTCTCTGCTCTCCCTCCTTCTATTCCAGTGGGACAAGGCCTTGGCGGTCGCACCCGGCGTCTCTGTGAGATACTGGAAGAAGTTAATGCAGAGGTAAGGCAAGCGGCCAGTGTCTAAGGGATGTGTTCAGATATGCTGAAATAGAAACACTCTGTAAATATGATGGCAGCGTCTGGGATTTTCCCATTGTGTTGTTATGATTAATAACTGAATGCTATATCTACTGATCCAGTACGTGAATCGGTTACAAGTCACCTTGTGTTCTTGTTTGCGACCTGTCATCTGGTAACACAGTGCGAGGCTGGTGTCCCTGTCATTGGGGCAGTGAAATGACAGGCCCACGGACATACTCAGTGGTCGGTGAGCTGACACTGGGAGACCAGTGGCACGGCTTTCTGAAGGTCACCAAGCGTCTGCGGCACACTCATTCCACAGTCTCAGGAGTTCCCTCGGCAGAGAGCAGCCCCTACGTTTCCCTCCGCGGCCAGGAAGGAGGAACAGAGGACAAAGAAGAGCTTCCACGCTGAGCCGCCGAACTAGGTGCCCTCGTCCAAGAGTGGGATAAACGGGGGTTTCTCCCAAGACGCGTTCCTTTCCCGGGGATGCCGTTACAGAGCCCCACAGACCGGGCGGCTTGGAACCGTGGAAACGCCCTCTCCGCCGGTTCTGGGGCCAGAAGCCTGGCAGGGAGTTGCCCGCGGGGGCTCCTGCTGAAGGCCCCGCCTCCTCCCAGCAGCGGGGTGGCCGGCCACCCCGACTTCTCCCACTGGCTCGTACACGCGTCACTCGGCCTCTGCCTGGCCTTCGCATGGCACTGTCCCCATAGGTCCATGCCTAAATGTCCTTCTGTTTATAAGGACACCACTCATATCGGGTGCGGGGTCCACCCTAGTCCAGTGTCACCCTATCTTAACTAAGTACAGCGATGAAGACCCTGTTTGCAATCAAGGTCACATTCACAGGTACCATGGGTTAGAACTCCAACATATCTTTGTGGGGGACAGATTTTAACCCACGGCACGAGACTTTTCTCTCTTCCACTCATTCACGCAACAGATGTGTATTCCGTGCTTGCTCTGTGCTAATCACTGTGCGAGGCCTGTAGGGTGCTATTTGATGAGTGGTTATATCTGGCATTAGAAATGAAAATTTTTTATTTTTATTTCATGGTATGTGGTTTACTCAAAACCCAGCTGCCACTCACATGTACACACAAAAACCAGCCACGGGTGAAGCACGGGACTCCGGAGGGTGCACGCCTGTGCCGTGGGAAAGCCGACTCCCCGGCACCTGCTGTCTGGCGGTGAGCTCAGCAGCGACCCGGCCCCAGGCTCCAGGCACGGAGCTGCAGGATTGGGGAGTGGGGTGGGGCTTGCAGGGCCACGCTGCACGGGGGTCCGATGTCAGGGTGCCCACTGAGGCCTTAATAGGTCAAGTCAGCAGAAGACATTTGCTTCAGAGACAGTTTTGTGTCAACATCACCCAAAACCCTACTGATCATCACCTGGTTCTCTCTGCTCCGCAGTCCCCGTAGTGGCCAGAAAACGGTCTCCCCGCAGCTCCCAAGTTATGTCTTGTGGAACCAGCCACGGATGGGACGCACAGCCCCTCAGTCCTGGTTTCCAAGGCCCAGGGAGAGAATGTGGTTTCTGATCCGCTATAACAAGGAAGTCAGGGTCACATGGTAAAAACAGGGCTGTTGGGAAACACCCCGATGACCCTATAAACTGGGGAGAAAACAATGTAAAATGTGTCAGTGCACCTAGCCAAAGATTGGCAACTGAAATGTAATTTAATGCAAATCCCAACATAAATACACCAGATTATTGTTGAACGACCTTGAAGTTAAACATGAAGAAGGGTGGGAGGAGCTGGGCTGGTCATTGAGAAAGCGCCTGGGACTCAGAGACAGATGGACAGTGATGGACACAGAGAGACAGAGACAGACATGCGTGTACCCTTCGTAATGTTCACGGCCAGCCTCCCCTGGCCCCTTCACGTAGCTGGAATGTTATTTTCCTTTAAGTCACCTTGCTTGGGCCACTTACGATAGTCTACAGTTTATGATGCATGTTTAAATTCTTGCATGATCCTTTTTAATGATTTTAAGCTAGCTGTATCTAGAAGCTCTCTAGTCATTGTTGTGTTCACTAGAGCATTTAAAATCCCCTTTAACAAAGTAGACACCCACATAGTTATCCATCCAGTTGAGAGCAGAACTCCCCTCACGCATATCCAGTTCACAACTTATTTTCGAAAAAATATGTTGCCCATATAAGTAGATGAGCTACATTCATTTTAAGGCCTGAGGTATTCAGTGCATCTAAAATATGAAACCAGGTAGTGTTCGAAGGGAAAACAGGTACCTGTAATATATAGTAGTTCAGCAAACATTCATCTTCCATAGGTGATTTGATCACAAAATCGGTCTTTTTAAAAGGTGATATGCAAAAGAGCTTGAGGACATTGGCTTCAAATTTCAGATATTTCTGAAAATCCCAGTCCAGCTGAGAACCTTGAAATTCGTACATTGTAAAAAAAAAAAAATGTTCTTATTTTATTAGGAGAGCTGATCAGTTGATCCAGGAAGATAAGGATGATGTCATCCCCTACTGCGTAGCCACCGGGGACGTGAAAAAACTAGTCGCTTTCTTCCTGTCCCGGGGCCAGCTGAAGGAAGGCCTGCTCGCCGCCCAGGTAGAGAGGTGTGCGCCCCCACAGGTGCGCACGCGGGCGGGGGGGGGGCGCAGGCGGGAGGAGGCCCTCCTGGCCGAGTCCCCTGGACGTGACGGACAAAGTCAGAGGTGGCCCAGCCTCTGCCCACCCCCCAGCCTTCCATCGCTACATTCCAGTCCCTTTGCTCTGGTTGCACTGGACGCAGTTTAAATCTTTAAATACCCAGGCGTGTGTGAACGCTGAACCGTTGAGTGCCATCGAACGCTGTACACACTCGCGCAGCTTTGTCTGTAACCGTGAACTCGAACCTTCCCTTGTGTACAATGGAGTTCACATTTATTTTTCAAATTCGAAGGGTGTCTTTAAATTGTAGGATAAATGTCACTCAAGATTCAGGTATGCTCTGTTCAAAATACTGGTCTGAAATTGGTCCGTTCCCAACAGTTAGTTAAACATTCATTCAAACTCTCATTAAATTCCAGGCTGCCTGTGAGGGGAACATGCAAACCGTCCATGTTTCTACACCCAAAGGACCTTCTTGCCCCGACGATTCCTACAAGGAAGACTTCAATGAGTAAGCGATTCTTTGTTTGGGAGTCACTGATTGTCACGGCGGGTTTCCCTCGAGGAGGACATGAGGGCCGTGCAGTTCACCTTCCTTTGTATTCAGAGGACGTGGCTGGCTCACGGGCTCCCTGCACTTCCCGCCACAGCCAGCTCCACCGCGGCATCTGTCCCCAGGTGAGTGGGGACGTGCGTGGCTTGGAGACGCAGCCCAGACGCCCTTTCTGTGGCTTCCAGGAGAGCCAAGGGCATTGCAGCGTGGAGACTGCAACTCAAGCACCTGACTGCTTGCCGCTGCGCGGACCCGCTGGGGAGAGGGGGCGCTGCGCTGCTCCTGGACGTTTTGCTGTCAAGTCAGTGTGGACGACAGCACGGTGGCATCACTCCTGATCCCGCGAGCCCAGGACGCGTGCCAAGAACAACATGCCAGCCTCGTGTGGAGGAGAGGTCCAGAGAGTTATGTTTTTCAAGGAAATGGAAACTCGACTTCTTCAACTTTCTGACCTTGTTCAAAGCTAGTAAAATCTGCCTTCTCCTCCCTCTTCTCTTGGCTCCTGTTTTACTCTAGAAAAGAGGATATTTGAACTTTGGGGACACTTACCAAGTAAAAAAGGACCATAAAACGTTAAGCAAACGATGTATGGGAACTAACGCATTCCTGCCTGGTTCTTCGCTGCAGCTCCCTGCCATTGCTAAGCGTGGTGTTGGAAGATCTCACACCCACACACACCAGCCACACTGCAGTCACCACCTGAACACAGAACCGTTTGAGTTCGTCCTGTAGTTCTTCAGAGGGGAACCACCCCGATAGCTGAGTCATAAATGATTCGATTTAGGATAGTCGGTTTTGAAAGTTAGGCTTTTCTTCTGAGAGTTGTGGTTGGAGGTCTTACCAACGCATCCGAGAAAGACCCCTTTCTGATTTCCCCCCAAATCAGGCTTTACGCCTAAATGAAGGATGACCAGTGAAATCTGACTTGAGCCCTTAATCAGTGTGTTACCAATGGGCATCGGGTCACTTTTACGGGGGAATCCTGAGTGTTTCTGGAATGTGCTCTCCTTTCCTCTCCAGACTCCTGCACACGGTGAGCGAAGAGCTGGCGGAACGGTACCTGCGGGACGGCAGGGCGGTCCTGGCCGCGTGCTGCCACCTGGCCTCGGACGACATTGAGGTACCGCCTTCCCCGCGGGTTCAGGTGCACGCACAGCTCCCGGCGGGCGTCGCGGCGTCTGGGGGGAGTGCGGCGACTTCCCGTGTGGCCTCCTGGGTCACGGGCTTTCTGGGCCCACTAAGTGCACAAACCACAGACTGTGAGGTCTGTTTTTATTTTATTTTTTCACTTTGATCACAAGATAGGTATTTGTAACCACCTCACTTGAAGTTACTTCCTCAGAGACCAGAAGTGGTAGCACGGTAAAAGGAAAGGTCACTGAACTTGGACTCGGAACTCCTGACTTTCAACAGCACTTATTTTTAAGTGTGCCGTGGTCTAGTCATCACAAGTTGTATTTCAGAATGTTTTCCACTTGAGCCACTAGTGTCATGAGGAAGACACTCAGTAAAGATACAGATTCTATCTGCATGTATCCTTAGGTGTGTCGGCTTTAGGGGGTAACTGATACTCACTGTACCCTCCTTAAGATGCTTTCAAAAATTTACATGTTTTCCCAACAGACGGAAGGATTTGTTGAGGATATTGCCGTGAGGCATGTTAGTTGCAAAAATATGAGCAAGGGCTCTAAATTCTCCCATTTTAACCTTCCCACGTGTCCGTTCATCAGCGTTTCCGTTTGAAAATTGCAGTTACACTTACATCCTGTATAGCAATGTGCCTTTGAGTACTGACTGAGCGTAGGTTAGTGCAGCCTTCCGTGCCCTCTCAGCGTCGGGGGGGGGGGGGGGCAGCTCCACCCGGTGTCCCCGCCACTGAAGACGCGGTTTCCTCCCCGAGCCAGCTGGCGATGGCCTCCCTGATCCGCGGGAACGAGCTGGAGCTGGCCGTCTGCGTGGGCACAGCCCTGGGGGAGGCGGCCGCCCCCGCAACCCACTGCGCCCTGGAGTTACTGGCGAGGAAATGCATGATGATTCCGATGTGGTAAGAATTGCTAAACGCGAAGAAGAGTGTTACAGTGATGGAGGGCATTTCTTAAACACAGCAAGTTGCATTTGATAATGTGTCAGGAGTACAGATGTGTCAGGAGTCCCCTTTTTCACTGCAAGGTAAGACGGTAAGAGGAAGTGGGGATATGGGAACGAAGGGACTGGGCCAGCCCCTGGCGTGCACGGAACCTACCGTGACCCACCCTGGAAGAGCCCCGCGTGGCGCCATGGCATCCCAAGCACACAGAGCATCACGAAACCACACGTGCGTGCATCTTAAGATCGTCACGACCACACATTCCCACATCTCAAATCCTGCACACCTACTACTCTCTTCCTGTCAGATCCTGTGTTTTGGTTTAAGGTTTAGAAAATAAAGTCACTTCTCTAATGGCGGACTCAGGACCTAATCACCCTCCAGGGCCCCCCCTCCATAGACCACTCACCGCCTGGGGGTGTGGTTTCAGCGCAGGAACTGGGGGGAACAGGGACTTCAGGCTGCGGCAGCATCACGTGCTCCCCCCCCCCCCCCTTACGTGGGGCCAACTCAGAGCGAGAGTGGCACCTCGGCTCTCCCTTTCTGTCCGGGTCCGGGCGCTACAGCGGGGCCAGGCCTCCCGAGCCCTTCTTGCTGCGCCCACGGTGCCGTGACCGAAGAGCCCCTCCCCCACCATGAGCCGCAGGCTTCCGTAGGTCTGATGCTGACCGTCCTCTGAGAGTCCCCTGTGTCCCCCTCCGTCGGGAGCCACTGTGGTCAGTGACTCTAGCCACCACGCCTTCCCTTAGACGCGCTCCCCGAAGCGTGAGCCCAACCCCCAATTACGCAGTCCCCAAGGCCGCTGCCTCTGTGCGGGGCGTCACCATCTGATCTGAATACCATGCGACTTGTTTTTGTTTAAGTGAGGGCGCAAAGAGGCAAACGGGAGTGGACACTAAATTTAAAAGAGGTTTAAAGAGCTTTCAACTGACTATACGTCTCAGTTGCTTTTAATAAAAATCACACTTCTATTTTCCCGTAACTCCCTCCAGTTCTTCCTTCAGGCATCCGTAAACCTGCGCACCGAGACCCAGGGGAAAGGTCAAGTTCGGAAACGTAGGATGCTACTCAGGTTGACTTCCAGGGGAAGTCTGGGGTTCTGGTGGCTGTGGGAGAGCTCCACAGATTTTTTTAAAATAATTAACAGCATAATTTCAAGAGAACCTTTATAGTTGTATAAACCAAGAATCCTTCACATGTCCTGATTAAAGTTTGCTTCTTCTTGGTTCCCTTTCTGTATTTATAGTATTCATATTCAAAATTATTCTTTTTTTTAGCTTTCCATCTGATGAATACAGGTATCATCTACTTTTATAAAACTACTTAATTAAAAATTTAAACTTCATTATATTAGAATATAAACTCTACATTAAGAAATTATGATTAATTATTTTCACTTTGTTTTACAGAATGCCAATTTATTGATATAATTTAAAACTTATAAAAACCTAATTACGAAATCATGAGAACAGGTAAACCATGAGAACCTACATACTAAAGCCCTCATGATTTTATGCTTAAGTTTATAACAAATCAACTGTGGCTTTCAACAACATAGAAGAAGGCCTAATTTAGCTAAGCAGATTAAAATATCTGTTCTGATAGTGAAATTTAAGAGGTTAGATCATTTCATCAGCCCATATCATTATATACAGATGCGTTTTCACCACAGGTATACTAAATTTTAAGTAAATAGTGATTTCAGCTAAAGAGTGAATAAAGTTAGCTAGCATCACTGTAAATTTCACTATGTCAGGACATAATTCAACAATAAGAAAATCAGATTTTTGTCTGTAGTTGATAGAACTTTGAGTAGAATTTTAGCACAACAATTTTATATATCATAAGAACAAGTAGTCATTTCTGTATTCACATGGACATTATTAAAAACTGCTATTAAATATTAGTATCAGAAAGCATAAAGCCATTTCCTAATTTCACCAAAAACAGATGAGGTACTCTAAGTTAGAAATTACAAAAACATTCAAAGATTTACCTCTCCAAAGATGATAGAAAATTTGATACACAATAAATTATCTCTATTCTTGTTCCATAGTCACTACATTCTTGATTAAATAAATATCTCTTAATGTTTTAACAATCATTGATTCATGAATGACCAATAGAGATTGCTGAGGGCACAGAAACAAGGGGCGATTTTACTCTCACAATGCACAGCACGTGCTTTGCAAATTCACATTTGAAATATTGCCTCTTCCAAAGTTGTGCTGAATGTGTACACATCAGTTACTTGAAGGTTGAATAATAACATCTTGAACTGTAAAAATTAGTGTATTCTCAGTCATGATGCATACAACCAAAAACTCTTCACCTAGTGACTTTAAAGAAAGAATTTTATTAAGAAGACCTGTAATATAAAGCTGTTGTCCATATAATTTTAAATGCCTTATTTTTAAATCATTTATCCTTTGATTGAATTTTTAAAAGAATTTATGTTTTAGAGAGAGGGAAAGGGAGAAAGAGGAAGAGAAACATCAGTGTGTGCGAGAGAAACATGTACCTGTTGCCTCTCATAGCCCCCAACTGGGGACCCGCTGCAACCCAGGCATGTGCTGTGACCGGGAATCGAACTGGAGACCCTTTGGTTCACAGGCAGGTGCTCAACCCACTGAGTCACACCAGCCAAGACTGATTAAACCTTCAAAAGTAAAAGCCTGCATGTGTATCCTTGATTTTCACCTAAAGTCTAACACATAGGTAGAATACTCAAAATTCTAACCTTAAAATATCTAAGTATTCTAATGCACTACTACATTTGTTCATCATTGATGAGCGTTAACTTCCTAAGTTTGCTTTATAATCCCTTCTAAACCACATATCTAACACTACTCCATTTGCTTAGAGAATTGTTCTATAACAAAATCCATTGTGAACACGTGAAGACTCAGTTTAGAGGTTTAAAGACTATGTCGAATGTCCTGCCCTTTGGTTTCTGTAACCTCTGTTTGGGGGGGCTCTGCCATTAGGTGGGAAATCAGTGCTGTTCATGTAACTAGGGAAGCTGGGAGGCATCCTGAGGGTCTTCTCCCTCCGACACGGCTCTGTGTCCTGTTCAGAGTGCTGTTCTCATGGGAGTGTCCCCTTTCGTTCTGTGACTAGGAGCTTGGCGGCCGATCTCCTCCTGATGATTCCCGATAACGAGCTGCAACTAGTGAAGCTCTGTGCTTTCTACCCAGGCTGCGCGGAGGAGATCAACGACCTTCACGAGAAGGTAGCCACCGCCAATGTTCGGTGTTCCCAGGGGGCCGCGGTCCCGTCGTTCAACTCATCCTCGGGCCAGCGGGGTGGACACCAGCAGAGAAGCAAATAGACGGTCTCGTTAGGACCCTGGTGTCAATACACCAAAAATCACAACAAGCAGAAGTAACATTTATCGAGCATCTACGTGCTCGGAACTGCTCTAAATGTTCACATACGTTTGTGTTTTACTCCGTTCTCGTGAAACCCAGAGGTCAGGAGATAATGTGTCTGCTTTAAAGAGCAAGTGAACTCAGAGGAGCCTGAAGTGGCTGATGGCGGGTGAGAGGACCGGCTTCCCCTGCCCAGCCCCAGGTCCCAAGACCTGCCCCTCACCCACTCGACCTGTGAGGGGCACTTGTGCCGGCTTTTAGCAGTCGCCGATTCAGGGTCTTTAAGAGAGCTGATGAAGTGTGATGAAATGCGTGTGCACTTTCCTAACGTGCTTTAAAAAACACTCCAATGCCGGATATAGGAATTTACATCCAAGATTACATATAAAACAACCAAAACGTCCGATGACAGGGAGGGAGGGCGTTTATATTAGCCGCAGTCCACCTCTGTGTTTCAGCGCTGTTAACACCGCGCGCAGTGAGTGTCCATGACCGGATGGACAGGGCCACTCACACACTGGGAGGGAGATCGAGGTTCATAGAAGTAAAAAAACTTTATTTTTAGAGTTAACAGTTAGAACACATTTTATTTATATTTGTTTTTGTCTTAAAAAACTGTATTTTCATAAATATGCTGTGCAGTTATTTTCAAAATGAAAATCACATGGTATGAGCGTAGGTTCATAATCTGCTTTTTATCTGCTTTATAGCCATCTGCTGAGGTCAGTGGAAACAGAACTTCATGACCTTTCTCGTGTAGTAACACAGATAGACTGAAAGTGTGTGTGTGGTGTGTGTGTGAGAGTGTGTGGGAGTGTGCACATGTGTATGGGAGAGCTGTGTACGTGCCAGTGTACATAACCGTGAGTGTGTGTGGGAGCGTTACCAGGGAGAGTACCTGGGCAAGGATGAATGTGCAGAGTCACCCATGGGTTGTGAGAGGAGTGACTTTAGCTTCTTTATACACTTCGCGTTCCGTGAGTTGGCTTTTTCGGTGAGCTGTGCTTTGCTTCAAGAAGCACCGTCAGTAAGAACTATCTTTCTGTCGAAACGGGGAGGCGTGTGGAAGGAAGCGGGAATGACCCTTTCCTGTGCCGCGCCGCCGTGTGGACGAGCTGGCCCCCGAGGCCGTGGGCGCAGGTGCCCTCGTGGGGCTCAGAGAGGTCGAACCCGGGACCTTGCTGACACAGCTGTCCGTGGCGGCCGGGAAGAGTCTCCTCATCCCTCCGTCGACCAGGGCGCAGGGAGCCCCGCCGGTCAGACCTCAGCATGCAGAGGGACTAGTCAGGGTGCGAAGGAGTTAGCAACCCCACGGTTTCGCAAGTAGTGCCAACAATTATGTATTCAAGCGCTATATTAACTCACACGACCTTCAGGATTTTCAGCTAGGACAAGAATCACAGGGATGATTATCTCCCTCCTCTTGTCTTCTGTTTGTGAAATTTAATGGGAACCGTGTTTTAATCTCCTCTGCTCTTCGAGCACACATTAAAGGGAGGAGACTCCTGTTTTAGCCCCCCCCCGCCCCCCGGCGCAGCGCCAAGCGCACAGCTAGTTGCTCAGTAAGCAGCTGGTGTTCCCTGAGCAGAGACGGGAAAACACGATGCAACGTCATGGGCAGCAGAGCTCCTTGAATGTCGCTCGTTGTAATTATTTTGAGAGAGACTGAGTGATCTCAAATACTCAATTTTCCTAATTTTTAAGCAACAGAAAATATGAAACTATTGAATAAATTCTTTTGTAAAGAAGCCAGTTGAACAATAACTGCAGGGGAGGTAGAAGAACAGAGAAGGGAGGAGGGCGTTAGGTGTCAAAGGAGAAGGGATGGTGACCCCACTGGGGTGAACCACAGGGTCCGCACTCACAATACCAGACTTTTTTTTTGCCACGGAAGCCCGTCTCGGTGGCGGCCGAAGGCTGGTGAGTGGGACAAAGGCTTAACCTGTAGGTGTTGCTTAGACACACACCGACACACTCGAACACTGGTCCTTCACAAGTCCTGCACTGTATCGGAGTACGATACAGCATGTAGTTCATTCCTGCCGCATTGTGGGATAGACTCGGCTTTAACAGGATAAAAGGAAATGGAGAAAACGGGGAGTGTTGCTTTTCACGCTGCAGTAACGAAATTTCATCGGCTCCAAATCAATACTATAGTATTTCAGAACATCAGAGCTAAAAACTTTTAAAGCTTGTACATTTTTTGCCTTTCTATTTGAAATGAAGTTGTTTTGTCTCCAAGGCAAAGCAAAATAAATTAATTGTACCCAGGACATGGAAGAATGAACCTTTTATGTTTTCTACGTTTAATGTCGTTTTTCATTTGGCCAGCCTATTTGTTCTGAAATAATTATTCTCAGCATTTTTTTTTGCCCAATTACATTTGCAGGCAGTAATGCCAATATCATGACCAAGACAGTTTACATTCTACCTCTTTTATTATGTATTTGAGTGACACAAAACCATTAACTCATTAGATCATACCTCTTTATTATTATACCTTAAAGATATTTTCTTACATGCATTCCAATACAAATGATTTTATTCACATCTGTTGTGAGCAACTCTAACAAGAAAAAATATCTAGGTCTGTGGGACTTAATAAGCACTTACACTGTTGCTTTTATCCCTTTACATTTTCCCGACGTTGCCATCAAACCAAATGTTTTCTAGTGCAAGCTCCCCACTGTAGAGGAGTGTCTGCGCTTGGCGGAGGCAGCCCGGGTGGGCGGCGACGTGCTCGAAACTGTGAAGTATTACTTGTTAAGTCAAGAACCTGAAAAAGCCCTTCCAGTTGGCATTGACTTCATCAAAGGTGAGTGCTTAGTCGCCGGTGCAATTTAAAATCCACTCGTTTATTTGCTATTTTCATTCACACCGCTAACAAGCTGTCAAGTTCGGCACTAGCCACCCTGGCTTTGACAGGGAAGCAGGTTGCCGGCCGTGTGGGGTGGGGCCTGAGGGAGGGTCAGTAGGCGAACACCTGTGATGCGCAGGTCCGACCGGAAGGGAATTAATTACATAGGCTAAAAAGTGGGTGAACAAGTCGTAATACTGGTATTTAGAGACTCTTTTTTGGTTTTATTTTGCCAGAGTACATCCAGAGTTCAGATTGGACTCTGGATACCATTTATCCCGTGCTTGACCTGCTGAGTTATATCCGTACTGAAAAGTTACTCCTGCCCACATGTACCAAGTGAGTACTTTTCCTCTGGAGTTCATGACTGAACCTGCGGAATGCTCCAACTCGGCTGTGTGGTGTTTAGTGTTGAGATCAAGAAATAATGGACAGGCAGATGTATGCACAGAAAAAATGTTCTTATTTGTTAAAATCTTAAGAAAAGTACAGAGGTCAGTTTGAAGCAGAAGTCATAAATCTCGGTGGCCCCATGTACTAATACCTAGTGTTTGTGGGTTTATCTATGGGTGCGTGTACACACACACACACACACTCTCTCTCTCACACACACACACACACACACACACACACACAGGTTCAGATGGGGCTAACTTAAAGCTCTTTCGTGGTTCCGGATGTCAAGTTCTTGAGAAACTGGTGGTTGTGTCTATTAAATATCCAGTGTGTGCAGAGCATACTGGGCTGGGGACAGAAGGGAAAGTTCTGGAAAGTAGAAGATGGACACCATCCCAGAGAGCAAGCGACATTAAAGGACATTGTTTTCCCTGTCATCGAAGTCCCCAGACCAGAGTCTACCGTGTAGTGGAGGCTTTGGGCTCTCGCAGCGGTAATGCCAGTGCGGGACAGAGGGTGCCGCGGCCTGGGGGCGGGGTTCCCCAGCGGGAAGCGGGGGCCCCCATGCCTGCTGTCTGCCAGCGGTTCCTAAATCTGACCACATGAGTTCCCGAGGGGACAGGCGCATGGAGAAACAGCCGAGCAACAGAGGGAAACAAGAAGGCAGGAGTTCAATCACATTTAGGATTTTTATTTTAAATTGTGATGTGTTATATAGCATAACATCTGAGTACATCACCTGATGAGTAAAACATCTTTAAGTCTGGAAAATTTTCTAGATGTATTTTGCAATAAATGTCACTCCATTGAAATATAAAGATGCAAGTATAATAACCACATATGAAAGTAGTGTTCTGTACCTCAGATTATGGAATTTTAAAAAAACAAAATATTCTCTTGTAGAGCTCGAAATGAGTTGCTCGTGCTGTGTGGCTATGTGGGCGCGTTGCTGGCGATCAGGAGGCAGTACGAGAGCATTGTGCCGGCGCTGTACGAGTACACGAGGTAAAACGATTTCCCTCCCGTTAGGTCAGAGAAGCTCCGTCCACTAAGGTGGCCAGTCTCTAAGAAGGCGCCAACACGTACTGCATGTTCCCATGTACTCACTGAGCACGTGCTTTATACCGAAGCCCCGGCGACCTGTATGAATCAGCAGTGAATTGGGCGGTGAATAACAGAAATCCTGACTCTAGCTGGAACACACAGGGACTGTGGTCTTATGTCCAAACACTGGAGGTCACACTTCAGGGCCGTTCAGCTGCTGGCTGCTTCCAGGGACCTGGGGCCCTCCCTGCTTTTGCTCTGACCTTCTTGGCTTCCTCCTCCACTTGAGTTACCCATGGTTACCAGGTAGCCTCCAGCACCCCTGTACACAGCATCTGCACCCTAAGCTTTCAGGAAAGAGAAGGAGTGCAAGGGGGGCGGCCACAGAGGGCAAGGCAGGGTGGAGAGTCCCCTCAGGGTGCTGTGCCTGCGTCCCGTGGGCCAGAATGTGGAGCCCTGCTTTGCAAGGAAGGTGGAGGTCCGGGTATTTCATCTTCCCTGTCTCTCTTTAGTGGAGAAAAGCCAAGCACAGGGGGTTAGGGAGTAGCAGCTAACTCACAACTGTCCATTTGGGCGTAATCTACCTGTGCACACACACACGCACACGCACATCCGGGCATGCGCATCTACCTCCGCACGCTAGTTGTTGAGTCTGCAATCGCAGCTATTGAAAGTTCACTGGCTGTTTTGGCATCTCAGACTCAGATGTCAGATGCTCATTTCCTTCTCCCGTGTTTCAGCCAGCTGTTAAAACGTCGGGAGGTGTCTGTGCCTTTAACGATTGAACGCCTTTCCGAGGAACTGGACGCGTGGAGAGCGTGCGTGCAGTCCGCCAACCCGTGAGTGACCGGGGCATAAAGCCCGGAACCCAGAGGGCGTTGCCGAGTATCATAGACAGACCCATTCAAAATGCGGATCGTCATTGTTCACCTTAGCGGAGTCATGCATCGTGGTTTGCCCAGCAGATATTCAGTAGTAACTTACAACGCTGCCTCCTTTAAGTGTTTTTGTCTCACTCTAAGTTGAGTCTAACGTTGCTTCGGCGTCATCTATACAGGGGGACTCAATAGTCATCAGGGACTGTTTCTAGTCCAAACCTCAATCCTTCTGTGATTCTACACAAGGGACAATGTCATGTCTGTTGGCACGCAGATCATCAGAGGCCTCCCCATATGCACCCCCTTCTGAGTCTCAGAGGACGGTCTACGCAGCTCTACGGAAGAGACTGAGGGAGGAGCCTCGCAGAGGACTCACAGGCCCGGGCCACGTGCCCGGCTCCCACCTGCCCAGCCACTCCGACGGCCACGTCTCCTGCCTCACGGGCTCCAAGATCCAGGTACGCCCCGGTGGCAGCAGAAGCCGCGCTCTTCCGTCGTGTTATTTGTATTGTTAGTCTTTGAAATGTGACTGTGAAGTGAGTGTGATCTGTCTAAAAGTAGGGACGTATGACGGGGCCTGAGGCCCAGCGGGAAGCTGCCCCTGATGCTTCCTCCATGGCTAGTGCAGATGGTCGCTCTCCCCTTAAAATAAACTCCAGGGTCACCGTGCTGTCATCATGGAAGAAAGTCACGTAACAGGCAGACTTCACCGCCACTGACATGTAGATAGATGAGTGCCCAGTGTTCTAAAATACACAGAGGCCATTTCCTCGGGGAAATTAAAGAGACAATCAACAATCAACAGGTAGAAACTATTATAACAGAGTAAATGTAACTACAGAGCCTCCGTGTGTATTCTGTGAGCGACCATGCGGGTGGGCTCATTCCCAGAGGAGGCCCTAATGTCCGGTCACGGTGCAGACGGGGAGTGTTCCGGGGCCAGCCCGCCGTGCAGCCCGTCCTCTCAGCGCCAGGGCCGGGGGCAGCTGTCCCTGTGCAGTAAAGCGGGGTCCCCACGACACGCTCGTTGAGACGACAGCCTGGACGGAGGAGCTCCACCTCCCAGCCCCGGGCCCACGCTAGGGAGCCCATTCTTACCTCCCTGGTGCAGCAGCGTGGCCGGTTCCACTCCTGACACTGACATGCCCGGTCAACAGAGACTTCTGCCGGACATAAAGGAATGGCCTGCTGCTCGGGCGACCCCGGACTAATGGGAACTTGGCACTGCCAACTCAGTCTTCAGAGCACGCCAGTGTATTCCAACAAACAGGCAGGACACACGGTTGTACTTACATGTATGACTACACACACACACATACACACACTTATTATCAACGTGTGTTCAGAGACACAGAACGAAGGCAGCACACTCAGTAACTTCCAGTTAGGAGGACATGCGTGCTGCGGTTTTTCCAGTACATCTTCAGGGCCGCTGGCTGCACTCCAGGTGCCCTGTCCAGTACCTGACACCCTCCAGTTCCTTCCTCTGCTTCTGGCCCTCCTCTTCCTGAGAGAGCCCGCCGACCAGACAGATGCGCTGTCTCACCTTCTCTGCTCCCCAGCCGCCTTAGGGAGGGTCTCCCAATTACCTCACGTGCGTGAGTGCTCACCTCCACTGCATGTGCACCTTTCCCTCGGTGCCCGTGACTAAGGGGGCCGGAGGCTGCTTCCCAGGGTGCCCATCTCCACAGAAAGCCAGTGTGCGCGGGTGACAACTGTGCACCTGGGCACAGGAGGCTGTCTACTTCATGTGATGGATATTTCACAATATATCTGGAAATAATTGGTTTGCAAACTGTATCATTTGAAATCATGAACAAAAACCTAGTAACTGTAGAACAAAAATAAGAAAATAAGCTTTTTGTGTTTTTTTAAGTCATGCTTTTCTAAAAGCTGAGAAACATAGATTGAGTTTTATTATTTTTTTTTGTATTTAGTTCTTTAGAACAGCCCTTGACACACAAAAGAACTGATGGAACTACATTATAAATATGCTGCAAATCACGTGCTTGGTGTGATTTTAAGTGACACAGGCACGCACACAGCAATATGTTTTCCATCCTCTCGAGGGCAGGTTCAGAATTTCCAGCCTAAATAATTTCCCCGGCTGTATGATTAAAATAGTAAAGTATGTTTAAGGCTATTCCTAAGCATATATGCCTTTATCAAATGTTAACTTTGTAGTAATAAATTAACAATACCTATTATCATTGTTATCGCTTCTGCATTTAAAAAACTGAAATTATAAAGTTAAATTCGACTTTGAAAGACACCATGGTATATATGACATTAAGGTGTTTTAAAATGTTTCTGTATTAGTGGCAGTTCAAAAACTCTCATTTTTCTCATTTTTTAATTTTTTATTGCATTTATTGGGGTGACATTGGTTAATAAAACTGTATAGGTTTCGGGTATACGACTCAATAACACATCATCTGTATATTGTACTGTGTGTGTTCACCACCCCAAGTCAAGTCGCATATTTTTAAATTCCCATCAGCACGGCCTGAATATCACCAGTGGGTTATCTATTAGCGTGGTTGTGTCTGTGAGTTTAAACACATGTTGTGAGTGTGTAACCTCACCTTGTCCCCCTCGCCTCTCCCCGCGTGCAGGGCCCCGTGTGTCTGCTGGAAGACGGCAAGTCCGCCATCTCGCTGAACGACGCTTTGATGTGGGCCAAGGCGAACCCTTTCTCACCCTTGGGGACCGGAGTTCGACTCAACCCATTCTGATGGGGGGGGCCTTTCCTCCAGGCTTCCTTGTTTTTTTTTTTTTGAAGACCTTTTATTGGCTAGGACACCTTTGTTGCCCAGGAGCCAAAGGCTGGGAGGAGGAGGGAGGGAGGGAGGGAGGGGGAAGCACAATGGATTTTATTCGTTCACTTCAAAAAATAAAATATTTATATACTTTTGAGAAAAAAATGTGTGTCTCCTTTATACGCTGCCGTAGCCCTATTTGGGAGGAAGGCAATATCTACATTGGGAAGGACTGGATAATGTGAGGGGCATGTAAAACTCTCACGGAGCGTAACAGGCACCCGGAGGGTCGCTGCTGAAACGTTGAAACACGTGTGTGAGTCCAGCACGGAGGGCAGCGCCTGCCCCGCACACAGCGAGAGCCACGGTGAGCTGGTCCGGAGGGCCGACGGTCCCGAAACGCCGACACGGGGGGGGGGGGGGGGGGGCCTGGAGGGCGGACCATTCTGCTCCGAGCTCCCCTCTTGTCCTCTGTTGGATGTGCAGAAAACCGCTAGTGTCGGCGCATATGTAACAGAACTTTTCAGGTATGTGCTTAATATTTATCGGTAAATAGATGCACAGTCAGAATACTTCTGCGTTTTATTCTTTTAAAGAAAACACTACCAAAGTTTTTATCTGATATTCAAATGTCCAGTGATAATTGGTTACATAAGCATGAAAAACATCGGGGAGGGGAAAACAAAAGCAGCCATATCTGTATGAGAATTTGCATTCGATGCTGATGGACACATTTAATAGATACACTGTGTATGTACAGGCAGTAATTTTCACATACTTTCTAATCAATTTATATTAACGCTAAAGCAGAATTTGTTTGATGAAAATTAGCTGGAAGTACATTTTTGTAACTACATAGGCTATTAGTTGAAATTTTGAATAGATCATGTAAATTCAAGTTTTTAAAATATTTATGAAAAGAGTAAGCTGTAAAAAAAAAAAAACCCTGAGGCATGGCTCTAAGTATTTCAATTGTTCTAGAATTCTGACTTTGAAATGTGTGCATACTAGGAAGAATAGTACTTCAATACTCAGTTGTTTTGCAGAATTTAATAATTATGAACCTATTGTTTTGCAGAATTTAATAATTATGAACCTATGTATTACATTGACCACTTCTAACCCCTCAAAAGACATTAAATTTCACTTTATAAAAATTAATTTTATTACAGAAGAGAACGTATGCAACTCAGAGGTACAATGGGCAACGTGAAGTGTATCAGGAGTGTTTTATAGGGACTAAAGTTTCCTTACTTAAAAATGACAGTCTAAACCCTACTGTATTTTTCTTTATTTTGTTATAGAGCAAGAAGCCTATCTTTTGTGCACTACTTTAAAAGATACCACTGATTTTAAATCATACATATGTAAATAATCACATTTCATATTTTAATGAATACAGGAAACTAATACTTTATGTATAAAATAGGAAAAAAATCATATCACTCTTCAGCACATGAAGACGATAGGGAACAACCCAAGTTCTCTCTGAAATATGAATTGGATTGATTCAAGTTCGTTATTCTTTGACACCTATCATGTTCTATGATTTAATGTTAATTTTAACCATTCTTTATAGAATTATAAGTGTCATTTGATTTTGTCAACCTGTATATAATACCTTAATATAAAAAACAATTTTTTAACTTTATAAAAGTATTTTTATTGTTAGATTTCATATGCATGAAAGCCCAAATAATGACCTTATGTTACTAGTTGAGGATGTCCATATTACCAATAATGTGGACAAATAACTTTGCAAGTTTAAGTCTGCCTGTATGAAAGAGTCTCAGTAGACAAGGGTTTTGAAAGCATTGGGAAAACATTTTGCCTATCGGATTACCAGCAGGTTAACAAATTGCAATATCAAAATGAGTTATATCTTGTGAACATGCATTATTTTAAAGTCAGTCAGCATTAAGGAAGCACGTATCTAGTTCCACGAAGTCACGTAGGTGTGTTAAGGGTAGGGGTTGCATTTGAGTGACGACCGTTTTTTGTTGTCACTAGAATAGGAAAGTTGGCTCTTTTTTTTTTTTTTTTTGGTCTGAAAAGGTATTCTTAATATAGTGAAATCCGCACAAATTGTAAAATTTGGTATTTCATATTCAGTGCACCAGTGATACAGAAGTTATCTTCATAGTTCTTAGTAAATGCGTACAGTACCCATACCTTTGGAACATCCATACCTAAATAATTGAAAAAACACTTTCATGTTGATGTTAAGCACCCTGAGACTGTGCACGTGGTTACCTAGATTTTTACGAGTGGGTGTACCTCAGGCCCCCAAATCCTAATAAACTCTGCAGTTAAAGCCAGAAGTGACCAAGTTCACCGCTCCGATAAGTGTCATCCTGGCCCCTAAGGTGCCCCTGGGACAACACTGCTTCCCCGGAGCGGCCAGGGCGAAGGGCTGCGCTGCCCACCAGGACAACGGGCTGTGCTGCCCACCAGGACGACGGTCTGCTTGGACACGTGAAGCAGAAGCGTTCCCTTGGACGGTCCGGGAGGAAGAGGAGTGTGAAAGGCAAGCCGGGCTCACTGATGAATGTGAACCCCAAGTCACGGAGGCTCCCGGGGCCCAGACAGCATCTGCCTGTGGATGGAAGAGCCCTGGCCCCCAGAGGCGGCTGCCGCTCCTGGAGAGGTTTGCTGCTGCTGCTCTCCATTAAAGACCCCTGGTGACCCCAATGGCTCTCCTGAGATGCGCCTGGCGTGTTGGCTTCTGTTGGCACGACTGAGCCCCCCAGAAGTGCTTGGAGTCACCCACCCTGCCTGTGCGTACCTGCTGCCCTCACTCCTCCATTCACTCCGGAGTGCGGCGCACAGGCCATTTCACCGCTCCGCAGCGCCCCGGCAGCCCCTGGGAGTGTGGGGACTCCCCGCAGGCCCGAGGGACGGGACGCGCTTTCTCAGGACGCGGAACACAGGGTCAGGACGATACACCTGCCACTGGACGGTTTCTCCAAGTCTAGGCCTTTCCCTGGATCTGTTCCCCGACTCACCTCCAGAAGACCTTTTTTCTCTAAGCCCCTTCCTCAGGAACTGCACTTTGGGGGTGAACATGAGTCCCACGATCTTCTACTTTGAACCCCTCCCTTTGGAGTGCAGGGCAGCAGGCAGAGAGGGGCTCGCCGGCTGAGGCGTGCACTTGGCCGGACCCTCTACCTTGGGGAAAACCAGCGTCTGCACACGTTCCTACGGAGCCTTCCGCTTCACCGGGGCTCCCTCTCGTTTCTCCCCTGAAATGCGAGCTACCTGAAGATGCAAAATTGACCAAGGAGCTCTCTGGAGGCAGAGATTCTGATGAAACTGCGTAAGCCTTCAGAAAGCCGGAGAAGGGGCTACGGTTTAGCTGGACAGACACGCCCAGGAGTCACCGCTGGTAGTGCTCCTCTCGGAGGTCAAGGGGGCTTGTTCATGAGATCGCGCACAAACAGGAGTGGCCCAGTTAAAGAAAACTTTCCAGATATGAACATGAGATTAGCAAATATGTATGAAAGACGATCAGTCTTTCAGGGGATCAACCTGCTTTTGTTTCCCTTCAATAAACATGGGCATGGGGGTGAAACTAAATTGAATTAAATGGCTCTTGTTTTTGATTTTTGGTTGGTTTTTTTTTTTTTGGTCTGAAAAGGTATTCTTAATATAGTGAAAGCTGCACAAGTTATTTGTTAAATTTGGTAGTTCATATTCAGTGCACTAGTGATACAGAAGTTACCTTCATACTTCTAATGAAGACCAGACTCAACACCAGAGCCAGTTTTTAAGCAAAGCGTTTCCCTTCTCCACAACTCAGGATCAGCAGGAAAGACACCCATTTTTTAAAAATGTTTAAGGCTATTTTTCAAGGTGCGCAAGTTTCCTATGGGCCAAAGTCTAATAATAATCATTCAGAATAAATGTTTTCCTTAGCAATGAGATGTGGAATTAAATAGCATCAGGCAGACTAGTAACTCCTTTCATGTCTAGTGAGGAAAATAGGATCCCTACAAAATGTATGCAAAAGAATGCTCACTGGTCAGGGTGAACTGTGTTTCACTGTACCTTTAAAATTGGTTTTGTTCATTCCATACTAATTAATTTGACTTTGTATTTGCAACCGTATGGGACACAGGTGTTTTTAATAAGTAGTTGTTGACTGGAACTAAAAAAGAAAACCATGTTCTTCCGCACGATGGTGGATAGGACACCGCTTTACTGCACTGAGCGCTGAAGTGTACCCCAGGGAAGAGGCGTCTAGTCCTTCACTGGGGCGGGCGGGGCTGGCCTCACTTCTTCCGGCCCCTGCTCAGACCTGATGGGCTCCACCACAGACTCCCAAGGGGGCGTTCCAGAGTGCTTCCCATTCATGGTTTTCATTGAGCTGCCATTGTCGTTTATATTTGCTGGAATATTAAAAAAAAACAAAACAAAATTAAAACTGATTTGTGGTTATTGAATATTCACACAACCATCGATGTCTCTAATACACCAAACATACTCCCAGGGAGAGCAACAGGCTGAGACAGGTTGATCTAAACGCCCGGTAAACAGAATGTTTAAAGCACGCATTAGAGTAGTCATAAATAAAAAACCTGAATGTCACCCTCCCCCTAGAAGTCATCAGCAGTACCTAAAAATACCCAGGGCTTATTTTGGTCCATCTGATCCTGAATACGACTCAACTATTTTTAAATGTTGCTTCAGAAAGCAGCTGAGGCCACTGTGCCATGATTCTGACGGAGCCTCGATTTGACACGCACGTAACTCGTACTCCCGTCTCAGTGGCACTGAGGTGACCAGTCTGGCCCCCCAGGCCCCCGCAGGTCCTGCTTCCTACCAGGAGCACGACAGGCCACCAACCTGCGGCACCGTTTTCGACCGGATGCCAGACCAACATTTAACTATGGTTAAAAATTCAAATGAACAAAGATCCAAAAAACCATTTTAACAGGGAAAAAGAAAGGTAAACATAGAACAACAAAAACCCTTACGTAAAGCAGGAACCGCTGTCTGCCTGGAAATCACTGATTTAGGCTTGTTTCGAGGGGCCCGCGTAGGAAGGCGGTCGAGAGTGAGTTCTCCCACAGTCGGTTTGACCTCAAACCGTTCTATAAAATAAACACAAATGTTGCTTCTTAAGGACCCATTGTGGCCACTGACAAAACAAATTGCCCTGATTTAGAAATGAAGCAAATGATGTAGACGTCTGTTTTATCGTGTTCCAAAGGGCATGGGTACAGGGGTTAATAACCCTCTCCCGACCTCACTGATGCACAAAATAATTGCTTTAAAAAAGTTACTTTAAGGAAATGTCTCTATGTTCCTATACATGTTTTGATAAATGTTTATTCAATAACAATTCCCATACAGAAAAATGAAAAAATCCATGTGTTTGCAGCTTGATAAATGTTTGGAAGGAATACACCTGTGGTACCATCACCCCCACCCCCACCCCTCATCTCCCCCACACAGTACCCCTACATAGAAAACAGTGTCTCAACTTCTGTCTTCGTAGGTTTGTTTTACCTTGTTTTGTATTTTATACAGGCGAAATCATATGGTGTCTCCTTTTGCAAACATTTCTATGCAAAAATAATGACTTAAAATTATTTCCATTTCCGTATTTCTTATTCACTCACCCTACCGGCTGCCTCACTTGGGCATCAGTTTCCTCACGATTCTAGAGCTTTCGAAGGTCACTTCTCTGCAGCTTGCCCTTCACCGAGGCCTGAGGCATCTAAGGTAATTTCTACTCATCAGCCATGTCCTGCTAAGGCTAGATGCAATGCTGGTCAGTGACCTTCCCTGCGTGGTAATTATCGTGATTAATGACCTCGGCTGCTGAAAGTTAGCAGGCTGAAAAATGTCGACTGGTTATAACAGAACACTATCCAAGACCCTGAAGGGTTGAGGTGACCCACAGCTAAAGGGAAATTGTCTTCAAAGGAAGGCAGCTCTGAAGATAACAGTTAGATAAGAAGAGTTAGCTTTGCACAAAGATGGACTTTGAATAGAAGATTAAGTAGAATAGCCACGTTTTGTGCTAGGAATCCCAACTAGAGTCAATGAGCAGAAGTAATAATGAGATAGCTTAAAGTGAACATTAGGAGTAAAAAAGAATGATATCTGATTTGCAGGGTTAGAATTGTGACTCATCCAAACTTCAATGCTGGCTATCAGAACTTCAGTGGGGTAGGGGGCTCACAGGGTGTGGTAATGTGTCATAGTACCTAAGGTCCTTACAGTAAAGATATTCATTTTGACCCAAGACAAATAGGCATGTTAAAATTTCTGCAGTTAACACTAAAAAGTAGAAGTGTAAAATTTTCCAAATTAGTAGAGGGGGGAAAATGTCTTTAGAAAAAAAAAATCAGTCCAAAAGAAGAAAAGGTAGGTGAGACATAAACAAGAAATAGAAAGAGAACTTAAAGGCACAAAAGAATGTTGCGTGAGTGCACACGTAACAATAAGCAGTGTTAGCATGTCCATAACCATGAACATCACAGTACGTGAGATCACAAAGGGCTTCGCAACAGGGTCCTCCATAGAGAACACATTGCAGCGTTGCTACACCAGGGGCCAGCACTTGTCACAGAGCAACAGCAGTTAAGACACTGTGGCTGTTGACGTGGCTCACACATGGACAACCTTCCCTGGAGCGCAGAAACAGATGCAAATACAAACTGGAACTCGAACCATTTGAAAGACGAGGGCATTACAGATCCGTGGGAAAAGAACAGACTACTCAAAAGCTGGTGTTGAGACCCTTGGCTCTCCATTTCCGCTGCAGACAAGACCTTACAAGGGAAAGGCTTGTCTCTTAGATGTCTACGCTTTGCAAATGGTTTCTCCTTTGCCACAGGCTTCCTTTTCACTCCCTGGATGGTTCACTTTGCTGGGCAGAACTTTATAATTTCATGCAATCCCACTTGTCTCTTTTTGCTTTTGCAGCCTGTGCTTTCATGTCATACCAAAAACATTGCCCATGCAGACACCGGGAAGCTTCCTTCTTATGGTCTCTTCTGATAGTTTTAAAGTCAGGTCTTATATTTAAACCTGTAACCCAGTTTGGGTTGATTTTTTAATATAGTGTGAGATACAGGTACAATTTCATTCTCCTGGATGTATTTATTTAGTTTTCTCAATACAATTTATTGAACAGTCCATTCTTTCCCCTTTCTGTGTTGTTGGTAACTTTATAAAGATCAGTTGACTGTATATGTATGGATTTGTTTCTAGGTTCACTATTCTGTTGCATTGGATTATGTGTCTGTTTTTATGCCAGTGCCATACTGTTTTAATTGCTATACCTTTGTCGTATACTTCAAAATCAGGAAGTATATTATGCCTCTAGCTCTGGTTATTCAGGGTCTTTTGTAATTCCATAAGAATTTAAGATTGTTTTTTCTCTTTTTGTAAAGACTGCCACTGGAATTTGAGGGACTGCATCGAATCCATAGATCACTTTGGGTAGTATGAACATTTTAACAATATTCTTCTAGTCCATGAACAGGGAGGTCTTTCTATTTATATCTGTGTCTCCTTTTATTTTCTTTCTCAATATTTTATAATTTACAGTGTACAAGGGGCTGATATCCAAAATATATAGGGAACGCATAAAATTCAATAGCAAACAAAACAAATAACCTACTTAAAAATTGGGCAAAGGACCTGAATAGACATTTCTCAAAAGAAGACATACACGGTGGAGATGGAAGATGGCGGCTTTACTCTAGGCAGCATTTTTCTCGGCTTCTATGAAGAAGGGGGAAACTCGCAGATCGGTGGAGAAACAGAGCAAGTGGGCTAGGTTACTGAATCACTTTTGAAAGCAGGACATCAAAAATTATTGCACTCACTGGAAAACCACATGGTAGGGAGACTGCTTCAGGACAAAAGGGACCTGGGGATCAGCGCAGGGTCTGGGGGTGTGCAGACCCCAGGCCCGCCCAGTGCTATGGGGTCTGCCCCAGGGCTCCCGGGAGAGGGAAGTCGCTGCTCCCTCCCCCGAATACGGGGGGTGAGCAACTCCAGGGGAGAATGTGTTGCTAGAAGGAACAGATTGGCCAGTTGGACTGGGAAAAAATCGCCCAGGGACTATGAACGCCCGCCCAGAGACCGAGGAGAAGTGAGGGCCTCCAGCCGACAGGACCAGGGGCAGCCTGGAAGAGCGCCTGCACCCCTAGCCCACACCCCTAGCCCCGAGGAAGTGCAGATCGGTGGAGAGCACAGAGCCTGGCCGCACTCGGCTGGCGCCCCATAGGGAGGCCTGAATCACGCGCTGCGATCCCTGGAGGGACGTGGCGCTTTGTGTGTTCCTACAGTGGTGGCTCAGAAATTTCCAGCCAGCCCGACCGGGGGAGCCGGGAAAGGCACCGACACCTGGTCGGAGTGTGGTTCGGTGGGGAACAAGGAGCTGGAAATGGCTGGGCTCGCGCACCGTCGGGAAGACTGACTCTCGCGCACTTTGAACCTGGAACGGGCGCAGCGAGGCATTTAGGGCGATCCTAGACCCCGAATCTCAAAAGTGTGGGGGAGGGGCACACCCTTTTACGATCCCCAGGGAGGGCGCAGTGAATCCCAAAACATCGCGGATGCCTCCTGAGATCATAGAGCTGGAACCCTGCAGGCCCCCGGAGTCTGGAAGAACGTGGAAGTGAGATCCAGAGAGCCAGTGTGCTCGGGAGCGCCCAGGGTACCTGACAGACTTGCTAAGATCTGGCTGGGAGAGAAGCATTTCAGAGGTCCCTCAGCCAGCTGAAGCCAGATCAGAAAAACTGGTCTGGCCAGTTAGAAACCAACAAGAGGTGGGGTTTTTTTGTTTTTTTTTGGGGGGGGTTTGGTTTTGTTTGGTTTTGTTTGGTTTCTCTGGCTGTTGTTGGTTGATTGATTTTATCTTGTGTTTTATGTGACATTTTATTTTTCAATTCTTATTATTTTTATCTCGCAATCCCTTATGTTTCTCTTCCATTCATCCTACTATTATTCTTTCCACTCCAAACTTATCTCTCCTGCACTACATCTTCTGCTTTTCTTTCCTTTTTTTTTAATCTTGCAAGTTACTGTAAATTTGTATTATCTTTTTCTCACTTTTCTGACATTTTTTATTTTAATAATATTTTGGTATTCTTTTTCTTTCTGTATAATCTTCTTTGCTTGGCTGGTTATACTGTCATTTGATAGGTTCCCCCTGATATCTCAGTCACAAGGTGTTGATAAGTTACTATCTTTCATCTGTGTTCCATTAATACACCTCTCAAGGTTCTATACTCTTTATTCTTGTTATCTAGACCTCATCGATTCTGCCACAAGACTGTCACTTTAATATTAATGCTAGTAAGACCTAGCCTATACAATTGTAAATGCTTCTCAATACCCCTACCTGATCTCAGCCCACTTTGCAATTTTCTGAACTATACTATTGTGGAGGTTGTCTCTATTCTTTTACTCACTACTCCTATATACTAATCTTTAGTCTAACCCTACCTTAGAATCTGACCTCCCACAGCCTCACAGCTTTCTAGATCCAACTAACAATCCTCTCGTCCCCAATAAGAGTCTTACCTTCTTTCCACCCTTTCTAAAACATGGATAGTGGGGTGAAGGATCATGGTTAACACTATAAGGAGCCAAAGGATAACCCATCTCTTCTCTACTGGCTGCTAAAGTAAATATCATAGTATACTGTCTTGCTGTTTTAAACCATTTTTCCTTACTCCTCCAACTGATCACAAAAAAAGAGTAGGGGGAAGCTGTAAACACCAGGATACACGAAGGAGATTGCACCACTGAATCTCACAAATATTCTACCACAGAAGTTCACACCATAATTACAGGGAATCAGAACAGATCAAATTAACAAACAAGAAGAAAAAAGAAGAAACCCACGAGCAATGAGAAAACAAAGAAACAACCCCCAATTGAAGGGAAACGAGGAAGCCTCAGAAAAAATGCTAACTGAAATAGAAGCAACTCAACTATCAGATAGTGAGTTCAAAACAATGATTACCAGGAAGTTCAATGAACTCACAATGAGCTTTCAGAAATTAGAGGGAAACTACATCAATCTCACTGCAAACTATATAAACATGAAAAAGGAAATAGAAAC